ACAATTATTAGATACGAAAAAGGTTATTACATTGATATAATTTAATTGGATTGATTTCTCATAATCATCTTTATCACATTTGTGTGTTATGTCGTTCTATTTTTGTTTTATTCTCAAGAATAAGCATATGAACAATTTTTGTTAGAATTTATTTATGTAGCCATAACAATGCTTAAGACGTTTAGTCTTTGGTGTGTGTTAACTTAAGAATATGAATTGATATTCGAGAATTTATGGTTTTATTCCTACTTGGTGTTTAATTTGTATATAATTTGTTTTTCATAATATAGTCTTTTCAAGTTTCAGATAAATAATAAAAACTTTAGGCGCTGACCGAGAAAAGATGTGAGATCACATATAGTGACGATCATGCATGTTTGTACATGTTTATAACATTTTAACTAATCAAAAGATAAGTACAACAATCTGCAAGTAGCAAATATGTTAAAACAAGTATTTGTTAATATCAAAAGATCTCCTTGCACATATTACAAAACTTTTTTTGTTTAAATACTTGCACACTAAAATTTTCAAAAACAAAAACAAAATATCTAAATGACACGTATATTATTTACAAAAATTATCCATGCTTGGTAATAAATTCATTTTATGGATTTACACAGTTACAATTCTTTAGATAATGTATATTTAAAGAAATCTTTGACTAAATGGTAGTTTAAAATTTTCATTGAGCCTTAAGTCACCGATAAAAAAAAATTTATTCGATGTATATTATCACCATCACCTATAAAGTAAAAGTGAAATTTCAGTATATTATAGATCACATGTAATATTAATCAAAAATATATAGAACAAACCCACGCTTAGCGTGGGTCCAAAACCTAGTTAACTAATAAAAGTTGAGGCCTTTATACTAAACCAAAATTTTAAAATCCTGGTTAACCTCAAACTTTTTGTGCATCACACAAAATTTGTACAAATTGTGGTACAAATACCCAATTATGAAATGTGTACAAAGCTGCAAATTTAATTTTTATTTTCGAAAGAGATCTTTTTGTTTTGGGATCTTCTTTTCAAAATTTGAATTTCTGTATACCGAAAGCAAATGACTGTTTGAAGAAGAATAACGCTACAACTCTCTCTCTCTCATTTCTCTCATTATCTAGAAACATTCTTTGTAGTTTTTTGTTCCATTATTTCAATTATGTCGAACATATTGACTTGTTACACATCATGCTTATTATTCAGCTGCACTAGAATCAAATCACCCAAAAACAAAACAACACGAAAATGAAATTAAGGAACGACTTAGAATCAAACGCCACCAATTTAAACTGAATTCTGGAGATTAAAATCAAAGATTTCTTCTTAGAATCCGAGTACGAGAGACTAAAAACCACTATTTTGCTTCAATTTATGATAAAAATTAAAGAGTAGAGAAAGAATCAAACCATTAGATTACGGTCCTTGCGCTTGCTTGTGAAAAAAAAAACCTAATTTGCGGGGAGAAATTCATTAGCCAGATCTGAAAAATTCCATAGCTAAACCCGATTTATTAAAAAAACAAAAGAAAGAATCGAAGAAGATCGATGAAATATGAATCAATGGAGATTTCAAAATTTAGAAAGGTGAGGAAAAACAAACGGATATTTTTCTCTCGAGAGAGCGATGATATAAAATAATATTAAAAATGATAACTTTATACTATTAATTACTAATTAGGTCGGTCAAATTAAATCCGAATTCAAAATCTTGTTGTAACCGTTATTATGCACGTGATTAGAAGAAATTGTGCATGTCTTGTTTGCTAAAAAAAAAGAACAAATTGGGCATGTGTAATTAACAAAAAAATGGAAATATAATATTGCAACGTATTGATATTCATAAAAATCATAATTTACCCGTTGAAAATGAAAACTACTTATCCATGGACCAGTCAGTGTTGAGGATTTTAGATATATATATTTTTTTTGGTAAACTGAGATTTTAGATATATTTTGAAAAAGAAGTAATATATTTTGCCTATTAAGTCATAAAACAAGCACACAAGAAATCAAAACAAGCAAGCAAGGAACAGAGAATGAAACACACAAGCAAATGGAACCAAGGAAGAAATCAAAGAAGCAAAAGCAAATCAAGTAACCAAGGAATAAGTGAAAAAACCAAACAAGACATGTACGAAGGAATCAAATCACTAAGCAAAAAGAAGAAACCAAGTATTGGTAGCAGAAAACAAAGGAACCATATAACATTTTTCGTGGTCTGTTCCTGCAGAGGAAAAAAGGAGACACAACATCAAACTTTAAAACCAAAATCGAAACATCAAGCGGATACCAATAATCTGTCTCCTATACATTAAAAGAATTGCAGATTGAAGAGAAATCTCAAATCAAACCATCTAATTTAAACTTAATTCTGGAGATTAAAATCAAAGATTTCTTCGTAGAATTCGAGTACGAGAGACTAAAAACCACTATTTCGCTTCAATTTATGAAAAAAAATTATAGAGTAGAGAAAGAATCAAACCATTAGATTACGGTCCTTGCGCTTGCTTGTGAAAAAACCCTAATTCGCGGGGAGAAATTCGTTCGCCAAATCTGAAAAATTCCCGATTTAGTAAAAAAACCAGAAGAAAGAATCGAAGAAGATCGATGAAATATGAATCAATGGAGATTTCAAAATTTAGGGAGGTGAGGGAAAAACAAACGGATCTTTTTCTTTTTCTCTGAAGAGAGCGATGATATAAAATAATATTAAAACGGTAACTTTATATTATTAATTACTTATTAGGTCGGTCAAATTAAATCCGAATTCAAAATCTTCTTGTAGCCGTTATTATGCACATGATTAGAAGAAATTGGGCATGTCTTGTTTGCTAAAAAAAAAAAGAACAAATTGCGCATGTCTAAATAACAAAAAAAATGGAAATATAATATTGCAACGTATCCATAAAAATCATAATTTACCCGTTGAAAATGAAAACTACTTATCCATGGACCAATCACAATGTTGAGGATTTTAGATATATATATATATATATATATATATATATATATATATATATATATATATATATATATATATATATATATATATATATATATATATATATTATATTTTGGTAAACTGAGATTTTAGATATATTTTGAAAAAGAAGTAATATATTTTCCCTATTAAGTCATAAACAAAATTTATATATTTGTGATAAGTTTGTTTGATATTTTTGGTGATCGAAATTAAACTAGTCCACTCTAGATTTTTTTTTCTTAATTAAAAAAAAAACAATCATGAAACCCTAATAATATTCAATATCGTATTCAATTTTGTTATTTGTGGTAAAGATTATGACGGTAATTAGAAGAAACATCTAACTAAATGATGAATAGGCACTGATATATTACCAATTCAAAAGTAAAGAAGCTTTCTAAGCTTTTTCTTTTATAGTGTCTTCCATGTAAAAACTAACTTTTATTTTTCTATGGTTAGAAAGTGCAGAAGAATATAAGATTCACAAGCTAAGGTGGGAGAGAAGATTGTTGTTTTAGGATAAGTGGGTTTATAGATAATAATTTGTATCCATTTGATGTCTTTAGTGTTAGCTAAAGAGAGGGGATGATCAGTTTTGTTTTGGTGACGATCAAAGAATGGCTTCCTCCGTGGTATCTCCGACCAAAGACCTCATGCTCATGCATGTCGGCCCTCAACTTCAGATTTTAGGGATTTTCAATAAAACAAATTTTTCATTTTTGGTTACTAGTATCTTTGTGTCTTTGTTGTTTGATTCGTGTTTTGGTTCTTTGTATTGTGTTTTCTTTTGTTTCACTTTTGTTGTTCGTTAACGATAGATTTTAACGTCATTTTTTCGTGGCCGGGTCAACGTTTAGTTGATGATTAAAATGGTCTCGTACGAAGTTCATATTTAAAATGGCCTAAATTTGAAAGTTGCTAGTTTGACTACCAAAATAGTTTACAGCTGATAACGGCTGTTAGTGGTTCCGTTATCGGATTTTAACGCTATGTCTATATTGGCTAGGTCAACGCAGTCTCATGTTTAATACGGCAATCAACGTTTAGTTGATGTTTAAAATGGTTTACTATGAAGTTCATATATAAAATTGCCATAATTTGAAAGTTGGACGATTAAATGACATTTTTCCCAAAAAAAAAAAAGATATGTCTAGATTAACGGTCATAAACTTTTTATTAAATGTGTATGAATTCAAATAATCTGAGCCGTCTGATTACTCTTCAAACTTGATTAGAATGATCTCAAATTCTCAGCCATGCGATTACACTTCTATTTAACAGTGTTTTAATTGGACTTTAAAAATTCTTTTGGACTTTACTTTTGTGAGATTAGTAAAACCAAAATTAGATATTTTTTGTTGGAATTAAAAAGAAAAACATCTTTTAAAAAATTTTGTAAAACAATGGATCATCAAAGTTACAACACCAAAAAAAAAAAAAATACCTTTCAAAAGATGAAAATAGATCATATGAAATGTTCATCAAGTTATACTATAGACACAATCCTGATTACTTGTATGACAAACCATATAATTAATTGTGAGTAATATATTTTTGACCCCAGCTTCAGAGCCCACTTACCAATATCTCGGCCCGTATTTGGTCCATAATGCTCATATTCTTTTCATCCAATATTTTTTATTTATATAATATATATTTTTTTTTTTGTGTATGTAAACTACAAAATGAAAATTAATCACAGGATCTTATCACAATTTTCCATGAATTATCGTATAATTGTGCTTTTCCGACACAGTCACAGGTGTTTACCTGATGACCCGAGACACACCACATCAAACTGATTGAGATCACCATCATGTTCATCTTTTTTTTTTTTTGAACAACACCATCATGTTCATCATGAACGATATATATGCCTATTTTCTTATAATATATGATTCTATAACAAATGCACTACTAGTCTCTTGATTCATCATCATGTTCACTCTCAAGGCGTGTCTAGTTTTACAGATATACGAGTAAAGCGACTCCATTTTAAGAGAAACCAAGAGCAGCAATTTTCATTTTGATTCATGGAAACCAAACATCGAACATGATCACATCACATCAACATCCCCGGAAGAAACTGATCAAATGCAGAAGACAAAGAAATACTTAGAAAGAACAAAGTTTTTTTTTCAAATCCTCTGGACTTTATCCGCCTTAACCAAAGGATTCGCCTTTGCGATTGCATCACGTCCAACTTCTTTGAAATCGAAGCTACACTCATGCTTCTCCGGGTACCTATGATTCCCGCAAAACGTGCTACCGCATTTGCACTTAAAACCCATTACCCCAACCTTCTTGTTACAGCTGAAACACCTGTTAGGTCGTACAGGTCTCGATGGCTCTGCCTCGTCCTGTTCCGTAGCTACAGGTACCGAAGACGGCTCAGCGGTTACAACAACGGTTTCCAAATGCGCTGGTTTAATTTCCAGAGGATGTTTTTGTCCCGGTGCAATGATACTGCAAGATGGAAGCTTTAAAGACTTCTTCACCGCAGCTTTCGCTACCGCGGTTTGATCTTCCTCAGCACGTAAGCTTCTGTAACATTTCGAACACAGATTCATGTTGGATGGTGACCCAAAGAATCCACATCCGTTATCACAGAGCTTTGGCTCTGTTGGTGGAAAACTTGTGCTGTTGTTCTGCTCTGAGCCCATTTTCGTTGTACCTTCTCGATCTATTTCACCTTCAATTAAACAAAAAAAACAAAAACCATTAATCATCTGACAACAGAAGAATCATTTTTAAAGATTGTCTTCGATTCATAACATGATAAGATTCGATTTAATTAGCCTCAAATTCGATTTAAACCAGCTTCAATATAACCAATCAATTCGATTTAACCCAGCTTCAATACAATCAAAATTGATCAAATTCTATTAAACCCAGCTTCTATATAATCAAAAATGATTCAATTTGATCTAAATCCAGCTTTGATAAGATCTATCTCGGTATCAAATTACCCTTAAATCCAATTTAAGAACACAGAAATTTGATTCATCGTAAAGAAATGACCCAAATAATTTTTTCCACCAAAAATGTTCAGATCTGTTAGAAAAACAAATCAAATCAAACAAAAAAACATTTGAGAGAGAGAGAGAAAAATTTACCAGAAAAGTCAGATCAAATGGATTTTTGCCACCAAATTTCAAAAGCTTCACACGATTTTTGCAGAGCTTAAATCTTCAAGAGAAGAAGATGAAGAAGGGATGGTCAGATTCTTCTAGGGATTTGTTGTTAATTCTGTTCAAAAGTTTGATCAGAACAAATCCCTTGATTTAGGTAAGAGAGAAGAAAAAGAAGAGATATAACCAAACACGCAACAATGGTTGATGAGAGAAATGAGCCTTTTGTTATATAAATAATAATGGTTTGGTTTACGAACGACGAGACACGGTTTCTTTCCTTTTTTTTAATTGTCGGTCTTGTCTTTTTTTTTTTCAAACGTCAGTGTTGGCGTGCTTTTGAATTGTTTTTAGCCGTTGGATCTGTTACGACCGACGTTTATGTGACGTTACTGTTTTTAATATCATCGAATGGCATGAGCGTAATATCTCGGAATTTATGAGGTTAGAATAGTCAATATATTATTTTACCATTCCTCCGCAGTCCACTGTTTCTTGACTTTCTTCTACCTCTTTTTCCACAGTCCATTAGTTAAAACAAAATTAACAAATCTTAGCAAATATTATTTGATTTGTTTTTTTTAAGCAATAAATTAAAGTGAAATTATTGTTGCAAATATGTCTCTAAGCTTGTGTTTCTTAAGAAAATGAATTTTATTTATTTTTTGTATTTAAAATCAATAATGTGAAAAGATGAAAAGATAAGCTGCCAAAACAATAGAGACAATGATTAAAATATTATACAATACTGTATACAAATAATTGATGTAATCAGACATGACATTCTTCTTTTAAGCAAAACAAGTAAACAACGAATAAATTTTATAGATAATGCTTAGATCATCTTCCACCATGATTCATAACCAATGTTGATTAGAGAGACCCTTTTTCGTTTATTTATTTTAATTATGTTAACTTCCAAATGGAAGAATCATCAAATCATGAGACCTGCAATATATGAGTGGCTTATTACACATCCCCCTAAGAACCTACCTATCCTTAATGGTCAAGAAATCATGTTGTTTTGACTTTGAAGAACCAAACTTCTTGTTGTTTCTTTTCCCTGAACCTAGTCTTGCATTTCTGACCAAAAGCTAAAGTCTGTAAATAGAGCCAAAAAAGAAAAGGTTATTCTTATAGCTTCTGATTTTAGCTATTACTAACTAAGAAATAGAACCAGTGATGAAGTCAGAGTTAACTAAAAGTCTAAAAGTAATGAACTTGACCTTTCATTTTCATTGATAACCCAAACGCATAGAATCTTTCTATGAGTAACATCAAAAAATATAGCCAAAGAATTTATCTTTTCATGATTAAGCAAAAGGACCATGAGATAGCCTAAAGACCGCAAAATATTACAAAGTATTGCCGAAGGAAGATGCTCAGAATATAGAATAATGCTAGACTCATCGGGAGATTATCGAGAAGATACTCAAAAAAGGGATATGGATCTAGAACAATTAATCAAAACTTACCTATATGTAATCACCCGTTCAATATCCATTTCCGCATGAACACAATTGTATTCTTGATACATTGGTTCCATGCAAGTCCCAACCTTTATATCACAAGTCTTAGTCATGAATAGTAAATAAAAACTTGTAGTGTTCTCTGCTTTCTTGGCTCTGTTTTGGTTTACTATAACCGGTTTTTGTATTAGAACCGATCAAGAACAAAATTGAAATCGTCTTAAACTTTTTATGGGTAAACTCTTGGTTCTTTTATAAGAAACCATAACTACATTATTACAGAAACACGACCATTACAAAAACAATTAGAACAGCCGACCATAAACAACAGAAGATTCCGCAAAATCCCTAATTAGGGTTCATGTCACTAGACTCACTACTCCTTTCTCTTTTTCCATATGGTAACAAGCGAGACACCCATGAGAGACATAACTACTGTCTGCAAAAAAGTCAAAAATTCCCGGTTAAACAAAAACATTGCTAAGAAAAGTAAACAGATATAACAAAACTAGATTTCAAACTCACGGAGATTGCTGGTGGAACTCCAACGAGAGGATCTTGAAAGAACTTTGTCGCGAGGGCCAAAGCGAGAAGACTACTTTGCATTCCGGTTTCGTAGGAAATTGTTCTTTGTAGAGCTTTTACATCAGGTGCTTTGCTGAAGAAGAAACCAGTGAAAAAGTAACCAGCGACGAAAGCCAAGAGATGAAACGTGATGACGAGGAACAAGATGGTTGCACCAAACGGAGACAAGATTGAATCTATGTTCAAAGCAAGGGGTGCTCCTATGCAACAACCCATATCGATAACTGTTAACGCCGGGAGAAATGGTTTGATTGCATTAGACAACCTTGGAAATAACCTGCAGTCACATTTGTATTGTAACGTTAGCTTTTTGCTAACATATAACATTACAATATTTCTAATTGATTGAGATTATGTCCCACCGGTTTAGAAGTAGTCCTGCGGCAATAGGTGTAACCACGACTTGGAGAATGCTAGAGATCATCCCAAACACATCAACGGGAAGCTTTTTACCGATGAGTAAGAGTGAAAGCATGGGTGTAACGAGGACCGCCGTAGCAGTTGAGACAGATGTCATGACGATGCTAAGTGGCGCGAGTGAAGGATCAGTCAAGAAAGTTGTGTAATTTGATAGCTGAGCTCCACTAACACATGAGACCAACATAATTCCAGCACCTATAGAAGTAGGTAGATTGAAAACAGAGACAGCAATTACGCCGAAAATGTAACCTAAGAGAGGTTTTATCAAGTATTGTCCGATGTAACCGGCAAAAATAGCATCTGGTCTTTTAAGTGCTTCGAGAAAGTCTCTTTCATTAGAGTTGATTCCAACTGCAAACATCATGAACCCTAGACCAGGCACAAAGTACCTAAATAAGGAGAAATTGTAATAAGAGAGATGCCTAATTAAGATTTTGATCAAATTAGAAAGTAGGTTGATCCAGACCTTGGCTTGAACCATGTGAAAGAAGGTGGATAGAGAAGAGCTAAGATTGTACTTAAGAGAATTGCATGAGGAATAAAAGAGTTGGCTTGCTTTAATGTTTCCATTATAGAAGAAACCTTCTTATGGTACATCTGAAACAAAACAGAACTGTTACTTGCCAAGAAAGCGAGAAAAGTCGCAATTTTGTTGATCGTGTTTTACCTCGTTTGAGTCAGATTCGGATACATATCTCCGCCAAGGATAACTTGACTTGCCATCTTTGGATTTTAGAACACACAAAACCAAAATAATCAAAAATTGAATTGCTTTCACCACTAAAAACAGAGTTATTAGCTGAGATTTTACTTACTTTGCAAAATCGGGTTACTTCGTAGTGGAAAATCTACAGAGCATGATCCTGAAAGAGAACTAAACTCATCAAAAACAAGAATTGAAGACTAAAGAGATGAATACATTTCATAAAAACAGAGGAGAAAGAAAGTGAAACCTAGAAAAGAGAATGAGAAGCTGTTGTATGGGAAATTCGCAACTCGTCGAGTGTTGTGAAAAACCAGTGGGTAGGAGTAGTTTCGAGGTTGAAGAAGACGATGTTGAGACTTTAAGAACAGAGTCTCAATCGGAGAGATCACACCCATTTTTCTTGCTTGAGACTTAAGAGAGAAAGAAATGTGGAAACAAAACGCAGCGTTTTTTTGTTCGATTTATATCTTTGTTTACCAACCTAACCAAAGGTACGTTTCATTAGGCGTGTAAATTATTGATACATTTCCACCATACGCACGTGTGAATGCCACACCAAGTCACCAACCTATCGTCTCAAAAGCACTGTTTGAAAAAAAAAAAAAAAAAAATCTCAAAAGTTTGGGTTTCGGTTAGACAATTCTTATATTTTTACTCAATAGAGAAGAAAAAACGAAGGCGATGAGGCTACATGATCTATCCTATAATGCAAGAATTTGCTACTCCAAAAATGGGTGGTTACTCATGGAAGATTACAATGAAGGTGCGAAGAGAATATTCTTTTTCTATCCATTTACTCGAGAGTAGATAAAGTTGGCAAGTTTGATAGAATTTGGAACCATTGGAACAGAATTCACTTTCTCTTCTTTTGTTTCTTGTGCAAAACAACCAATCAAGAAACAAGTCCACAGTAGCATTCAAAATGTATCACTAAATCTTCGAAGAATCTCAAATCATCCCTCATGTAATACTAAGAACACAAGTAGCATAATAAAGATTTAGCAGAATATCATTACTTTGACCAAAAAGAAGAAGAAGAATATCATTACCAGAACTAGTTAACTACTTAAGGAACATCAGACTCTCTGCATTTGAATCAGACTTTGGCACGTTTACATTGGAGACAGTTTAAACACTCTTTCTTGTGTCATTCCACTGAGTAGAAGTATAAACTATGAGATCCGAACTTTTTTGAGCCATCCAAATCTATTCCATAGTCTTGAAAACTTCTCTGTGTCAATTTGGCGAAATTCAACCTTGAACCTTAGGGTCCACGCGTTATCAGGCAATCTTACGAGGTTCTTGCAGTCTACAAATCTCAGTTCTTCAAGAGCAGTAAGATACGAAATGGAGGAGGGTAGCTCTCTAACGGCTGTCCTGCTTAAATCCAGAAACCTTAAACATTTCATCCTTCTCGACAAGTCCGGAAACTGCTCCAGGCTTGTGCAGCCTGACAGATTCAGAGTTTCAAGATGCTTCAACTTGCAGATGCTTGTTGGAATATTCTTAAGGTGTCTGCTGTTTTCCAGGTCCAGCTTTTCAAGCAATACCAGATTCTTAATCGAAGACGGGATTTCTTGTATCATAGTCCCACCCATGTACAGTTCTTTCACATTTGGTGAGATCTCCGGGAAATTCTCTAGCTTTGAGCAGCCAGAAAGATTCAGAACCACAAGAGATTCTAAAGCAACGGTAGATGGAATACTCTCCAGCTTCGAGCAGCCCTTTAAATTTAGAAAAACAAGCTTTTTGAGATAAGAAACGGACTGGCTAATGCTCAACAAGCTGTTACAACCTTCAAGATCAATATGCTCAAGATTCGGCGCACTTGAAAGTCGTGGGATTTTTGTTAACTGGTAGGAGTAGCTAAGTTTCATCTTTTTAAGGTTCCCTAGACACTGCAAAAGAGAGAAAAAATCATGAGCAACTTCATGGTTTACCATATTTGACTGAATTGGTAGTACCAAAAACCTTGCCTTTTTTCCTTTCCAAAGTTTCCTTGCACAGCTACTTGGTAAGTTAAGCTCTACAAGATTCTCTGGATTAAAACTTTCTGGCAAGGAGCTTAAAGGATAAAATTCCCAATGAAGAAGCCTTAGCTTTCTTGGCAAATATTCAAGACCTTGAGGAAAATATACTCCGTGCTTCTCTTCCACTTTGGAGCAATACAGTTTTAACAGTCTAAGGTTACACATTTTCTCGAATACATTGGGATTTGCATCAAATGTCTGCTTCGACATGTCTAGGAAAATGCCCTCAATAGCTGATGTGCCCTGAAAACAAAGAGAAAATAATTTAGCCTCCAAAAATAATTTTAGCCGGAACAAACTTACAAGTGTCATTTATGATGACTTACAGTGTCATTTATGAATGCATCCCTGATATCTTCGGCATTCCACAACCTGCTGCGGTCTCCTGGTCTGTCAGCTGATTCTTGGCGAACAATTTCTCGACCAGTTGCCTGGATAAAACTGAGCATGTCCACCAAGTTGTGTTGTGATATTGTTAACAGTGATTTGTCAACAAGGCCTCTAAATCCGACATGTGCAGAGAAACCACAACCATCCAGCAACATTGCAACATTGTCTTTATCCATCCTATTAAAGAAACATGCAATGTCCAAAAATATACACCTCTCGTTGTCATCAAGCCCACAACAGCTCCTTTCAAATATACCTCGAATGTAAATGGGAGATTTTGTCTTAACTTCTTCTGATAAACTATGCCATTCTCTATCAAAACTGCACAAGAACTGAAGAACCTGGGGATTTCCATTTGAAAATTTGACCAGCTCAAGTGACAATGTCTTGTAAACCTCAGGTGAAAAAATCATCTTAAATATCCCCGAATCGAGAAGTCGTAGAGACTTAGGAATATCTAATGGCTTGACCTCATAGACACGATCGATTTTACATAGTACGAAAACACGTCTATTTCTAGAGGTCATGATTAGTCTGCTTCCTGGACCAAAATAGTTAAGCTTCCCCAAAAAGGTTTCCACATCTCTGTAATCATTCACATCGTCAAGAATAACGAGGATCCTTTTACGCTGAAGCCGACTCCTCAAGAAACTACTTTTAATGTCAGATATCCGAATAACATGAGGTTCTACCTCTAAAACTCTAGACAAAAAATCCTCTCTCACAGCATCGTGACCTTTTACTTCAACTTCTTTGTGGAGGTCCTTAAGGAAGACACAAGTCTCATATTGGACAGAGATTCTGCGAAAGATCTCTTCAGCAATGGTTGTTTTTCCTATACCAACCGTTCCCCATATACCAATGCTGCGAACATCGAGGGATTCAATGCATAGCAGTGACAAAATCTCCTCTACTTGCATATCCATCCCAATCATGTTCACCTTATCAGCAGAACATAGCACCTTCAAAGCATCTCTTACAATCTCTTCAATAAGTTCAGATTCAGACCTGCGAGATTTTAAGAATAAAGTAGACAAGACAAACATCAGACGAAAGAGAAGATAGTATATTTAACTTCTATAGCCTTATTGTGCCAAATAAAAATTCATCCAATTCTCCACACACCAAAGAATTTCTACATATAGAACCCAGGGATCACATACTTATCTGTCAATGTATAGCCAGGCATCTGAGTTATTTTCTTCAAAGCAGCCTGCCACTTTTTTGGCTCGTCTTGGAGAAAAAATCTCTCATAATTCTTGCTGTTACAGACAAAATCATATGGTGATAGTCTGTAAAAGATCGGATAAACCACCCGATCCTCTGTATGTTGGTGTTCAAGAATGTTTAAGAGGTTCGAAGGGACATATGTGCTTGTTAATAGTATGATCAAAACCCTACATTCTGGAACTCCATCCACTTCATCAAATTCTTCATAGACAGAAATCCCTCTCCGGCAGAGGGAAGCACAAAGATGGCTAATGAAATCATCATTTCTTATATCTCCTCGTTCGTATCTGATTACGACATCATAATCTTTAGAGGCGGAAAATGTAACACATTTGCTTAGAGGCCCAAAGAAATCACTTGTATCAGTAAATGCTTCATCTACAGACAAGCTCTGAGACCTTGGGAAGCCAATGCTTAATTCAGCTTCTTGCAGATTCTTTGAGGATATTGGTGGAAAACTTACAAGATTCGCACTATTTTCTGCGATGACACTATCATGGCTGCTTGATTTATCTTCTGGAAGATCATGGTTATGTTTCCATTCATATGTTGTCACTACAGCTTTTGGATCTGTTGCTGATGTCTGTACATATTTTCTCGCTCCACATCCCTGTGTTGTGCACTTGAAATACCTCCTACGGATCAAAAAGAGAATACTGAAAAGATTTTTTTGAGACAGAAAGCTATGTTGCTCACCGGATTCCGCCATTCAAAGAGTCTAATAGCTAAACCAATCAATAATTTTTCGTGTATACCTCGAATAAGGATTCCCTTTGACAAATTTGTCATCATATTCGCGCCACCTATATCCATCATCTAAAAGATCAACTTCACTCGTCATTTGGAAAGAAACTCTTGACTCTCTTACGGTTCTATGTGAAGTAGCAGCAGCTGGTTCCGAAACCTTAACTTCTGTAATTCTACGCATTCGATGATCTCTCTCAGGTTCAGGCTCATCTTCACCAGTTCCACTATTGACTTCTTCACTGTCACTTGCCTCAGACATGTGCTCTATTGTCGTAACTAGACTTGCAGCTTCTTGTTGCTCTCTCTCAGTTCTGTTGGAGCTAAACTGTGATGCTGCGAAATCAGAACTCCCGCGATTGTTATGTATCAAACTCCCACTTATATTTGTGGTGCTTCCTTTTTTTCCTCGGTTAGGAGGTTTGTGATTGTGTCCACCTTTGTAGACGATTTCTGTTACTTTTCCATCAAAAGATCTCTCAACCTTCTTGGCAGGGCATTTTCGATTTGTGCACTTATAATAGCTTCGAGGACGCATGTTGCCTTTAACTTTCTTTTGCCCATACTTTCGCCAGTAATAGCCATCATCAACTGGTTTGTCAACATTTAGAGGCTGTTGTGACCTGTTCTCGGTGATAGTTATACCTGAGGTACTACTATGAGCTAGAAGTGAAGAATCCGGAGCTGAGGTGGGGATCTGAGGTTGACCCAATGGAAATGATTGAACCGCAGAGGAAGGAGGGTACTCGCTTTGAGGTTTCATATTGGTATTGGCTTGAACTGCTTGAGCTTGCTGATATGTGTTTCCATATGGTCCCTGCACATTGTTACATTTCGGGTTAAAACAAGAACTGGGAAAACAAATCCGAGCACACACCAGAATTGGTAAGACAGATGCAGAGTCAAGACAAAGAAGAGCAAGAGAAACGAAACTAGCTAGTTACCCCGAGTCGAAAACTAAATCCCCCTATTAAAGAGAATAGCAAAGGCCTATCTAAAATAACCATTTTGACGACAAAAACCAATCAGTTCAGAATCAGACATATCAGGTCATAAGAAGAGGATTTCATATATGGGCACCAAGAAAAAATTGAAGATAAGTCTTAAACTTGAACGGGAGAGAGAAGGCCCAAAAAGCTTGGTGAATCCAGATTATCTATTTAGATCATGACGAACTAGGTAACTGGTTTACTACATTTAAAATACATACCTCGACCTTGTCAAGAAATTCAATAAGGTTCTCATCCTTGGACGGAAGGGTTATTTGTAACCACCTTGGCAAGAAGGTATTAAAACCCAAAAGTAAGTCGTCATGGCCCTCGAACAAATCTTTTACTCTTGCTATAATGCCATTAATGTCACCTCTAGAACCAACATGAGATACCAAGAAATTAATACAATTCCAGCTGTGAGAATAAAGACTGTATGGAAGACAGGAAGAGAGAAGAGAGCATTACCGGTCCAGATCATTATAGTCCTTCATGACTTCAAGGAAAGTGTCATATTTCTCTTTATTGTCTTGAAACTTGTCTTTCACAGATTTGAGATACTTCAAGGAACCTGTTGTTAGCCCTCCCATATTTCCTCCCCAATCAATGGTTAGAGGCCTATCAATTCTGCATCACACAAACATAAAATTAACTCAAGTTGTTTTCCCTCATTTAAATACAAGACTTAAGGTAAACTAACTCAAGAACAATTTTGTAGACCTTAAAGAGAAAACTCAACTCAACCTAGAAAAACAAAGCAATAAGAATGTCTATCAGCCTGCAATAGTCATCAGCGGAACTAACCCAGGCGGTACGGTGGACATCGACGGCGATTGAGAAATCATCAAACCGGTGGGGCTATTTTGCTTGAATCTCGGGTCAACATCACTACTCGAGCTACTAGTAGTCCCTTCACCAGAACTTCCAACTCTCTGATAATAATCACTAGTCGCGGTGGTCACTCCAGTGGACTTCGATGTCGACGGAAGTTCTTCCTTCTCCGACATCGATCCCCAAAATTAATAAACGAAGAATGAGGAAGAAAATTTCAAATAATCAAAAACAACAAAAATTAAGAATAATCAAAAATTTCTCTTCTCTCTATTTAAATCCCTTTTTGTCCACGACTCCACTAATTAAGTATTTTATATATATTGGAAAAAAACTTATTTTCTGTTTTCTGATTAATAAATCGTTTTTGTCCAGTCGCGCAATTATGAGAGAAACAACAACCCCTTTTTGCTCAGCTCATCGTTGACTTAAACTGGAAAAATTGCATCAGAGCTTTTCTCCAATGGAATCATCTTCTCCTTCTCCTGCTTCTTCTGCAGAGTTCGATGTGTTTCTCAGTTTCAGAGGCTTTGACACACGCAACAACTTCACCGGCCATCTCCAAAAAGCACTTCGACTAAGAGGAATTGACTCATTCATTGACGATAGACTCCGTCGAGGTGACAATCTCACTGCGCTTTTCGATCGAATCGAGAAATCCAAGATTGCAATCATCGTCTTCTCCACGAATTACGCACATTCTGCGTGGTGCCTTCGAGAGCTTGTGAAGATCCTCGAATGTAGAAACAGAAACCAGCAGGTGGTGGTACCAATCTTCTACAAAGTTGACAAATCAGACGTTGAGAAGCAGAGGAAGAATTTTGCGGTGCCTTTCAAGTTACCGGAATTGACTTTTCCCGGAGTTACGCAGGAAGAGATTTCATCGTGGAAGGCTGCTCTTGCCTCAGCATCCAACATTCTCGGTTATGTAGTCAAGGAAATTAGGTATACTTCATCAATTTCACAAAAAAAAAAACTTAGTCTTTGTGTCAAAGTTATCACTTTGTTTCTTCTTATAGATACTATTGAAGTTTCTGTTATGTGGTTTATGCTAAAACCAGCATTTTTTGTCATTTTGTTAGCACGTCTGAGGCCAAACTTGTTGATGAAATTGCTGTTGACACATTCAAGAAGCTGAATGATTTGGCTCCGAGTGGGAACGAAGGTCTCGTGGGGATGGAATCGCGTCTGAAGAATCTTGAAAAGTTGTTATCATGGGAGGATTTGGATTCTGTTCATATCATAGGCATTGTTGGAATGGTTGGGATTGGAAAAACGACTCTTGCTGATTGTTTGTATGGACGTATGCGTGGTCAGTTCGACGGTGGCTGCTTCCTTACAAATATCCGCGAAAATTCGGGTAGAAGCGGATTAGAATCTTTGCTGCAGAAACTCTTTTCAACAGTACTAAATGATAGAGATTTGGAGATTGGAGCTCCTGGAAATGCACATGAGAGATTTGAGCGCCGGCTTAAGAGCAAGAGGTTGCTTATTGTGCTTGATGATGTGAATGATGAAAAGCAGATCAGATATCTTATGGGGCACTGCAAATGGTACCAAGGAGGAAGTAGAATTATCATTACTACTAGAGACTGTAAACTGATCGAGACGATCAAAGGCCGAAAATATGTGCTCCCGAAATTGAATGATAGAGAAGCCTTGAAGCTCTTTAGCTTGAATGCGTTTAATGACTCTTTCCCTTTGAAAGAGTTTGAGGGTTTGACAAATATGGTTCTAGATTACGCTAAAGGCCACCCTTTGGCTCTTAAGGTGTTAGGATCTGATCTTTGTGAGAGGGATAATCTGTACTGGGAAGCTAAACTGGATAGACTGAAATGTAGATCACATGGAGATATCTACGAAGTTCTGGAAACAAGCTACGAGGAGCTTACCATTGAGCAGAAGAATGTTTTTCTCGATATTGCATGTTTCTTCAGATCAGAGAACGTGGATTACGTGACAAGCCTTCTCAACAGTCATGGTGTGGACGTGTCTAGCGTGATAAAGGATCTTGTTGACAAATGTCTAATCACTCTTTCTGATAATCGCATTGAGATGCATGACATGTTGCAGACGATGGGCAAGGAGATTAGTTTAAAAGCAGAAACAATAGGAATAAGAGACTTTAGGTGGCTATCACGACATGGTAACCAGTGCCAATGGCATATCAGACTATGGGACAGTGAAGATATTTGTGACATACTAACCAAAGGCCAGGTAATGACATATCCTTGATGATATTCTATTGTCTACAATTTGGTATTATACTTTAGCATCTTGCTTTGAATTAACTATTGTTCATCTACCACTTGATTGATAGGGAACTGACAAGATAAGAGGGATTTTTCTCGACACATCAAAACTAAGAGCAATGCGTCTAAGTGCCAAAGCCTTCAAAGGGATGTACAATCTCAAATACTTGAAAATTTATGATTCTCATTGTTCCCGTGGATGTGAAGCGGAATTTAAACTGCACTTGCGGAAGGGGCTTGATTACCTTCCTAATGAGCTTACATATCTACATTGGCATGGTTACCCACTACAGAGTATCCCTTTAGACTTTGACCCCAAGAATCTTGTAGACTTTAAATTGCCACATAGTCAATTAGCAGAAATTTGGGATGATGAAAAGGTATGCTTTTATGTGTACTTAAGTAAGTCCTTCGCTAGAGTGAATGCTACTTAAGTAAGTCTTTTATGTGTATTTAATGTGTGGTTGGATTTTTTTTCACAGGATGCTGGAATGCTCAAATGGGTTGATCTTAGTCACTCCTTGAATTTACATCAGTGTTTGGGTTTGGCTAATGCTCAAAATCTTGAGAGGTTGAATCTAGAAGGATGTACTAGTTTGAAAAAATTGCCGCCGACGATAAATGGTTTGGAGAAGCTTGTTTACCTCAATCTCAGGGATTGCACAAGCCTTAGGAGTCTTCCAAAAGGACTCAAAACTAAATCCTTGCAAACTCTTATTCTCAGTGGCTGCTCCAGATTAAAGAAATTCCCACTGATCTCAGAAAATGTTGAAGTTTTACTTTTAGATGGCACTGCTATAAAGAGCCTTCCCGAATCCATTGAAACCTTGAGAAGACTTGCTTTGCTGAATCTGAAGAATTGCAAAAAGCTGAAACATCTTTCTTCTGATCTTTATAAGCTGAAATGTCTACAAGAGCTAATACTCTCAGGTTGCTCACGATTAGAGGTTTTTCCAGAAATTAAGGAAGACATGGAATCTTTGGAGATTTTACTTATGGATGATACAGCCATCACTGAGATGCCAAAGATGATGCATTTGAGCAATATCAAGACATTTTCGTTATGTGGAACAAGCAGTCAAGTTTCTGTTAGTATGTTCTTCATGCCACCTACATTGGGCTGCTCTCGGTTAACAGATCTTTACCTCTCAAGATGCAGTCTTTACAAACTCCCAGATAATATCGGTGGCCTATCCTCTTTGCAGTCTTTATGCTTAAGCGGAAACAACATCGAGAATCTTCCAGAAAGCTTCAACCAGCTTCACAATCTGAAATGGTTTGATCTAAAGTTTTGCAAAATGCTCAAGTCTCTACCAGTCCTTCCGCAAAACCTGCAGTATCTAGATGCACACGAATGCGAGTCACTTGAAACTTTGGAAAATCCATTGACGCCTTTGACGGTAGGAGAGAGGATCCATTCTATGTTCATCTTTAGCAACTGTTACAAACTGAACCAAGAGGCACAAGAGAGTCTCGTGGGTCATGCTCGAATCAAAAGTCAGTTGATGGCTAATGCTTCTGTAAAACGTTATTATCGGGTATTCTTTTTATTCCTCCCTCTCTCTTTCACCATCAAAATTAGAACGAAAGCTTATTGTCTGTGTTTTACAGGGTTTCATCCCAGAGCCTCTGGTTGGAATCTGTTATGCAGCGACAGAAATACCGAGCTGGTTCTGCCACCAAAGACTAGGACGCTCACTAGAAATCCCATTGCCTCCACACTGGTGTGACACTAACTTTGTTGGACTTGCGTTATCTGTAGTTGTCTCATTCAAGGACTATGAAGACAGTGCGAAACGTTTCTCGGTAAAGTGTTGTGGCAAATTCGAGAACCAAGACGGTTCCTTCACGAGATTTGATTTCACTCTCGCAGGCTGGAACGAACCATGTGGATCCCTTAGCCATGAACCAAGAAAGCTCACTTCTGACCACGTTTTCATGGGATACAACAGTTGCTTCCACGTCAAGAATCTCCATGGAGAGAGTAACAGTTGTTGCTACACAAAGGCTTCGTTCGAATTCTATGTGACAGATGATGAAACAAGGAAGAAGATAGAAACTTCTGAGGTGATAAAATGTGGGATGAGTCTAGTGTATGTTCCTGAAGATGATGATTGTATGTTGCTGAAGAAGAAAAATCTAGTTCAGCCGAGTTTGAAGACTGGACCAAGTTGTTCCTACGATCTTGATGATGTCATGGATGATGTTAGACCCAAGAGAGGACTTTGCCAGTTTAGTGGTGGTGATGAAAGACCAGAATGTAAAAGAACAAAGGAGGAGAAGATCTTGGCGTGAGAGGTTCATTAATAAAATGTTAGTTTTTTCTTACAAGAATTCCTCTTTTTGTTCAGTATATGTAAGAACACGAATACTTGTTATAAAAAAATAATTACATGAAATTCCTCCTAACTAAGCTCAAATCATCCCTCACGTAATCCCAATAACACAAATAACAGAATAAGATTTAGAAGAGTATCATTCCAAATATCTAATTAACGAATGCCTCTGCATTCCCATATAGAAAAAGAATTTGGCTAATTCAACTTGTGGTGCTTCTCACATTTCACGCCTGAGCACGTCCCGCAAATCCTCTCACTTTACATTATAGACATTTAAATCACTCGTAGGTGTAGAAACTAAGAGATCTGAACTTTTTTGAGCCATCCAAATCTATTCCATAGTCTTGAAAACTTCTCTGTGTCAATTTGGCGAAATTCAACCTTGAACCTTAGGGTCCACGCGTTATCAGGCAATCTTACGAGGTTCTTGCAGTCTACAAATCTCAGTTCTTCAAGAGCAGTAAGATACGAAATGGAGGAGGGTAGCTCTCTAACGGCTGTCCTGCTTAAATCCAGAAACCTTAATTTTTTCATCCTTCTCGACAAGTCCGGAAACTGCTCCAGGCTTGTGCAGCCTGACAGATTCAGAGTTTCAAGATGCTTCAACTTGCAGATGCTGGTTGGAAGATTCTTAAGGTGTCTGCTGTTTTCCAGGTCCAGCTTTTCAAGCAATACCAGATTCTTAATCGAAGACGGGATTTCTTGTATCATAGTCCCACCCATGTACAGTTCTTTCACATTTGGTGAGATCTCCGGGAAATTCTCTAGCTTTGAGCAGCCAGAAAGATTCAGAACCTCAAGAGATTTTAAATCAACAGTAGTTGGAATACTCTCCAGCTTCGAGCAGCCCTTTAAATTTAGAAAAACAAGCTTTTTGAGATAAGAGATGGACTGGCTAAGGCTCAACAAACTGTTGCAACCTTCAAGATCAATATGCTCAAGATTTGTTGCACTTGAAAGTCTTGGGATTTTAGTTAACTGGTCAGAGTAGCTGAGTCTCATCTTTCTAAGCTTTTCCAGAGTCTGTAAAAGACAGAAATAATCGTGAGCAAATTAATACAGAGTTGGATATCATATTTCAATTGAATTGATAGTACAGAGTTGTTAAATTTTACCTTTTTTCCTTTCCACAGTTGCTTTGCGCAGCTACTTGACAAGTTAAGCTCCACAAGGTTCTCTGGATTAAAACTTTTCGGCAAGGAGTTTAAGGGATAATATTCCCAATGGAGAAGCCTTAGCTTGCTTGGCAAATATTCAAGACCTTGAGGAAAATATACTCCATGCTTCTCTTCCACTTTGGAGCAGTACAATTTCAACAGTCTAAGGTTACACATTTTCTCGAACACATTGGGATTTGCATCAAATTTAAGATTCAACATGTCTAGGAAAATGCCCTCAATAGCTGATGTGCCCTGAAAACAAAGAGAAAATAATTTAGCCTCCAAAAATAATTTTAGCCGGAACAAACTTACAAGTGTCATTTATGATGACTTACAGTGTCATTTATGAATACATCCCTGATATCTTCGGCATTCCACAACCTGCTGCGGTCTCCTGGTCTGTCAGCTGATTCTTGGCGAACAATTTCTCGACCAGTTGCCTGGATAAAACTGAGCATGTCCACCAAGTTGTGTTGTGATATTGTTAACAGTGATTTGTCAACAAGGCCTCTAAATCCGACATGTGCGGAGAAACCACAACCATCCAGCAACATTGCAACATTGTCTTTATCCATCCTATTAAAGAAACATGCAATGTCCAAAAATATACACCTCTCGTTGTCATCAAGCCCACAACAGCTCCTTTCAAATATACCTCGAATGTAAATGGGAGATTTTGTCTTAACTTCTTCTGATAAACTATGCCATTCTCTATCAATGCTGCTCAAGAACTGAAGAACCTGGGGATTTCCATTTGAAAATTTGACCAGCTCAAGTGACAATGTCTTGGAAACCTCAGGTGACAAAACAATTTGACATGTCCCACGATCAAGAAGTAGTAGAGACTTAGGAATATCTAATGGCTTAACCTCATAGACATGATCGATTTTACATAGTACGAAAACACGCCTATTTCTAGAGGTCATGATTATTCTGCTTCCTGGACCAAAATAGTTAAGCTTCCCCAAAAAGGTGTCAACATCTCTGTAATCATTCACATCATCGAGAATAACGAGGATCCTTTTATGCTGAAGCCGACTCCTCAAGAAACTTGTTTTAATGTCAGAAATCCGAATAACATGAGGTTCTACCTCTAAAACTTTAGACAAAAAATCCTCTCTCACAGCATCGTGACCTTTTACCTCAACCTCTTTGTGAAGGTTCTTAAGGAAGACACAAGTCTCATACTGGACAGAGATTCTGCGAAAGATCTCTTCAGCAATGGTTGTTTTTCCTATACCAACCGTACCCCATATACCTATGCTGCGAACATCTAGGGACTTAACGCATAGCAGTGACAAAATCTCCTCTACTTGTATATCCATCCCAATCATGTTCACCTTATTACCAGAACATAGCACCTTCAAAGCATCTCTTACAATCTCATCTATAAGTTCAGATTCGGACCTGCAAAATTTTAAGAATAAAGTAAAAACAAAACAAACATCAGGCGAAAGACCGGGATCATATATTAAAGGTCTATAACCTTAATGGTCGCAGACCAGTGAAAAGCTTCTTTATACAAATCCTAACCAGGAACAGCTAAACTGCTTAATTTTTCCAAATCAAAATTTATCCAATTCTCCCAAATCAAAGACAAGTAGAACACGTACCTATCTGTCAACGTGTATCCAGGCATCTGAGATATTTCCTTCAAAGCAGCCTGCCACCTTTCTGGTTCGTCTTGGAGAAAATATCTTTCATAATTCTTGCTGTTACTGATTAAATCATATGGTGATAGTCTGTAAAAGATTGGATAAACCGCTTGATACTCTGTTTGTTGGTGTTCAAGAATGTTTAAGAGGTTTGACGGGACATATGTGCTTGTTAACAATATGATAAAAACCCTACATTTTGGAACTGCATCCATTTCATCAAATTCGTTAAAGACAGAAATCCCTCTCCGGCAAAGGGCAGCTCGAAGATGGCTAATGAAATCATCGTTGATTTCGTCCCCTCTTCCGTATCTGATTACAACATCATAATCTTCAGAGGCAGAAAATGTAGCACATGTTCTTAGAGGCCCAAACACCTCACTTGTATCAGAAACTGCTCTATCTACAAACATGCTCTGAGACCCTTGGAAGCCAATGCTTTGTTCAGCATCTTGCAGATTCTTTGAGGACCCTGGTGGAAAACTGACAAAGTCCGCACCATTCACGGCGACGAAACTATTTGTATTTTCATAAGCTTCACGCTTCAGATTGTCAAGAAGTGCCTGAAAGAAAACACATGCATATAACAGTGTTCACTTTGATAGAATATTCTGACTTGCTTAGACTAAAAAATTAAATTCATTATGATGGATTTAACTTTTATGTAGCAACAAATATGTGATTAATGGATTGACGAACCTCTTGTGTGGAAGTAAGCTCAGTGGTGTTTAAAAAAGTGATGCCATCAAACGAAACTTTCATGACCTCATAAACAGAATTGAAGAGAATAGAGGCTCCATGAGCTTTCGTGTTGTAGACGTAACACTCTGACTCGTCCAAAACGCAACGCATTGAGTGGGATACAATCACATTCCACCTCTTCTTTGAGATCCTTCTTTCTAATTCCTGTGAACAAAGGAGAAACATATCAAGCATGACCGAACTTGTCGATTGATATTTGATATGTTATTGCTGGTTTGGTTCGATAACTTACTCGAGGTAAGGCGTTTGAATTTATCGTGAGATGACGACGAAGGTCCTTGACGGTATGGATCCCAGCTTGCCGCAAACACAAATCTGTAAGGCCGTCTTTGGGGATATATTCTAGCCTCCAGACCTCAGAATCAGGATATGGAACGTTGTGTTTTCGATAAGCTGCAGCATTACCAAAACGCACAAAATGATTAAGCAAATGCGTTTGCGATTACTGGTCGTACAAAATTAGTCTGCTAATCTAGGAATTGACTCACATTCTTCTCGATGATCTCTGCACGCAAACGCTTCACTTATCGCCTCCACAACTCCTCCTTCGGTCGCTTTTGCACCTAATCGGAACTTCCTGCTCCTCTTCCAGCTCGAATTATCTGTGAAAGTGACATCACCGCCGATCACTCCGACCCCATCCTTAAGCGTCACGGTCAGATCTCCGACGAGCAACGGTCGTCTCCCTTCCCGTGACCGGAGTATATTCCGGTTGAATTCCTCGATGGTCCAGCTTTCTCTGGCGAAATCCCCGTCCAGTGGTACGATCTCGAGCCGCGAGTCCAAGGTGACTCGAGTGTTTGTGGCGGTCTCGACAAGCTCGATTGTTATTGGAGAACCGTCCTCGGCCTCAATCCTTGAACCCTTGAATATATTTGGTGGCGGCGAGTTTATGAAACGCAGCTTCAACAACGGAGGCTGCAGCGTCATTGGAAGCGATCGCATGGCAGCTCCTTCAGTAAACATTGTTACGGGTAAAATACGTGGTTTCATGCTCATGTGGGTGTCGCTGAGTGAAGAAGAATCTGACAAATTTTCATCGATGGAATATTCCGACGACTTACCACCGGCGGGATATTTAAAGGGTTCCATTATACAGACTTTTTTCTTCACTTCTTCGAAGCTCCTGATTTATTTTTCCTTTTCTTGCCAATTTTGGGGAATTGAATGTTGTTTGGATGAATGTTTCGACCCCAAAAATGGTTTTCTCACAAATCGAGTAGTTGACTTTTCTGTCCAGAGCATTACTGGGCATTACTGGGTTTATTATTTTCTGAAAAAAGAAAACTTTATGTGCACGTCGTTGACCGATCATTTTAGCTTCGCAGTAATCTAAATTGGACAAATTGCATCAGAGCTTTTCTCCAATGGAATCATCTTCTCCTTCTCCTGCTTCTTCTGCAGAGTTCGATGTGTTTCTTAGTTTCAGAGGCTTTGACACACGCAACAACTTCACCGGCCATCTCCAAAAAGCACTTCGACTAAGAGGAATCGACTCATTCATTGACGACCAACTCCGCCGAGGAGACAATCTCACTGCGCTTTTTGATAGAATCGAGAAATCCAAGATCGCAATCATCATCTTCTCGACAAATTACGCCAATTCCGCGTGGTGTCTACGAGAGCTTGTGAAAATACTCGAATGTAAAAACAGAAACCAGGTAGTACCGATCTTCTACAAAGTTGACAAATCGGACGTCGAGAAGCAGAACAAGAGTTTTTCGGTGCCGTTCAAGATACCGGAATTGACTTTTCCCGGAGTTTCACCAGAAGAGATTTCATCATGGAAGGCTGCTCTTACCTCAGCATCCAACATTCTCGGTTATGTAGTCAAGGAAATAATGTATACTTCATCAATGTCACAAAAAAAAAACTTACTCAGTCTTTGGTGTCAAAGTTTTCACTTTGTTTCCTCTGCCTTTATCTTCTTAAAAATGCTGTTAAAAGGTTCTGTTATGTGGTTTATGCTAAATTCAGGTTTTTTTTGTCATTTTGTTAGCACGTCTGAGGCCAAACTTGTGGATGAAATTGCTGTTGACACATTCAAGAAGCTGAATGATTTGGCTCCGAGTGGGAACGAAGGTCTCGTGGGCATAGAATCACGTTTGAAGAATCTCGAAAAGCTGTTATCATGGGAGGATTTGGATTCTGTTCATATCCTAGGCATTGTTGGAATGGTAGGGATTGGGAAAACGACTCTTGCTGATTGTTTGTATGGACGTATGCGTGGTCGGTTCGACGGTAGCTGCTTCCTAACAAATATTCGCGAAAATTCGGGTAGAAGCGGATTAGAATATTTGCTGCAGAAACTCTTTTCCACTGTACTAAATGATAGATATTTGAAGATTGGAGCTCCTGGAAATGCACATGAGAGATTTGAGCGCCGCCTTAAGAGCAAGAGGCTACTTATAGTGCTTGATGATGTGAATGATGAAAAGCAGATCAGATATCTTATGGGGCACTGCAAATGGTATAGAGGAGGAAGTAGAATTATCATTACTACTAGAGACTGTAAACTGATACAGACAATCAAAGGCGGGAAAATATGTGCTCCCGAAATTGAATGATAGAGAAGCCTTGAAGCTTTTTAGCTTGAATGCGTTTAATGACTCTTGCCCTTCGAAAGAGTTCGAAGGTTTGACAAATATGGTTCTAGATTACGCTAAAGGCCACCCTTTGGCTCTTAAGGTGTTAGGATCTGATCTTTGTGAGAGGGATCCTCTGTACTGGGAAGATAAATTGGATAGACTGAAAAGTAGATCACATGGAGATATCTACGAAGTTCTGGAAACAAGCTATGAGGAGCTTACCATTGAGCAGAAGACTGTTTTTCTGGATATTGCATGTTTCTTCAGATCAAAGAATGTGGATTACGTGACAAGCCTTCTCAATAGTCATGGTGTGGACATGTCTAGCGTGATAAAGGATCTCGTTGACAAATGTCTGATCACTCTTTCTGATAATCGCATTGAGATGCATGACATGTTGCAGACGATGGGCAAGGAGATTAGTTTAAAAGCAGAAACAATAGGAAGACGAGACTTTAGTTGGCTATCACGTCATGGTTACCAGTGCCAATGGCATATCAGACTATGGAACAGTGAAGATATTTGTGACCTGCTAACCAAAGGCCCGGTAATAACATATCCTCTATGCCTACAATTTTGTATTATGTTTTAGCATCTTGCTTTGAATTAACTATTGTACATTTACTACTTGATTGATAGGGAACTGACAAGATAAGAGGGATTTTTCTCGACACATCAAAACTAAGAGCAATGCGTCTAAGTGCCGAAGCCTTCAATGGGATGTACAATCTCAAATACTTGAAAATTTATGATTCTCATTGTTCCCGTGGATGTAAAGCAGAATTTAAACTGCACTTGCAGGGAAGGCTTGATTTCCTTCCAAATGAGCTTACATATCTACACTGGCATGGTTACCCGCTACAGAGTATCCCTTTAGACTTTGACCCCAAGAACCTTGTAGACCTTAAATTGCAATATAGTCAACTAACAGAAATTTGGGATGATAAAAAGGTATGCTTTTATGTGTATTTTGATCAGTCATAAGCTAAAGTGAATGCTAATTTGCATCAAAATTTTGACTCGTGGTTGGATTTTTTTCCACAGGATGCTGGAATGCTCAAATGGGTCGACCTTAGTCGCTCCTTGAATTTACGTCAGTGTTTGGGTTTGGCTAATGCTCAAAATCTTGAGAGGTTGAATCTAGAAGGATGTACTAGTTTGAAAAAATTGCCGCCAACAATAAATGGTTTGGAGAAGCTTGTTTACCTCAATCTCAGGGATTGCACAAGCCTTAGGAGTCTTCCAAAAGGACTCAAAACTCAATCCTTGCAAACTCTTATTCTCAGTGGCTGCTCCAGATTAAAGAAATTCCCACTGATCTCAGAAAATGTTGAAGTTTTACTTTTAGATGGCACTGCTATTAAGAGCCTTCCCGAAGCCATTGAAACCTTGAGAAGACTTGCTTTGCTGAATCTGAAGAATTGCAAAAAGCTGAAACATCTTTCTTCTGATCTTTATAAGCTGAAATGTCTACAAGAGCTAATACTCTCAGGTTGCTCACGACTAGAGGTTTTTCCAGAAATTAAGGAAGACATGGAATCTTTGGAGATTTTACTTCTGGATGATACAGCCATCACTGAGATGCCAAAGATGATGCATTTGAGCAATATCAAGACATTTTCGTTATGTGGAACGAGCAGTCAAGTTTCTGTTAGTATGTTCTTCATGCCACCTACATTGGGCTGCTCTCGGTTAACAGATCTTTACCTCTCGAGATGCAGTCTTTACAAACTCCCAGATAATATCGGTGGCCTTTTCTCTTTGCAATCTTTATGCTTAAGCGGAAACAACATCGAGAATCTTCCAGAAAGCTTCAACCAACTCCACAATCTGAAATGGGTTGATCTAAAGTTTTGCAAGATGTTAAAGTCTCTACCAGTCCTTCCGCAAAACCTGCAGTATCTAGATGCACACGAATGCGAGTCACTTGAAACTTTGGCAAATCCATTAACGCCTTTGCTGGTAGGAGAGAGGATCCATTCTATGTTCATCTTTAGCAATTGTTACAAACTGAACCAAGACGCACAAGAGAGTCTCGTGGGTCATGCTCGAATCAAAAGTCAGTTGATAGCTAATGCTTCTGTAAAACGTTATTATCGGGTATTGTCTTTTTATCCTTCCCTCTCTCTTTTTCCATAGAAAAAAGAACAGAACCTTATCGTCTATCTTTTGCAGGGATTCATCCCAGAGCCTCTGTTTGGAATCTGCTACCCAGCGACTGAAATACCGAGCTGGTTCTGCCACCAAAGACTAGGACGTTCACTAGAAATCCCATTGCCTCCGCACTGGTGTGACACTAACTTTGTTGGACTTGCCTTATCAGTAGTTGTCTCATTCAAGAACTATGAAGACCGTGCGAAACGTTTCTCGGTGAAGTGTTGTGGCAAATTCGAGAACCAAGACGGTTCCTTCACGAGATTTGATTTCACTCTCGCAGGCTGGAACGAACCGTGTAAATCCCTTATCCATGAACCAAGAAAGCTCACTTCTGACCACGTTTTCATGGCATACAATAGTTGCTTCCAAGTCAAGAATCTCCATGGAGAGAGTAAAAAATGTTGCTACACAAAGGCTTCATTCGAATTCTATGTGACAGATGATGAAACGAGGAAGAAGATGGAAACTTTTGAAGTGATAAAATGTGGGATGAGTTTAGTGTATGTTCCGGAAGATGATGATTGCATGTTGCTGAAGAAGACAAATCTAGTTCAGTTGAGTATGGAGACCGTACCAAGTTGTAAAAAACCAAGCTGTTCCTACGGTCTTGATGATGTTATGGATGATGATAGACCCAAGAGAGGACTTTGCCAGTTTGTTGGTGGTGAAGAACCAGATTGTAAAAGAAAGAAGAAGGAGAAGATCACAGTGTAAGAAAATCTATAGTTATGTCAAAATTTTGTTTTATTGAATGTCAGTAAACATCAATGCCTTTTATTTGTGTATTCTATGTTCATGATGATTAGGTGTAGCATGATAGTTAGGTATTTTCGTAAACCAAGGAATATGCAGACAAAGAAATTAATATATGTTTTCTAATTAAACATGCTTCTCATAATCTAAGAATGATAAGAAAAAAGATAGACAGAATTGAAGACATTGACCATGTTACCTCTATTAAAGATACTCCATTTAATCTGCAGAACATCTGTTCTCCAATGAGAATGAAATTGAAGTCACTTCAATTGTCTCTTGGTTCCACCTCTTGAGGGATCAAATCCCCTAGTTTTCCACTACTGAAAGGAAAATATGTGAAGAATCAGAAAATGAGTATATAAATGGAAAAGCCAACATTATGAAGATCTGACTATTTTAACAGAAAAAACTAGAAGAGGATATGTGATTTAAAATATGGACAACTACTAAAATAATTAGGTAATCGACTAATCGTTATGTGCATCCTTATATATTCAAGATATCTATTAAAGATCAACAATGACAAACATAACTTGATAAGAGATTAGACACAATCCTAAAGTAAAAATAGACTCGACACCTTCAGTTTCATCTTCTTTTGGACAGATGGAACAGTGCATAACTTCAGTGCATATATAAACAAATGTAAAGGTTGGCATAGAATAACTTCATTGAAAGATGATACATTACAGGAAAGAAGAAAAAAAATCGTAAAGATGAGACCAAGACAGGAAGACTCAACCATTAACCTTGACCAAATAAAGACAACATAACTTGAGTGAATTCACAGGTCCAAAACAATGACAACAAGAAAAAAGCTGAGTCTTAGACTTTAAACTTGTGAATGAATATCTTGGTTTTAGTAATGCAGCTAAGAAAAACCAACCTTGGACCTATAAGCTAATTTCGAAATATCGATTATACCTATGCAGCTAGAACTACATACATAGAAGTTAAGAGAGCACTTACCATGGTTGATCAATCACTCAAGAGTGCATTGTATGGTTGCATAAACCTCACATGTAAATCTTCTCAAACGGCATAATCTCACCTGAAATATAAATACCAAACACATATTCAGAGATTAAGATGATATAGCATGTCAAAGCACAGTCAATTTCTAAACAAACACTTTAATCTCTTGAAAAAAAAAACAGATTGCTTGAAATAGCAACAACCTCGTGGATTCTGGAACTTTGTGAATCTTGTTTCAGGTTCTTCCATCAAATTTACAAAATTGCGACAAATTAGAATTCCAAATTCAGAGTATGGCCGAAGAGAAGATGGACCGAGAGTTTTCAAGAGATATCCATTAAAATCAAAAGCGATGGATGGTGAGAATAGGCGTTTAGTGGAGAAGAAGAAAAATTGATTTCCGAACATGAGAGAAGCTTTGTGAGAGAAAGATACCGGAAGTGTTGCCGTAACGGTGGTGGAAGGCATTGTGGCGATGGCGTTGTCAGATTGTGACAAAAGACAAACCGAAATTGAGGAAATTGGGGAAACTGCGAAAACCGGGTCCACAGAGAATACGGTGTGTCGACCACAGTGGATTATGCTCGGTGAAAAGTGTGAAAGTCGCGACAAAACTAAAACAAAAAAAAAGGGAAAAAACCCGAAAAAACCGCCATCTATTTTTTTTTTGGCCGTTTAATACGCGTGTTATTAAAGTTGGAATAAAAATGCCTGGTTTAATTTCAATTGCCTTTTAAAATCGTCGTGTTTTAAAACTTGGTATAATCATACACCCGCGTTAACAGACGTTAACTCTACTAACGGAATGACTAACCGCGGTTAAACCTTAACCCAGGGTGTTTACGTATATATATACAATCTCTTTTCTAACATATACAAATATATTATCTTAGTCTGGTGGTTAAACGTGTGTTTAATTGTCCACTCGAACCCAAGTTCGAATCTCACCGCCGTCACTTTAAAACGTTTTTTTTTTTTTTTTTGGTCTTAAATTTCACAGAAGATCTCGGATCGACTTCTGTGACCCTGCAATTGTGACGGTGAGAAATAATATTAGGGTTTTGTCGATTATCCATCCGTCCACAATTTGTATCCTATAGCTTTTCATGGTTTTTTTTTTGTTGGAGTAAAAAACGCGTTCTTCTCTGAAGCGATGGCGACGGCGGCGAAGCTAGGGTTTTGACCCGACGATGCGCTCTTCTTCTCAGGCGACGGCGGCGCTGATTTCTCCGGTGAAAATTGAGATCTATGTTTGTTTCTCTGATGGTTTGTGTCGGTTTTGGGTTCGATTGGTTTCATGGGTTTCGGTGGGGAGAGAGGGTTTGAGCCGACGGTTACAAAGGGGATCTGTTCTTGCTTCCGATTTCGAGAGCGAGGATTTGGTTGATAGGAGATTCTCTCCTACGGATTGTTTGGTTCCTCTGGTTTCTCGGGTTTCAGAGGTTGAGAGTCGATGGAGGAGCTCGACTATGTCGTTGTGTTTGCTAATAACAGAGGCTTGGGGACCGCTGTTGATGATTGCGGCAGTGATCGGGTGGGTTGAAGAGAGAGCGAACAGAGAGATTTGTGAAAAAAGAAAAAAAATCAAATTAAGAAAGAAAAAAAAACAAACGTCTAAATGCGCTGAGTAGTGTTCGAACTCGGGTTCAGGATAAAATTCAGCCGCCATAGCCACCTGACTAAGACAATATATTGTAAAAAACTTGATAATAGATTGTATATATACACGTAAACACTATATGGTTAAGGTTTAACCGCGGTTAGTCATTCCGTTAGTAGAGTTAACGTCTGTTAACGTGGGTGTATGATTATACCAAGTTTTAAAAGACGATGATTTTAAAAGGCAATTGAAATTAAACCAGGCATTTTTATTCCAACTTTAATAACACGCGTATTAAACGGCCAAAAAAAAAATAGATGGCGGTTTTTTCGGGTTTTTTAAAAAAAGGAACTAAAGCTCCTTATTATGGCCACGTGTATGGCCATAAATCCACCACTTGGCCTTCGTTGATGAATCTCTTTCAGTCCGGTACGCCACACAACTGGCCGTAAGTTGAAATATATAGCACATGCTTACAAAACCGGTCTAATAATCAATATGGTATTATTATTCCTTCTAAACTTAATTACTATTTCAATTTTCGGTTAAGTATTGTTATACTGTACTTTTCATTAACCCTCAGTTAAAATACTGATTGAAAGCAAATAAGAAGCCAAGTAACTTAGTTATCTAAAACCCTTGTTTGAAAAATCGCTAGGCGCTAGTCGGACGTTAGGTATAGGCCTAGCGATTAATCGGAAAATCGGATTAAAATCGGGGATTAGTTTTAGGATTATTTTAATATTTTAAAAACATATTAATCAAATATTGTTTTCAAAATTGCAGTAAACACATAAAACTGTATTTTTGAGATAAATTTTTATGATTTTTATTACAAATTTATGATTTTTATTAAAATTTGAACATAAGTTATTGTAAAACATCACAAACTCCCAATTTAAATGATTGAACAACAAAAATAAAAAGTTTTTTATACTTGCAATCTAAAAATAATCGAGATATGTAAAATTAGGCGGGAAGTAATCGGATTACGCGGAGAGTAATCGGGTAACTGATTTTTTTAGGGGATTAATCATTAATCGAGACAGATAGGATGGGACTAGCGATTAAGCGGGGAGTAATCGGGCCTAGGCGGAGATTTTTAGAACATGGTCTAAAACACTGATTTGTGGGGTAACCAAAAAGAGTCTGAACCATAAATCCGTAGTTCAAAGACCAAACCACTTTAATTAAAGGGAGACTCACAAAAATGCCCCTTTTTCAATACCCCTTATCAAAAATGCCCCATTTGGCTGTCCATTTTTAAAAATACCCCTTTTTATGTACAAAATGACTAAATTACCTTCTTTTAATAAAATATATCACAAATATATAAGGAAATATAACAAAATTAGGTCCACAAAATACAAAATATTTTTTGGCGGGAAAAGTGATCCCGTAATTTTTCCCGCCAAAACACTTGTAAAAACTTATAAAAACCTTTAAAATACCTTGTAAAATTTTGCCGTAAAATTTTTTCCCGCCAAAAATTTTTTTTTGCGGGAAAAGTGATTCCGCAATTTTTTTGGCGGGAAAATTTTTGGCGGGAAAAATTTACAAGGTATTTTAAAGGTTTTTTACAGGGTATTTATAAGGTTTTACAACGTATTTATAAGGTATTTATAAGATATTATAAGATTTTACAAGCAATTTTATAAGGTTTTACAAGTTATAAGGTTTTACAAGTTTTTTATAAGGTTTTACAAGTTATAAATACCTTATAAAACCTTGTAAAAAACCTTACAAAAAAATTGCGGAATCACTTTTCCCGCAAAAAAAATTTTTGGCGGGAAAATTTTTTGGCGGGAAAAATTTTTACGGAAAAATTTTACAAGGTATTTTAAAGGTTTTTACAAGTGTTTTGGCGGGAAAATTGCGGGATCACTTTTCCCGCCAAAAAATATTTTGTATTTTGTGGACCTAATTTTGTTTCAAATAAGGGTAAAATGGTCATTAAAAAATAAAAGATGGCAAACTTAAAAATGGACTCTCAAAGGGGGCATTTTTGAAAAGGGGTATTGAAAAAGGGGCATTTTTAACAATTTCTCTTAATTAAATAATTAGTTTTCTATTCTGATTTCTCCAGTATACTCGAATTTAAGATCTTGAGCCCAAGAAGAAATATAAGAATTTTTTTTTAAAGAAAATTGATTTTTATATAGTAATCATAAAGATTAAAAATTAAGATGCAACCAAACAACTACAGTAATATGATGAATAATATAAAAAATGTTGAAAAAAATATATATAAAAAAACTAAAAAAGAGAAAATAAATTATTGAATTTTGTAAAAATATATATATAAAAAATTATTAAATTATTGACTTTACTATTACACCAAAATAATTTTCAATAGTTTTTTTGAGACCTTAAAAACTTACATATAAAATTATGTATGGTCCTTAGATAAATGTAAGTTTGATCCACACGCTTATGCCGACATGATCCAGGTGTTTCAAACTAATTATTTAATTATTCTCGTCAACCGTGGGGTTAGCTATTTTATTATATTTGGTAAACTGAATTTTAAAAAGGAAAAAAGGAAAAACAAATGCAAGTACGACGGAAGAAATCAATAAAAATAAATTAAAGAAATGGTACATGCGTCAAGCCATTACATTAACAAAAAAATAAAATTGGTAGAGCAATTTGTTTCTCTTTATTAAAATCACACAAAATCTTCTTTATTTGTTATTCAATCCTTCCTTCATCCTCAGGTTTCTTTCGATTCGTTGAGTAATTCAATTAGTAAAAAAATATAGGGCTCTATTTTTCTTGTCTCTGTTTCTGGGTTTGTACTCGATGACTTATCACGAGGAAGACGATACAGTTTCTGAATTTCGAGTTAGAGTTGAAGAAGATGGAGTTGAGAAATTAGGGCATTATGTTAAACTTAGTGAGGAAGATGATCCATCACCGTCTTCTTCTTCTTCTTCTTCTTCTTGTGGACAGAAACGATCTGTTTGGTTTTGGATCAAGCTTGGTCTTTTCTTAACATTTCTAACTGCTTTAGGTCTCGCTGGTTACAAATGGCTCGCTCCTTTAATCATGGATAAGGTTTTGAATTTCTTCCAATTCAATGCATGTCTCTCAATACAATGATTTCTTGTTGAATTGATGTTCTATGTGTTATGTTCTTCCGAAATTTTTGTTCTTTATCGATTGGGTTTGTTTAGAGTTTCAACAACTGATCAGTGATCATCACTCTTGATTTAGATCTTAAGTACTGGCCACAAGTCTGTTTGATGTTAATGTTCTTTTAGTGTAGAAAAAAGGTTCCTTTATGGGATTGATTCATGTGAATTTGTATCTTGAAAAATTGAGGTTTGTGGTTAATGTTGTGTGGCTTAAATCAGTTGATTTTCGATACCTATATGACCCGGTGCTCTTAACGAATTCAACCAGTAACATCTTTGGCTTTGTTGCTGATTGTGGGATTATCCACTTACCTTTGTTTGCAGGAGCTAATCCCTCTCATTAAATGGGAGATGGAGACATTTACACACCCGGTGTGCGGTATTCTTGTCTTTGCATCGGTGTCATTATTCCCTGTGATACTTATTCCAACTACGCCGTCAATGTGGGTGGCTGGGATTACATTTGGTTATTTCTATGGCCTTCTTCTTACTCTTCCAGCTGTAGCTATTGGTGTTTCACTTCCTTACTTCATCAGCTATCTCTTCCTCAACAAAATTCAAGTATGTGTCTCACTTAGAAATCAGTTATATTCTTAGTAACGACTACTTTATATATCGTTGAAATTGATGAATCTTGCAGGGTTGGTTAGAAAGATATCCAGATCAAGCTGCAATGTTGAGAGCTGCTGGTGGAGGCAGTTGGTTTCACCAGTTTCGAGCTGTAACCTTAATCCGGATTTCTCCATTCCCTTTTCCTCTTTATAACTATTGCGCTGTTGCAACTCGTGTAAAGTTCGGTCCTTACATGGCTGGCTCTCTCGTAGGCATGGCGCCAGAGATTTTCGTCGCAATTTATACGTAAGTGTAGAAATTTCTTGCAATTTTAGATAATGAATGAATGATTTAGCATTCTGATAGTTTTTTGTTTGTTTTGATGTTTGCAGAGGGATTCTTATAAGGGCATTGGTAGATGCATCCACTGCGGAACAAGAGGGTCTCTCGATTCTTCAGATAGTTCTCAACATTCTTGGTTTTGTAGCAACTGTTGTGACAACTGTTCTCATCACTAAGTATGCGAAAAGACAGCTTGAAGTTATGAAGAAGGAGAAGGAAGCTTTGTTGTTACAGTAATGGAGACAACAACCTCGGAAGTTTTGTCTCTGCTTATTCCAAAGTACAGGTTTTCTCCATGATGTGAAAAGATTGTTGATTGTTGGTCAAATGTTTGGTTTGTTTACAGCCGAGAAATGAAAGGGTAAAAAAGAAAATTATAATGACTATAAACACACAAAACTCTCTAACACGATCTAATCTATGTTTTTTCTGGAATTTTTGTGTTTTGATGTTTGAAAAGAATCAATTAATTGACATTGTTGATATTGGTATATAATTGAAAACTTAAGATCAATTCTCCTTCTTCGTCTTCTCATTTATGAAGATTGGAAATTGTCTCATTGGTAAATAGTGTTACTGTTGTGTCAGATAATCCATACCATATTCGTAGGTGAAAAGTGAAAACTTGCACTTCGAATATTATGGGCTATGCTGAGCAAAAGCCCAATATAGCTTAGATGCCCAAATTTTTCTCTTATCAAAATCAAATGTGTTATTTTTTGAACTATAGTGAGTTATTTGTAGCCTACGACATTTACTAAGCTTCTCGGCATATTAAATGGTGGAAATAAAGAAGAAACATTACCTATGATTTTTGAAGTAGCTGCCCCATACTGCGCACGTGAGCCCAATTCAATGAACCATGTCAACAAATAAACAAACATAAGAAGAGCAATCAAAATTTATACTCCATCCTTTTCTTGTTAGATAAAAAAAGTGTTCATCACACATTCAAATTGAACAATGCTAATTAGTTTTGTAATTCTTTGATTTGTAAATAGTTTTTTGAGTGAACATGACATGTATATGTAGAGTTGTTGTCAAGTAGGACTAGCCGCGCCTATATAGTCCGGTCACTGCAGTGGACATTTTTATTTGGTGGATTTAACGGATCAATCCATTTAAAACCGTGAACATAAAAATCTTAACTTAAACTGCTTGATATGTGTGGATATCACGGACCATCCCTGACCATTTTATACATTAGTCATAAATGAAAAAGGATCATATAAACAAGCACAAACCTATGCATTAGTAAAGTAAAAAATAAAACAAGAACTTTTATTTTATATACAACAACTAACACGTTGAATTTTTTTATGAATCTATAGTGGTACATTTGAAGCTATCCTAACACAACAATACCGAGCAACAAATATGTTCAACTACTCTCATCCCCAAATAAATGTTGTCTTAATTCCCTTCAAAAGTGCTTTTGGTCCAAAACCCAAAATCCTTTGAGACGCTTTTGTCTAAAAGTATATGTAAAGCCATTTACATTTTGTCCTACCTATGAACCACAAAATTAAATATTTGTCCTATGCTCTTAAAAATTTCGCTGCTGTATATATAATTTTTTCCTTCCTTTAGACTAAAATTATTTACTCAATTAGCGGTAAAAGTTACATGTCAAACATAATTTAGTTTGTATTTTCTGAATATTCTGGCTTGAATTAAAACAAATATGCTTCTGACTTGGTACCACTTTCAACAGTGTAGTATATGTCTTTTTCATGCGAATAAAACCCATTGCTCATTAATGGTTATTTGTCATCTGATGAAACACATGCTCTTATAAAAAGTCATAGCATATCCCGTAGCTACTTGTACTAAATATAGGAAAAAGACTTTCAAATTCAGTTACACATTCAAAAGATTTTAAATATTAGAAAATGGTTACACATTACATTCAATGTTTTAAAAAATTTAGGCTTTAATTAGGATATTTGGGTGGACACCAAATAACAATAATTTTCTTTAAAATTTTAATACTAATACTCTAATAATAGTGTAGACACGCTCATTTTGGTTATTGTAAATACAACGAATTAAACATGTATTTGATTTTTTTGTGACTTTAAAACATTTTAAACTTTTTTTGTTACATGTTTTATTTATCGATCGATATCCGAATTATCAAATGAACTTTCATTTTCGATATATCCTCATTGGAATATCATTGGTTATTTCTATCTTCATAATAGATTGCACAGAATTGAAGTTCATTTGATAGTTTTGTTATAGACATATAAATAAAATTATCCAACAAGATTTAAAATAAAAGGAACATACTAAAAAGGGTATAAATCAAACAGTCAAAGACTAGATTTATTACCATAGTGCATGATTAGAATAATTGGAAAACAGAGATTTCTTAACATAAATAGATAAAGCCAGGTCAAAACGTGACAAACGAATACAACTGTTGGTGGCAGAATCGAAATTAATCCACAATTCTCTCTATTCCCCGCCGAAAATTTCAGTCTCATCGAAAGCACAAAAACCCTTACGTCACTTCCTGATAAAGTTACGAAAACACCCCTACACTCTCTGTCTCAGTCAGGGGTATTAACGTCTTCTTCGATATCCCTCTCAACAGTCCAATCAAATTCAAATTCATTTGTTGACATAATAATCCACGTCAGGAACTGCACGCTTATTCAACGGTGTCGTTTTGTGGTTCTACAAAAGGAAAAAATAAATAATTTTGCCGTTTTGTCGCTTTTTAATTAAAACAAAAACCTCTGGAAAAAAAAACAGTGACGTTTATTTCCTTCTCTGCAATTCTTCTTCTTCTTCTTCTGTTCACTCATCAAAACCAATGATGATAAAATCTCACATAAATTAGGGTTTCTTGTGGTGACTGGTGAGTGAGTGTTCAGGCGACGTTAAAATCACATAATAAACCAACTGATTCGTTTTTCTCTCTGTTTTCTGTGTTAAAAGAAAGATAATGGAGATGGAGACGGAGACAGAGACGGAGTCCGATGAAGATATGGAGATGGAGACAATGGTGTTTGAAGTGACTGAAATTGATTTGGAGTATGAGTTTGATGCTTCTCGTTGGTTTGATTTTACTCGAGAGGAGTTGTCTTTGGAGTCTTGTGCTGCTGAACTTTGGTTCGAGACCGCTCAGTCTTATCCACCGTCTCGTGAGTATCGCTCCTACACGATTATTACAGGCTTTTGATTGTTTTTCGTGTTTCGTGAAGTGTGCGCTAAATTTTGATTTCTGTGACGTCATCTTACGCAATGCGGTAATGAAATTGCAGAAGTAATAACGATGGGTGAAAATTTTGACTCGAAATTTTAGGAGGTTTAATTGAAATATAATCCTCGATGTAATCGTCATTTGTGTGTTGGAATCTTTTTTTTTCGTTGATTAGATTTTGATTTTCTTGTCAATTTCACTGAATTGACAATTTTATTACAAATGCAGAGGACCAGTGTCTTGTTAGAATCAAAGTGTGTTTCTGTCTAATTCATGTTGTGTTTTTTTTTTCCCAGCTTTTGCAATGAAATTGTTAATGAGAGAGGAGGTTTTTTCTGATGAAAAGACTGAGTCTTTGTCAAAATCAGATGATGGGGAAGTTATAGTAGATGTTCAGGAGAGTGACAGAGACATCACTCAGCAACCAGATGTGAATGAAACAGGTGAATGTAGTAGGATGTTTTGGGTTATGTTTCTGAATCTCTAAACTAGTTTACTGGTTTTAGCATTGTATAGGTTTTATATTTCAAAGTTGAAGACTTTACAAGTTATGGTTGATGTAAAATGGTTCTTGTTTTGTTTCAGGAAATGGAATGAAGTCGGGGGTGTTTACTTTTATTCAAGGTGGTACTTTGAACAAAGTTCCAAATCAGTCCTTACATAAAGGTAATCACTTTTACTAACATGACCGAGGAGAACACACTTGTGGTTCAATTATTTTCTTGTCTGAATTCTGACCTTTCTTTGGTATTTTACTTTATTGATCAAACTCAATTTTCTCCTACTTGAATACATTATTGCTGGTGGTTTTGATTGTTTACTTTTGCTTCCTGTCTAAGTTCTCAATTTCATTACTTCTACCAGGACCTACATTTAGCAATCGGATTCATTCTGATAAACTGAAATGTAGACCGAAGTCAAGCATCCGGCCTATACCGAGAAGCTCGACATTGATGAAGCCTACTGCTAGTGTATTAGCAAAACAAGATAATGCCAGGTGATTAAGATGATATAATTCTTGGTATATATCTTTTGTCAATTTAATTCAGTGAGCCTAATACTTGGTTGTTTTGTTGATCTCCTAGACTCCATATGCAAGTGGATGAAATTAAGTGTCCTTCATCTGAAATTCAATCTGCTAAAAGACAGAAGCTCGATGGTGGTCTACTTCGTAAGGTAGAGTTTCTAGTAGCCATGAGTTTCGTTGTATCAAGTTCCTTTAAGAATTATATGATTAAAGCGTTTGACTAGTGGCAATAATAGATTTTTCGCTCATCTATCTAATTGTAGACCTTTGAATAAGCTCTCTTCTGTTTCAGGTTGCTGAAGCCACGCAGGAAACGAATTTGGTCCACAAGGCACTCAAGAAGGTTCCTATCTGTTTCTTGAGTTCTCCTTCAACCTTCTTGTTCGAAAAGAGAAGTCAGTGTATATCATTCGATTGGTTGTTATATGGTTTTGCAGGATCTTGATAGAAACTCACTACATGCTAGGATGAAGATTACTGTCCCACAAGAGCCTGATTTTGCAACATCACATAGAGCAAATAGGATAAGGTTATTGCCTAGACATTGACTGACAATAAATTGTTATGGTAAAGATCACATCTCACAGGCTGTTTAACCAATGATTATTGCAGGCACAAGAACGATGCTAAGTTGGACCAGGACTCAACATCAGTATATAGGTTCAAAGCGCGCCCCTTGAACCGAAAAGTTAGTATCTGCTAAGTACTTAACATGGAAGCCATTTCTTTATTGTATCCCAGCTCAAACATGTGTGTGTTTTCTGTAGATCTTTGAGGGTCCATCATTGCCCATTCGGAAAAACACCACTCCTAAACTACCAGAATTTCAAGTAAGCAATAGAAACTAAGTAGGGCTGGTCTTACTCTATGTTTTACAGGCTTAATAATTAATTACTGAAGATTATATTTCTTGTGGTTTTATCAGGAATTTCGCTTAAAGACTTCCGAAAGAGCTATGCAACATTCATCAGCAGTATCAACACCGTTTTATCAGGGAACTAGTTATCGTAAGGTTATACACCAATTGAACTTACTTGAAACCATATCATTTTTACAAGATTATTTCATATCAATTTGTGTATCCTGGAATAGGATCTAACTGATATTCATCTTTCATCTGGACCACTCAATCTTAAAGGATAGAATTTTTCTTTTTGACAGGAGTCAGATAAGCCTAATAGGACAGCATTTCTTGACGGTGTTAACAGGGAACCAAGAAGGTATGATACTAAAAAAATGCGAGGGGCTCTTGCTTACTTACTCCTACTTTTATATGATAGAACTGTGATTATTCTGCGAGTTGAATTTTAACAGACCAAGAGCTATGGATATACCTAAGGATGATGATAGAAAACACCTCTTCAAAGCTCGTCCTCTTAACAATAAGGTATAATGTGTACTTTCTCGTGTTGCATTTGCTTACATAAATTTTTCATACTACTACATATACTCATATAGGGTTCATTTCCATTAAACAGATACTTTCAAGTGGGCGAGACAATGGCATTTTCGGAAAAAGCAAGCGAGAAACTACAGCTCCCTTGGTATGTCAGTCTATGGATTATTCTTTACTCTATATATATATGTCTATGTAGAGGTTTCCTACAATAGACTCAAAACTGTTTTTAGACTCAAACGCAGGGGTTTAGTTTTCACTCGGAAAGGAGGGCTCAACCGGATTTGCCAACAGACCTTTTCAGTAAGGTTCGATTTGCGGTTCTCAAACATTCTATTTTCCTCAATAGTTATCTGATGAATCCTTGGTTTTCTTACTTGGTTGTTTTACTTTACAGCTCTCTTTATCATCCGAACTCCGGCCTAACAATGGTTCTCGCTTAAGATTTCCTCAGCCTGAACAAGTAAAGGTGCAACTTGTGATTTCATTTCATTTGACTATATGTCCCAGCTTTAGAATCATATCGAGTTTAACAATTGTTTTCTTGGCATAAGGGTTCAAAGGAAAATAGACTGAACTCCTTTCAAGCAGGGAATGAAGTAAGTTGTTGATTCAAGCTTCTTCTACTACTACTGCCAGTCACAGTTTCTTTGATCATTGATCGATAGTAAGTGCATTGCAGAGAACAAGCAAGTTTACGGGAAAACCGATGGTACAACACGGTGTAGTTCCTGAAACTAGCCGGCAATGGACTTCTAGGAGTGGTAAGCTCGAAGCAACGGTGCAACTAAATTAACAGGTAATATACAAAAGAACATTACTATTTTCCTTCTTATATGAGGGCTTCTTTTATAGCTTTGGGGATCATTTTTGTTTTCGATTTGGCAGGAGCGTAGGTGTTCTCGCTGATCGTAGAAAAGAAAATCCTTAGTTATATGAATCATCTCCATTTTTTGTACATGAAGACTTGGTTCTCTTAGGTGACAACTATTCAAAAAAAGGCTAACATTTTGAAGAACTAAAATCTGTCTCTCAAGGGGTGTGGTGTGACATTGTGGTCGGTTATATTTTGGCGAAGGAAATGTACATTGTGGATAAACTCATTTCTTGATATACAAAGAGAGGTTAAACATTAAACATCACTTGTGGATTTTTGAGACAATATTTGTTAACTATTATATGTATTGCTCCGTGATTTATGTGATGAATCGGCCAAGTAAATTAGCTGGACTCAGTAGATCAGTTTCCTCCTTGAGACTTGGTTCTCTTAGGTAACAAATATTAAAAACGAAGATTAGCATTATGAAGAATACTGACAAGTGACAAGAAGTCAAGTTTAGAAGTTAACATAATCAAGAAGCAAGCCGAGGGTACAGGTTTAGCCAGCGTGGTAGCACGAACTGTGAAAAGTAGTGACTGTGAGCTCCACCGAGATTGTTATTGGCATACATTGGATACATGGAGTTCATATACTTCTTGCAACCGCTAAGTCTCATGATGCAACCATCCATAGACTTGTTCTCCTCCTCATCTTCTTGTGAGTCCTCAAATTTAACAATACAAAACCATTCTTGTTTCTACTCTACAAGTACTATATGATCTTGGAGTTCAAAGGATGCATCACCACAGGGAAATAATGAGTTCCCACGAGAGTGTCCATGAATGGGCCCTGAGGCCTAACAAAAACAAAAACATATACATCGATCTGTTATAATGTTATTTATCATTTTATGTAATGATAAAAGGAAAAAATCAAAAAAAATATTGGCTTCGCCCGGGTTCGAACCGGAGACCTTCAGTGTGTTAGACTGACGTGATAACCAACTACACCACGAAACCTTTTTGCTTATTAGCATTATTAAGTTTATTTTATACTTAAACTAAAAAAAGAACCCATTAAGGTTTACACGTGTGATTCGACACGTGTTGAATTACCCATCTTCTCCGAGGAGTGTGAGTGAGAGAATTGCTTTCACGTTTTTCATCGATGGCTGGCTTTACTCTTCTTCCCTCGCGGTTACTCGCGTCTCCTTCACGCGCTCTACCTCTTCGTCTTCATCACCATGCAAAGCTGATTTTTCGCTGCAAAATGTCTTCTTCTTCCTCTCTCGCTCATTCCATCACTCTCCCGAGCCAACCCAACGAGCCTGTCCTCATCTCTGCAACCGCTGGAATCTCTTCTTCTGATTTCAGGGATGCGATTGATTCATCTCTGTTTAGAAATTGGCTAAGGAATTTGGAATCAGAGACTGGAATTTTAGCTGATGGTTCAATGACATTAAAGCAAGTTCTTATCCAGGTATATTAAGCACATTGAGATACTACTCTTGTTTCTATGGAACTATGTGATGATTATGATATATATATAGAATCTTGGAGCTTTCTTGATTAGTTTATGATTTTAGGGAGTTGATATGTTTGGCAAAAGAATTGGTTTTCTCAAATTCAAAGCGGATATTTTCGACAAGGAAACTGGTCAAAAGGTATAATCTCGCTTGCTTTAGTTAGTTTTTTCTTGCCATATGTAAGCTAATACGCCATTAGGTTCCAGGTATTGTATTTGCACGGGGACCAGCTGTAGCTGTGCTCATTCTCTTGGAGTCGGATGGTGAGACTTACGCGGTTCTCACTGAACAGGTATCTACTTATGTTCGTGTAGTTTTATTATTTCTGGAAGCAGAAGAGAATGTTTTTTTTTTTTTGAATGATTGAGTTGAATGTGGAAGATAACAAATATTACATATTACGGGTTTTTTGAAGGTTCGAGTTCCTACTGGAAAGATTGTTCTGGAATTACCTGCTGGAATGTTGGATGATGATAAAGGTGACTTTGTTGGTACTGCAGTTCGTGAGGTACCTTTATCTTTGTTGAACCCTTGACAACTTTGCTAAAGAAATTGAATGTTATAGAAGTTTTGAGTTGAAATATTGTGAGTGCAAATGAAATGGCCTGCAATATGCTTTGGATTTTTGGTTTTTTTTTTACCAAAGGAAGCTGAAAATTGTAGACAAGTCCAAGTATAACTCAAAAGGAGTCTGACAAACTTTCTGGACTTGTGTTTTGTGCAAGTTATATGACTTTTGCTTCTTGGGTATATCAGGTCGAAGAGGAGATTGGTATAAAACTAAAAAAAGAAGATATGGTTGATCTCACGGCTTTCCTTGACCCATCTACAGGTTACCGGATCTTCCCTTCGCCTGTAAGCCTTCTTTTCCTTGTTCCATCTTCTGTTTTTGGTATACCATTTTCATATTAGTCTCTGTAATAAGCTGCAGAAACTCAACAACTTTCTTTATCTTGTAGTCTTAGAACTTGTTTGGAATCTGATGAATTGTTTCTCTTGGTATCTCTGGTTCAGGGAGGCTGTGATGAAGAGATGAGCGTTTTTCTTTACAGAGGAAAAATGGAAAAAGAAACAATCAGACAGTTGCAAGGCAAAGAGACAGGACTCCGTGAACACGGCGAGTTCATCAAAGTCCGACTCATCCCATACAGAGAGCTCTGGCGCAAAACAGCTGACGCTAAGGTTCTTATGAGCATTGGTCTCTACGAAATGGCTCAGAGGGAGGGTCTCGTGTCCAGTCACTGAAACCCAGATCTTGATCTCCTACAATTCTCTGAAAGATATATATAATAACTGGATTCAGTCAACCAGATGAGATAGATTGAGATTAGACGTTCTTATGTTGTAAAAGGAGTTTTTAGTTCCTTAAGATAAAGGTCATGGCTTTATAAGTTGGTACCATGAAAACTTGGGAACTTATCTTTAAAACAAAAGATTTTACAAACCCAATTTAGGGTTTAGGTTTCCAAAAGTTTACATGTTGCCAATTTAAGTTGAAACTGTACCAGTTTTGGCAATCAAAAGAAGAAACTTCTAGTTACAGTCTTCTGGTTTCAGTAGAACACAAGGCCAAATGAACATGTTACAACATGACAAGTTGACAACATCTTCTCCATCACCGTACAATCGAAATGGCACGACATATTCTTGTGCATTTCGATGTGATTTTCATGGTAGAGTTGTGAGTCTTGTAGTTGAACCCTAGGATGAATGCCGTCCTCTCTTTCTTGATGATGGCTGATCTTTCGAAGAACCATTGCTTCTGATAAAATGGCAGAGATAGAGAAATTTAGAAAAGGGAAAATGAAGATTTTTTGGCTTATGAGCAGGTTTGTAGGCTTACACATCATCTGTTTTACTTGATGGCTCTTGTATGGCTCGTGATTGTGGAATCACCTGCAGAGAGAGAGAGAGAGAGTTTACTGCGTAAGAATCAACGGATGATGATCCATATGAAGTTATGAGCATCTCCAGGATAATATGATAAACATGAATCAAGACAGCCTATAAATGTTGAAAGAGATTAAAGAAACTTAAAGTAATTATCAGGTCAAGCCACAAATTTAATCCGAGGAAAAGGCAAGAATGATTGTTGAACAGTGATGGATAAAACATACTGACAGGAAGACCAAGTTGTTTCATGCATCTGCTGTGGGTTTCAACGTATTCTTCATAAGACTGCAAAAACAACAAAAAACACAATCACAAGACTTTGTCAAAGATTAAACAACAACAAAACCTGAGCTCATGATGCTTCTCAAGAAACAGAGCAAGTCCTGACACTGAGATATGTAAGTAATATTGATCAGAAAGAGCATACTGAAATAGCTCAGAGTTTGAAAAAATACTACAAATGTTTTCACCAAGTTTCCAGTAGTGTGTCATGACTATTTTTGATTTAACTAAACAACATGACTTACAAAAAATATCTAATCCGAGAACAAGAGGTCGTGATGGGATGGAATTCTCAGCATAAATTACAAGCAGATATGCCACTACCATGTCAAGAAAATCATCATCGGTTAGGGAAATCGCGAGAGGGCTTTCCAAAGGCAAACACCATGAGTTGAATCGTAAAGACTTTTCTTGCTCCGTGCGAGAGTTAGATGCACCTGATGATGTATGGAGATATTCCGAGGAAACTCCATATCCTCTCTGCTGTGCAAGATGAAATCTGCTGAGGTCATCCTGGTTTGGGTACACGGCAGGAGGGTAAGGCATCGGTGTATGGCCCCAAAGATTGTTATTGTACTCTTCGTCTCCTGAGGAAGATGGAAGTTCTGCGCGGGACTTTTTTGTTGAATAATCATCCCTAGAAGAGCTGTGAGAGAATAGAATCAAGAACAAGCAGATCTAAGAACCAAAATCCCAACTTAGACTTCGAGCAGATACCTATTCAGCAACCCATCATCGCAGCTATTTGCGTCAAGGAGTTCACAAAGTGCTTCACCGATATCTTCAGGCAATTCCTAGAGCATGCAACATTAAAAAAACTTCAAATCAAGTCATTTTCATAAACCTTAAGCTATTCTAGCCTGAGCCATTATATGGTTTTAAGACAACCAATGCATAAATTCTAGGAAGCGAAACAAATAGAAGAAACTTTAGGCATACCTGGCAATCTCGGCTAATCTTGACAGGCTTGTAATCATTCAAAGGATTCTTGAGATGAAGTGTTTTCTGAAAAGGCAACTCACTCAACCGCAACCATTTTACTTTAAAACTACGTCCCCACGGATTGTTTTTACCACCTCCCTGGCTCCATATATGGTCTCTCCTCCATCCCACAGGAGACAACATCTCTGCATACCCTTGGAAGAATCCGCTCATGTTCACGCTGAAGATTAAAATCACTCGACCAGATTTCTACACAAAGACTATAAAGTCAGTATACCAGACAGGCTGACACTAAATACAAGATTCCAAAACAGTGCAAACTAACAAGGAGAGGTTCTTACGTGAAAAGCGCCTTCCAATATTGGCTCATTCATAACTTGAGTAGCCCAAATCCCTTTCTCAACTGAAACTTGAATATTGTCATAATTCAGACTTTTGATGATGAAATATCTCGTTTGATACCCTGGTTTACTGTTCTTCTTCTCCTTTGCACTTTCAAGTTGATCAGAAAAGTTACGTCGATCAACATCCACCTTGGACAGTTTATGGTCTTCCTTGCTTTTGTAACTTGAACTCTCTGACAAAATTACAACAAGACAGACAAAATTAAACGCAAATCTCCATGAAAAAGACATGCTTCAAAGTTTACCTGGATCATCAGAGTTTCCTATATCATGTTTCCAATCAGTCAAAGATGAATCGACAACAGATGCATTTTCCTTGGCAGTATCAGAAGACATGCCTCTTTAAACCCTATATTAAAAATTGGCAGCAAATCGTGAAGAAATGAATATCAGTCAAAAGCAATAAAATCCACTCTGATCAATCACCACCACAAACAGAAGTCACATTAAGCCAATAAAACATGAGTTGATTCAAATCACAGTGCATAAATAAACATAAACCAGAAAAATTCACACTTTACATGATAAAATGTCTACACTCTAATAAGAAACTTGTGTAGTTAGTGTAAGCATTTTACCAAATCAATTAGTCTACTACAATGAAAAATTAGTATCCATGAAACTAATAAGACATTTTGATAGATTCCCACAATAATTCCAAGAAAAAGTAACGAAATCTCCATTAACAGTAAGAATTTGATTCAAACATAGAACAGTACAGTTAACAGTAGAAATTAAGAAAGAAAACGAACCTTGAATTATCAAAAGCTTTTGGGATTACTAAAGAAGAAACACAAGTGAAGAAGAAGAAGAAGAAGATACTAATTTTCTTTATGAATTTGAAAATCCAAAGAAGCCCTAATCTTCTTTGTTCGCTTCTTCTTCTCTCTGTTTTGTAATTTTTTTTTCTTTTTCTTCTCTCTTTCTGGATTTGGCTCTGATTATGGTAGGGTTACGTGTAGGTGAGGAAAGATGTAAATTGAACGGACAGGATGCGATGAATGATTAATCCAACGGCACACGGTTTGGCTGTTAAAGGGTTAAGTAAACCGCTGGTGTATCGTAAAGTAAAGATAAAATGGGCTCAAAATTAGATAAATGGGCCAACATCAAATTTCTTTTGACGTCGAGGCCTATTTCAATATTAGGCCTATATTGTACACAAGATTTCACGAAGCTTATGTTGTACTAAGCCATTTTGATAAAGTTAATACACGTAACATAAATTTTGTGATTTTTTTGTGCGTTATAAAATTAAAATTTTATTTGGCTAGGACATCCTTGGTTCGGATTAGGACACACTTATCAGTTATATGATATCACAACAACTCGCCGAAAACCCTCATTTTTTGCAAGATAGACCATTCAAAATTTACATTTATAGTATCTAACCAAAGCATATCCGACAACGTTATAGACTTTTTCTCTCGACTTCTTAGCGGTTGAAAACCACCATTACCAATTCAGTTCATGATGAACTCATTGCGCTATGAATCATGGACAACGACCAACACGATGATTGTTTTTGAAGTCAGTTTTTGTTCATATCTTTTTTTGTTCATATGTTTTTTTTGCTCATCCTTTACCTTTTTCGCGGAGACGATTAGCTTTGGTTGTGAAAGATGACGACGCGCAGACGCAGTAATTTTAGTAGCCAATGATGATGACGACACAGACGCAGTGTAACTAGTCGCCATGGATGATGACACCACATACACAATGTATCTAGCCGCATGGATGAAAGTAAAACAGTGAGTTTCGACATTATACGATTTTCATTTTAGAAAGATTATCTCTAAAATCAGTTTGTGATATTTAGTTTTTTTTTTTGTGACAGAGATGTGAGAGTGTCACTAGCATTTATATAGGCAATTAAAGAGTTTTTTTTTAATGCATGACTTTTTTGGAAACTTTTACAAGTAAAAAGTTCTGAACATGCCATGATTGTCAAAAGAGAGACTAAATAAACTCTAATTCGCCTTAAAATTAAACTAGATGTACATTGGTCCTTTTACTATATATACAAGAGTATTAATCTATACATGTAAACTATATACAAGCAGGGGCGGAGCTAGCTAATGGGGAGGAGGGTCAACTGATCCCCATAAAATTTATGATTTTTTTTTTGTTTCAAGGCTATTTATATATTAGATCATGACAAATTTGGTTTGGTTATGGTAATTTGATCCCCATGTCTCAAGTTCAAAACCCCTTTGATCCCCTCTTTCAATTTTTCTTTAATACTTGTTTTTTTTTCTCTCTTTAATCTGTTAAGTTTTTAATTGTAACTCCTATCTTTTTACAAATTAGTTTTTGCTCTTTTTCATTACTACCTGAAAAATAAAATACATACATTTCATATCATTTTGTATAAAATAAAAAGAAAATTAAGAAATGATGAATAACTTGAGTCATATCTAATATGAGGATCTATAACTATGTATCCATTTAATCGGAAAATAACTAAAATTTATAAAATTTGTTATAATAATGATATTATTCTTAATTATATATTGTTTATATTAAAAATTCAAAACGTAGTATCTAAAATGCTAAAACTTATTTCACAATTTTTTTAAAATTTTTTTTGATATTATTATTTAATTATATTAATTTACTAACCCCATAATACATCCCCGTAAGCCTCTGAGTATGAATCGGGATTGGAAAGAGAGAGGCTTGAAATGGACATACGATTAAGTATAGAGTGGAACGGTCTTGGATGAAACGCCTTTGTCAAGATGTATGCATGTTAATTCATTGTTGACACATGAAGAGCTTCAAAAACCATTCTTATCTGATCTCTAGTAGTGTGACAATCTATTTCAATATGTTTGGTCTTTTCGTGAACGACTGGATTTGTTGTCACGGAAAAGCTTCGCAAAAGTGTGAACAAATAGATTTTCAAATCCTTGAGAAGCTGAGCAAGCCAGAGTAACTCACATGTTGCTAAAGCCATTCCTCTATATTCTGACTCATAACTACTCATGTTAACAGTTTACTACTTCTTTGGTTTCCAACTGATCAAAGACTTTCCAAGATATACACAAAAACCATGCAATATCTGGATAAGTACCCTAATCAGCATCAACAAAAGCATTAAGGCATGGTTCTGAATCAGCAACATAGAATAAACCTTGACCAGGGATTAGACTGATATACCGAAAAATTTCATGAGCAGCTTCCATATGAGCATCAGTCATATATGATAAAAACTGACTCTAAGTGTTCACCGCAAAAGTAATATCAGGCCAATAAAAGTGATAGTAAGATACAAGAAACGTCCAATAAATTCTCTATAGAGAGTAGCATTATCCACAAGAGCACCAGTCTCCTTACTCAGATAAACAACCGGATCCATAGGAATAGAGCAAAGCTTACAAGCAAGCATTTCAATGGCTGCAAGTATATTCAAGACATAGTTTCTTTGACAAATAGATATGTCTAATTTGTAACTTCAATTTTCTGCCTAATCTCTTTTAAAAAGCTTGGTATATATAAAGAAGTCAATATCTCGAGATTTTTTTTTACTTTTTTCAAACTAACAAATATTACAGTAGAACATTTTTTAAATATAAATTACGGAAATCAAAGTTTTTTTTTTGTATTGTCTTAAGAAAAATCTATAAAAAGAAATATGGTAAAATAGAGCGTTAAAGAAAACCGTATATTACGTGGAACTCTTAATCGCGACACGATCCAACTTCTCTTATCTCCTCCTAATTTTCCCTCCAAACACGTTGAAACAAAAAGAAAAAAATCAGAAGGAACCTGAAACCCTCTCACAGTAAAAACATCACCATCTCAATTCTCAACCACACAAATCTAAAGCTTCTAACTTTTTGATTTCTTCTTCTTCCCGGAAAACAACAACGATCTCCCTCAATCATCTCTTCCAAAATGAGCAGCAAGATGGCGTTTACTCTAACAATCCCTCGATTTTCTGCAATTTCTCGTAAACCCATCACTCCTTCTCCTTCGAGGACACACTCTGCTCCTCACTTCACTCATGCACGATCGATCTCCCTCAGACGAAGACTTTTCTTATTGCCTCTTCAAGCTTCTACCGATCAATCAGGTTTTTGCCACTTTTTACGAAGATCCCTCTTTTGATTTTGCCTCTGATCTTGTTAGGGAACAATATTGGTGTGAAAAAAGTTGAGATTTTTTTCAATTATCGATGATAATTAGAGATATCTGATTTCTAGTTGGTAGCTTTTTAGGGTTAAAATTCATGTGTATTGCTTAAGGTTTCTAAATTCTAAAGCCGTCACTTTCTGATCACAAGAAGAAAAAAATCACTCAATCTTCAATTTTAGTTAAGAAAAGTTGTTATGTTGCACTTTCCTTTATGTGGATTTTTGGTTTTTATGCTCTAATCAACTAAAAGATTGCTCCTTGAGAGTTTCCTTAGTTCTTAAATTCTTTTTATGACTTGTCTTCAGGTCAGGTTGGTGGGGAAGAAGTTGATAGCAAGATTTTACCATATTGTAGCATCAACAAGAATGAGAAGAGAACAATCGGAGAAATGGAACAAGAGTTTCTCCAAGCCATGCAAGTAACACACCAAATAAGATGTTTATTTTTGTTACTTTTAATATGATATAGAAGTTTTCTAAATCTGAGAATTGTTTATGTTCCTTTTCTTTTGCAGTCTTTCTATTACGAAGGCAAAGCGATTATGTCTAATGAAGAGTTTGATAACCTTAAAGACGAGTTGATGTGGGAAGGAAGCAGTGTTGTTATGCTAAGTAATGATCACTATGATTTATAGTTTTGTTATAATTCATTCGCCTTAATTCTTGATTCTTGATCTAATTTTACCTATTACTGTAGGTTCTGATGAACAAAGATTTCTTGAAGCTTCAATGGCTTATGTCTCTGGAAACCCAATCTTGAGTGATGAAGAGTATGATAAGCTCAAATTGAAACTAAAGGTTCTTAATCTCTTTATAGTTACAAATACTATTTCTTAGTTTCATCCATCTTGTTATGTGTAAATTGGACCATCATTATGATTGTGCATTTTGTTTCTACAGATGGACGGAAGTGAGATTGTGTGTGAGGGTCCAAGATGCAGTCTTCGTAGCAAAAAGGTAAAAAGTTCAAGACGAAACAGAAAGTATTATTGTTCAGAATATAACATTAGATTCATTGTTTTGGGACAAACTCTAGAGATGTTATACACACTTGTGGACCTCCTTGATTATGCAGGTTTACAGTGATCTTGCCATTGATTACTTCAAAATGTTCTTGTTGAATGTACCAGCCACTGTTGTTGCTCTCGGACTGTGAGTACCCGTTCTGTTATTCTCTTAACTTTTAAATTACATGATCTCTGTTTCTGTTCATTAATTTAACATTGCTGGTTATTTCATTTGTTCTCCAGATTTTTCTTCCTTGATGACATTACGGGTTTTGAAATCACGTACCTGCTCGAGGTAAAACTTCTTTCAACTCTTCCTTTATGGTTTGGAGAAATATATCATTCCAATATTCTTGCAACTGATTATTTAAAAAATCTGCAGCTTCCGGAACCATTCAGTTTCATTTTCACATGGTTCGCTGCGGTGCCTGCAATTGTTTATCTGGCGCTATCACTCACCAAACTGATTCTCAAAGACTTCTTGATCTTGAAGGTAAAATATTAACTACCTTCTCAGATCAATTCTTGAACTGGAAAAGGAAAAGTAACAGAATCACATCTTTTCTCGAAATGAAAATGCTTAAACAGGAGTTTAGACTCGAGATAACATTCTATTTTGTGCAAAACATTACAAAGTTTGGATTTTTTTAGTGCCAAATCCTACGAGTTTTATGCGATTATTATGAAATGCTTTTAATTCTCGTGGAATCTATCTTTTACAGGGCCCTTGTCCAAACTGTGGAACAGAGAATGTATCCTTCTTTGGAACGATATTATCCATCTCCAATGATGGTAACACCAACAATGTCAAATGCTCCGGGTAAGCTCCTCAGCTTTAGACTCGAATCTATAACAAAAAATTTCTCTAACGTTTCGTAAAATCTTTTGATTCTTCTGGTTTAGCTGTGGAACGGAGATGATCTATGACTCAGGTTCTCGTTTGATCACATTGCCAGAAGGAGGCAAAGCTTAAAACCTATGAGCCAAGGTTTGATTCACAACGTAACTTTAAGTTTCTGATCAAATCATTCTTGGTTCCAATGGAAAGTTGAAGATTAGGTTTCTCTTTTTTCTCAGGCAAATGTGGAAATGTATGTTAAATTGATACTAACAGATGAAGAAAGTGGAGAAATTAAAGAAGAAGAAGAAAATTAAAAAAGAAGAAGAAAATCAAAAGAGTTTGTTTGTGTGATGTTTTGTATAATTCATGTGAAACTGTAACATCAAATATGATGTTGTAAATCATTAATAGGTGGTAGTCAAGGCCAGTCCAAGACTCTTTAAGAATTTTGTGATTCTATAACTCATTTTAGTATGATTTGTATTAATAAGATGAAAGATAAACAATAATAAGAGTTGGGAATTATTAATCTTTTGAGAGAAAACACAAAGGGAAAAAAGTCATACCAATATTATAGCATGCCAATTTCTATCTTTTTAATAAGAAAAAGGTGCAATGATGATTGATGATGATGATCATCGTCGTCGTCCCATGCCCTCTTCATCATGATTTACCTTCTTTTCTTACCATTAGACATAGCTCCCACATGCCTTCATATAGATATAACCCAATACTTGACTTTTTTTTTCCAAAAGATTAAATTTTGAAGAGGAGGTAATTATTGTCATTTGTCAATAAATTTTTTGTTAATTCTATCCGGATTTTAATACAACATTCTGCATCATTGCCGTTTAAATGTTGAAAGAAAGAACCTTATCATATTGTCGAAATTGGACATAAAAGTGTCTTCTTGTTCTGTGCTTATAATTAGGTTTGATGGAAAGAGAACATTTTTAGCAAAATATTCTTGTAAACCATGTTTTATTCTTGGCTATTCCTCAGGTTATTACAGTAACACTTTTGTATAAGAGTGTGGGGCAGGCTAAGCATTTGTAAATGTATCATTATAGGATCGAAAAAAATGTAATCAAATCCTTCAAAATTAGTAAATAAAAAAATATATAGACTAATAGAAGCAATGATCTTACAAGACTACAAAGTATAAAGTAATGTCACGAGGCTAGAAAAAAAAGTAGGATAGTATTCTAAGCATTATAAAACATCGGTCATGCTTATTCATTATTATGTCTTAAATAAAAGATACATAGTATATACTATATACTGATCATGTCTGTCCCCAAAACACATGCCAACAAAGTAAAACATAATCAATATACTTCTCTCTTTCTTTCTTCTTGATCACTTCTCTCTGCAAAACCCTAACAACTTAGAATCTTTGGATCCTCTTCACATGGGCTCTATACCATTCATCTTCATCATTCTTCTTTTTCATGTACATAAATCCAAATCTCAGACGATTGAATCAGCACATTTTCTTGATCTTATGATTAGAGATTACACCATTAGAAACTTCAACATTCATTTCAAGACAGGCGCGATCCAGAAAATCCATCTTCCTTCGAACTTCTCCTCCATTGATATCGCCACGGCTAAGTTTAGATGTGGGAGTTTGAGAAGACACGGTGCAAGAATCGGTGAGTTTCACTTAGGTCCGGGCTTGACGGTGGAGCCATGTGTTGAGAGAGTGATTCTGGTGAGACAGAACTTGGGTTTTAATTGGTCTTCTTATATTTACTCTACTGGTTATAACTTAACCGGTTACAATTATCGGCTCGTGTCTCCAGTTCTCGGTTTATTGGCTTACAATTCTAACCCGGATGGTGTGGCTGTGAATCCTTATGAGATTAACGTAATAGGCACGGAACAAAACCCTATTTTGATCAAGTTCTTGAGTGGTAGCCCTAAACCTAATACGAAGAAGAACTCATCTCTCTTGTGTGCTTGCTTCACAAGTAATGGTAACATAACGTTTAGAGAGCAAGTTTCAGCCTACGTTTGCTTGGGAACAAGACAAGGGCATTACGCGCTGGTTATTAGAGCTCATGATAGTAGTGTTGGTGGTAGTACGGTGGTAACGCCGCCGTCATCTCCTGCGGTGAATGACGGTGGCGGAGGGAAATTGAGCCGGTGGAAAGTGGCGGTTGGGAGTGTGATTGGGTCAATGATTGGAGCGTTTCTGTTAGGGTTATTGGTGGTGGCGATGGTAGTGAAAGGGAAGAAGAAAGCGATGAGAGAGGAGATGGAGAGGAGAGCTTATGAAGAAGAAGCACTTCAGGTTTCAATGGTGGGTCATGTTAGAGCTAATCCTAATGCTTCGAGAACAAGAACGGTTCCAAGATTTGACAATACTAGGTACAGTAACAAGTAACAACAAACTTAAATTAGGTAGATCGTCTTTCTTGATATAATGTTTTCCATTTTTAGTGTTCATTGAACTCTTTTTTTTTTTTTTTCTATTTATGTTGGACTGTAACTTGAAAGATCTTCATCATTTAGGAGACATAATATATGGAATTAACTGTATTGAAAATATTGTAACACGCTTTAAGTTGTTTTGGGCTAGTTGGTTAATTTCATACATGTATGTTATATGCCATTTTGAAATCTAACAAATTGTAGTAATCACCAAACGTGTAGACATATTCACATTGTGCTTCTTTTTTTGGCTATCAGCTAGCATCACCATCATTGTGGTCTGCACAGGGACGGATCCAGACATATATTTAGTATGGGGCACTGTTATAACTAATAATTAAATTAGAGAGTATTTAAATAAATTTTACACTAGTTACTTAAGAAAATAAAAAAATAATTAGAGTACGGCAGATGCCACACCTTGGGTCTTCATGTGTCCTCAGCATAACCATGCAATTCCATTTTAGACTTTTTAAAAACTTATAATACCTTTGAAAATCCACTTAACAGTTTTTCAATGTCTCTTTTCGTTGTTGCTCATAAACAAGCAAACAATTTCCAGTTTCCAATTTCCCAATAGCATGAATGTAGTTAAAATCTTATAACCATCTCATTTTCTGCGTAAAAGCGAACAGTAAAAGAATAATTGGCTTCTGTGTCATCCATGTTAAAACTAAAACATCTTGGTAAACTTTCACATAATCAGTTTGTGACAGTTTGAATCCTCATTGCATGTATTGATTCTCATCCCAAGAATTAGTTATGCTTCGCAAATCTTTTATCATAAATGTTGGAAACAAACCAACATCCCACATCGGAAGATTAGAATAGAATTGTCTAATATATAAGTCAAGTCCAACTCCAGTCAATATAAAACATTTGGTAAAGAGCCCAAAAACAAATCCATGCGGGCTTGGTCTCTTGGGCCCAAAGCGGACAATAGCCTTAATTGCTTAGTCGCTCTTGTCCAATCCAACCATTAAGGCAATGTACGATTACGCTATCTCGGATGAGGATAAAGCATAATCGTACTTCGCCTTAGTGGTTGGATAGGACAAAAACGACCAAACAATTAAATTTTTTTTTAGTATCTTCATGTCTAAATGGAAAAGGGTTAACGTTAGCGCAAATAGAGCTAACCGTATTTTTTAATATGTATATAGTTCAGAAATTTTCATTTAGTTCAGTTTTAGACGGTAATTAATATGATAACTTTTGTAAATTTGAATTACCTTTTATTTTACGGGAAACGTTAACCATTATTGATTCTATATATTAAATATTTTCTATTCATTTCATAGTCAAATATATTTTAAAGTTTTGACTATATTGAGAGATTTTCTACAAAAAATTAAATCATTTTGAATAATAAGATTAGCAGTAATTATAAGTATTGTTCAAAAGTTTATTTGTTCAAGATTGACATAACAATTTTCAACAATCTCTCATTAAAGTTCCATTAGTAGTGGTTGCTCTATAAAATCCTAAAAATCAATCGAGAATACACAACACTTTTTTTGTTTTGTTTTGTCGAACTAATACACAACACTCTAAACAGTGCAACTCTCTCCCTCTCTGCTCTGGAACTTAAAGGATACGCCTCAATCTTTCTTGGATACCAAGCAACTAACCTTTTATATGCAAACCCTAACTTTCTCACTATTTCATTTTGCAGGTAAGGAGATGGGCCAACTGTATTAACTTAAAAGCGGATTTGGGCCTGATGAGAATTGGCTGAGGCCAATAAATTAACACATTTATATGCCTTTTACTTTGACCAAGTGTAGAAGAATGGAGGAAAATAGAGAGCTGAATTTTGATTGATGAGAGAGGATGTAACAGAGAGAGTTACATGGTGAAGTAAAACCATGGCGACACAGAGAGAAGCACAAGTAAAACAATGGAGGGAATGTTGATATGCTAAAAGTAACAAAATGGATGGTTAATGAGAAATAAGCACGAGATTACAAAGAAATAACTAATGGCCAAGAGGAAATAATAAGTAACAATAATAAAAGTTTGAGATTTAAGACGAGAAAATTTAACAGCAAAAGAAGAAGATGTAATACAAAGATATCAAGAAAAATGAAATCACAACCTCAGTTTATTGTATTTAAAAAACAGCTCTCTGATGTCCATCAGCTCGTTGTTGTCGAGATCTGCATCTTCAGCAGTCTTGTCCTTATTTTTGCTTCTTCCTCAATGGTATAAATTTCAGTTTCCTTCCATTAACTATGCATACTTTCGATGTTCGGCGCTTGTATTCATCATCATCGTCATCAGAAATAACTATAACCTCATCGTCAGGTCCAGGACCAACATTGTCTTTCTCCGGGACAGAGGAAGTGTCTTTCGATGGAACTTCATTGTAGGGAGCCAGTTGTTTCTCCGCGGGCGGCAAGGGATTTTCTTCCGTTTCCTGAAACTCTTTCAAGTACTCTGATGCTGGCAAATCAGAACAACTGAGACTATCCGCCTTTCGTTTTCTTGTGTCCACTTCACCTTTGCTACCCTCTCCGCAAAGACCACCAACATTGGTTATGTCACCGCTTTGGTTGTCTTCGTTGGACATAGCGTTATCGTACCTTGCCTTAGAGGTTGGATCAGACAAAAAAGACCAAGCTAACGAGGCTCTAACACGAGTTTTTTGGAAAAATGGGAAAGGATTGTTACTCGAGTTCAAGAGATTTATCAACTTCTCGAAATTTTCTAATAAAACTTTTGCAGAGAGACACTATGTTTTTATACTGAAAATGTGAGTAACGATTAAATAATAAATAGTGATTCAGTATTTTGTTGAAGGTAGTTAATGCAAGAAATTTTACACGACCAATTTAACATGCATGTTGTATTGAAGGTGTTTGTGATTAGATTGAATGCAAGTTTTTATTTGTATTTATTTTTTGAATTACCGTTTATTTCGCGGGAAAATATTATTGGCTATATATATATATACACACAGGAAAGTCAATTATTTTTTCAGAAATTTTCATTTAACTCGATTAAAGTTACTATTATGTTTCCAATAAAAATAGACAATAATTGATATGGTAAAGATATTTTAAAATTTTGAATTACTGTTTATTGTTATATTTATTGAAATACTTTCTATACATTGCATAGTCAACAATTTTTAAAGTTTTGACTAACCTAAGACTTCTGATGGTAAAATATATTATTTTTAAGTAATAAAATTTAATATATTATTAAGTTTGTTCATAATTTTTATATTTGTAAGAATAATATATTATGTTGTGTCTATCTTTAGATTGTTTCTTATTTCTAATCATTTGGGTGTGCATTTCTATAATTTGTTACCAAGTTTTAATTTTGACTATTTATTTTATTTAATATATAACTTTGAAAAACTTAATATTTGAAATAGGTTATGTGTAAGTATACTACTAGTGACTAAAACTCCTTTAAAAAATAAATCTCTCTAAATGAGATGAAAAAATTAATTCCGGTATAGGAATTTAAAAAATGATTTATTTTTTTTTAAAAATTGTTTATTAATGCATTTGATATAAACTCTATACGGTAAACATTCACAAGTATGTATAAATTTTTATAATTAGCTATTTTGCGTCTTATTTTGAAGTTGTCCAATGTATCTAAGATAGTCCAAACAATAAATTTATGTCTACTTCTTGATTTTTTTTTTAAGTTGCATATATAGAAAAGTATGACCCTGGAATTTCTAACACGGCCAATATACAGCTAGGCAAATCATCATTATTATCTACATTCACTATAACTGTAAAAATAAATTTGCTTAAAAAATAAGCAAAAAAGTTTTTTGTTTTATTTTAAAGCTTGAAGCCTCTTTGTTGATTACCTTAATCATATATTCACAAACAACTTGTAGAAAAAATAATGAAATAAACAAAACAAATTCGATAATTCTAAAACTTTAAAACGCCCAATGAAAACATTATCTAGATCCAATGAAAAGTCCACTAAATCCCAACATGAACCAACGGTATTTTCTCTGAATTGACCATGTTAATTTAACACGACTCCTAAGAATTTTGTTAATTCAAAGAAAAAATTATCTTTATTACACAAAAAGTGCCAAATTAATAACGTAATTATTGGGCCAAAACAAATTAATAACGTAATTATTTAACTACACTTGCATGATTGCATCAACACACTTTTCTTGTATTCGCCGCAGACTATTGTGACAGGGCATGAGATAAAACTCTTAAGATTCTGAAATATAAAGAACACGCTGCATTGATTCCCTTATTTTAATCTTTGATTCTGTGAACATGAACAATGCATAACACACCACATTCTCTATTTCCATTCTCAGAATAGAGAGACAAAGAATGCCTAGGAATAAAATAAAATGTCACTTCTATCCTCGTCTGAATTAGCACTTCTATGTCATATATCACAGTTTGTTGTCATGTCATCCGGAGAAGGAGCTTCACAGAACCTCACAGGTCACAACACCCGAAGATGAAGAGATCAAAACGTGCCACGTTCTCTAACACTAGTTTTTTTTTATCGGAGTATGAGATATCGTGAACACGAACCAATCTGTAAACAGTAAACGCTATGATAAGTTTGAGAAAGCTGGAGCTATTTCTGATGTTCTCACCGTCGCAGAGAATCCGCTTCCGAATGAGTTAATGGATTTATATATACAACATGATTCGGGTGACCCCACCTGGACCGGTTTTATTGGAAGACGTTGATAAATCATGAAGTCCTCCACTAAAACCGGTTCGGGTAGTGAGACCCGAATCATGCTGTAATAATCCAATAACCCATTTAGATGCTGGTTCTTTGTGACGTAGAGAACATGAGAAATCACTCCGGCTTTCTCAAATTCATCATGTCGGTTACTGCTTACCAATGGATTCCTGTTAAAGATATGCCAAACTCTGATAAACTCACCCAGTTTTAGAAGTACGTAGCACGTTTTGACCGGTTCATCGGTGTTGTGCGGTTTTGTGAAACACTTTCTTTGGACGACATGATAACGACCTACAATATATAAAGATGAAAGGTCTAGGAGGTAGGAAGGGAGAGATTTGGTTTTTAAGACACGAAATGATAGTTTGATGATGCAGAGCGACACTGATTTTATAGTAAAGAGTGATTCAATATTTTGCTAAAGACAATTAATGCAGGAGATATAGTCAAACAACTATGACCAATTAACATATATGTATATTTTCAAGAATTTGTGATCAGATTTCCTCAAAGAATTTCTTCCTATTTATCTTTTGAATTACTATTTTCACATGACAACTGTTAGCTGTTATTTTCAATATATTTATGAAATTAGCATATTTTCATAAACTTTCATTAACTCGGTTGAAAAAAATTACTAATATGTATTTCCAGTAAAAATAGACTATAATTGATATGGTAACGATCTTTTAAAAGTTTGAATTACCATTTATTTTGCAGGAATATCATTGACCGTTATTATTATATTTGTTAAAATATCTTCCAATGTTGCACAGTCAACTATATTTAAAGTTTTGACTAAATTGAGATTTTTGATGGTAGAATTAAATTATTTTTAAGTAATATATTTGGGTGATGATTATTGAGATTGTTCATAATTTTTGTATTTGTAAGAATAGTATATATCATCTATCTATCTTTAATTTTTTTCTTATTTCTATATAGTTGGGTGTGCATTTTCTAACTTTGTTACTAAATTATGAAGCGTGAATTTTGACTATATTTTTTTGTTAAATTTATCACTATAAACATTACTTTGAAAAAAACTTACAATTCGAAATAGATTATGTGTAAGCATACTAGTAACCAAAAGTCCTTTTAAAATCTCTATCTTAATAAAATGAAAATTTTTAATTCAGATATTGAAAAATTAAAAATGATTTTGTTTTAAAAAGAATTTTTTTTATTTAAGGATACTCATACAACTCAATCTTTCTTGAGTACCAAGTTGTTTCTTTTATATGCAAACCCTAACCTTTTCTAGATTTCCATTTTGCAAGTAAGGGAAATGGGCCAGCTAAGACAACTATAGTCAAACCTCTATAAATTAGTAATGTTGGGACTATGCTATTTTATTAATTTATAATGATACTAATTTTTTAATAAATGAGTATTTATTAATTTATAGTGTATATTAATATTTATTAATTTATGGAGATTTTTGTTTTAATTGTTAAGACATTTATAAAAAGTATGAGTTAAAACAATTTGATCTAAATATAATGAATGTTTTGTATGTTATAAATTCTTTAGTTTTAAACTTAATCATTTAACATTTAGATAAAAAGCAATTTTTGTGACAATGAATAACAAAGATTATAGAATTCACATATACAAACGATATACATACATTCAAATTTATAAATAGTAACATCAATGGTTATATTTGAAAAGCCTATACGACTATTGGAAAAACATACTTATTCAAAATTTCAAAACTTACAGAAGTTTGGCTAGTTTTATAAAACCACTAAAAATATTATATAAAACATATATATGTTTACATGATTATTAATTTATGATATTATTGGGACCATATTTTTACATAGGAATTTCAAAAAAGTTATTCTCTTAATATCTTATCGAATTTGGTTAATTTTTACCCTAACCCGACTAGGGACCGTAAAATTTATTATTTATCATATTTATTAATTTATCGAGTATTAATTTATCGAGGTTTCAACTGTTTAATAACTTCACGATTGAATTCACATTTGGGCTTGAGGAGAAATGGTCAAGGCCCATAAATTAATACATTTTATATTTCTTTTGTGTATTTGAATATTTTTGTTTTGAAAAAGTAATTGTGTAACTGAATATGCAAACTCGAGCGAGAAGTGGATCATATGAGTCAATTTTTTCGGGTTATCGATGTTTTGTGGATAGTTCTTAGAAAAAGTGACAATTTATCAAGAACATGATGGTTTTGTTTGCTACCAAACGATCATACCAACCATGGGAGCTTCTAGACGAAGTTTAGTGTTGTTACATACATAGGTGGAAGTACTCGTCTGAGCAATGAAGTGTATGATTAGTGCCGACAAGCGAGAAGTAGTATTGCTCAGAGACTATTCAAATCTGGTGAAGTCCCTTACCAAGTAGCCAGCTTTTTCCACATACTTGGAGGAAATACAAATTGATAAGGAAGAATTCAACTATTTTTCTTTATTTTTGGTTCCTCGTAGTGCTAATGTTAAAGTGGATAACTTGACACGAAAAAATTCATATCAAACTGCGTTATATCACATATGTAAACAATGTTCATGAGATTTGGTTTATTTGAGGTAATCTTGTAAAGTTGTTGACATACAGAAAAATGCAAACTCTAACCATTACATAACTTCTTGAGATTTGGTTTTCGATCTATTTTGGGTTTGTGGCTTAGAACATTTAATAATAAGAAGAAAAGTATGGTTAAGGTACCACACGTAATAAAATGGGTGATTAATGAGAAAAAAGCATGAGAATATAATCATAAATATTATTATTATTAAATAAAGTAGATTCAAACATGAAAATCAGAGACTAAAAGAAAAAGAAGAAACACAAACAATATCCAGAAAAACGAAATTAAGACCTCAGTTTTATTAAAAAATGAAATATAGTCTTACAACTATGACCATTAACATGTATATTTTCACGAGTTTGTGATAAGTTTCCTTGAAAGTTTGTATTTCTAATTATTGTTTTAGTTACTGTTTAATTCGCGGGAAACCGTTAGACCGGTAATGTTATATTCGTTAGATTATCATTCTATATATTGTATAGTCAACTATATTTTAAAATTCTTAACTAAATTGATGCTTCCGAAGATAAAATTAATTGGTCAAAACTTTTATTGATCTATATTTAATTTTTTCTTATTTCTATTTTGGGTGTGCATTTCTATAGTTTTGTTGAAGCACAAATTGTAAGATCTTCGTTATTTAGGAGCTAAACACAATACATGGAATTAACTGTTTACAAAATGAGTTATTGAAAATATTGTAACGAGCTTTAAGTTGTTTTGGGCTAGTTGGTTAATTACATACGTGTACAGTATTATGTATATGCAATCTTGAAATCTAACAAATTGTAGTATCACTGAACGTGTGTGGTCTGCATCAACTCCATTTCAAACTTTTTGAAAAGTCATGATTAACTTATATACCTTTGAAAATCCACTTTTAAAGTTTTTGAGTGTTGTTTTTCGAGTTTCCGTGGTTGCTCTTAAGCATGCTAACAATAACCCATTGCATACTAACCATTTAGGCTTGTACTGTTGTACATATTATCGTGTACATGAGACTGCCGATAGCATATGTATTTGGAATGATCTTACGCATTTTATTTTCGCGTAAAAATGACTTGTAAAAAAAATTAATGGTTGAGATGATTTAATATAATATAAGAAAGATTGAGATGATTTCAGACAAGAGAAAAATATGAGACTGAAAGAAGAAGATGAAATAAAAACGACATAAATAAAAATGAAATTACAACATCAGTTTTATTATGAAAAAGAAAAAAATAGGATAATGGTCTAAAGGAACAACACTTAAACGCTTGAACATAGTCTTCATCTTGAACAACTAGCATTAGCACCTACTTTTGCTGCTTCTTCAATGGTAATTTTCACTCTCCTTCCATTAATTATGCGCAGTTCGCTGCTCAAGCTCATGTCATACTCCTTCTCTTCAGCGTCGTCATAAACAACTACCACCTTATTGTTAGTTCCAGGACCAACATTATGGTTCTTGGGATCAAAGGAAGTGTCATTCCATCGAAACCGATTGTGCGGAGCCTGTCGTTTCCTCGCCAGCGGCAAGGGATTCACATCCGCTACCGGAAACTCTTTCAAGCACTCTGATCCAGGCAAATCAGAACAAATGAGACTACGCGTCTTTCGCTTTCTTTTGTTCTCTCCACCATAGGTTATGTCATCGCCTAATCCATCACCGATTTGGCTGCTGCCTACATTTCCTTGGGGTTCAAGGTTATCCTCGTCCGAGATAGCGTAATCGTACATCTCCTTGATGGTTGGATTGGACAGGAGCGACCAAGCAAAGAAGGCTTTTTCAGAAGCTTCATGTCTAAATGGAAAAGGGTTACTAATGTCTCCCCATCCCAAAAGATTCAATATCTTCTCGATGTTCTCAAATAATACTGGTCCAGGTCCGTCCATCCGGATCATGCCGTAACAATCCAACAACCCATGGGGAAGACGGTTCTCTGCAGCGATAAGGATGTCACAAATGACTAGGGCTTTCTCAAGCTCATCATGACGTTTCTTGCTTACTCGCTTATTCATTTGAATGATATATCGAGCGCTCTTAAAGTCACGCAACTCTAGAAGTTGGTGGCACCTTTGGATTGGATTATCTTCGGGGGCTGTGCGGGTTTGTGAAGCACCTTCTCCAGAATACATGGCAACGATCTAGTGAAAAGATAGAGAGAGAGGTGTGTTTTGGTAGTTTAGACGATGATGCAAGTTCTTTGCACAAGGAGAATATGGTTTTATATTTGATTTGTTAGGGAAGAATATTTTGTTTTAGCGGGTAATTAATGAAGGGAAATCTAGTCTAACAACTTCGACCAAGTAATTAATGCAGAGTGATTATCTTCTATTTTTAATCAGGAGTTTTATTATGATGATGTTCAAAAAAAAAAAAAGTTTAATTATTATTATTTTTTATTTCTATTTATTTTTTGAATTACCGTTTATTTTACACAAATACCGTTAACTATATGATAACTATAGTTTGTAATTTTGAATTACCGTTTATTTCGAGGGAAAGAGTTGATCATTATCGTTTATATATATTAAATATCTTTCTATACATTTCATAGTCTACTATATTTTAAACTTTTGACTAAATTGAGATTTCTACAATAAAATAAATCCTTTTGAATAATAAATTTAGCATTAATTATAAATATTGTTCATAAGTTTACTTTTTCTAAAATTGACTTAACAATTCAACAATCTCTCATTTCATTAAACACTAATCACGATCATCTGCTTTCATTTGTAAGAAAGTAGTATATCTATTTAGTTAGTTTGATACAAAATATTTGTTTAATGGAAATTATATTCTTAACTATGCCTTTAATTATTTAGAGCAGATTTTCTTATCTTGAAAACACATTATTTAGTAATATATATAATAATAAGTAAAAAAAATATATTAAAAACAAACAATATTATTAGAAAAACAAAGAATATTTTTAGAAAACATATAAAAACAAAGCATATAACTTATTTTTATTTTCTTTTACTTTATCAGTTTTTGTTACTAATATTTTGTTTCGATTGAATATTATAATTACTTTTTTGAAATATTACCATAAACATTTTTTCTAGATGTGTCTTAGGCCACCACACGTCTAAGCATGGCACTGACACAACGTATCACAGTTACGATCTTGGAAACTTTAAAACCCTAAACTACAGTACCATCAAATGTGTAAAATACCTGGATCGGATGTGCTTTTTCTGTTATCAAATCACCATAACTCAGATTGCATGTGTAATGCTTAGCTTTTCCATCACGGAACTTAGATTGTCTTATACATATATATCTTTGTCCAATAAACTTCTAAAATCGATCAATTAAGATTTAGTACAAAGCTTAAGATAAAGACTCGAACTTTACTTAAATGTTTATTTTTTCTTTTTCTCTCTCTCAGTTCAACTCTCTCCCTCTCTGCCATTGAAACACCTTCTGTTCTGGAACTTAAAGGATAGGCCACAATCTTTCTTGAGATGCAAACCCTCACCTTCTCTCTATTCTGGAACATAAAGGATAATAGGCCAGACCTTTTTATATGCAAACCCTAACCTTCTCTCTTATTAATCCATTTTGCAAGTAAAGGAGATGGGCCAGATAGGCCTAACTGTAATAATTTCACGCTTGAATTCGGATTTGGGCTTGAGAAGAATTGGTTGAGGCCCATAAATTAACACATTTATATGCCTTTTACTTTTGACCTAGTTTGGAAGAATGGAGGAAAATAGAGAAGATGAATTTTGATTGATGAGAGAGTGTGTAACAGAGAGAAAGAAGCAGAAGTAAAACTATGAAGGGAATGTTGATTTGTTGTGTCTATATAAAGAAAAAAATATGCAATAATAAGAAGAAGGAGAATATACCAAAAGTAATTAAATGGATGTTTTTGACCCCAAAAAAAAAGGTAATTGAGGTTAATGAGAAATAAGAACGAGAGCCTACATTGAAATAATGACCAAGAGGAGATTAAAGTAATAACAGATTTGATATTTCAGACAAGAAAATTTAATACTGAAAGAGAAGATGTAATACAAACGATATCAAGAAAAATGAAATTACAACCTCAATTATTATCTAAAATAAAATTTAGAATAATAATCTAATAGTAGAGTATCTTCTTCTTGAACAAGTCTTGTCCTTATTTTTGCTTCTTCCTCAATGGAATAAATTTCACTTTCCTTCCATCAACGATGCGCACTTTCGCTGTTCTAGCCATTGATATAATATCACGGCCCACGTATTCCTCATCCTCGTCATCAGAAATAATCACAACCTCATCGTCAGGTCCTGGACCAACTTTAGGCTTCTCGGGGACAGAGGAAGTGTCTTTCGATGGAACTTCATTGTTGGGAGCCTGTTGTGTCTCCGCCGGCGGCAAGGGATTATCTTCCGTTTCCTGAAACTCTTTCAAGTACTCTGATGCTGGCAAATCAGAACAACTGAGACTATCCGCCTTTCGCTTTCTTGTGTCCACTTCACCTTTGCTACCATCTCCGCAAAGACCACCAACATCGGTTATGTCACCGCTTTGGTCTTCGATTACAAGGTTATCCTTGTTGGACATAGCGTTATCGTACTCTGCCTTTGAGGTTGGATCGGACAGATACGACCAAGCTAACGAGGCTCTCACACGAGCTTCCTGACAAAATGGAAAAGGGTTGTTACTGGAGTTCAATAGATTCATCAACTTCTCGAAGTCCTCCGATAAGACAGGTCCGGGTGGTTTCACCCGAATCATCCCATACCAATCCATCAATCCATTCGGAAGCGGGTTCTCCGCGGCCGTGAGAACGGCCGAGATAGCCGCCGCTTTCTCAAATTCATCTCGCCGTTCACTGAATAATACCTTGTTCTTGTTCACGACATCTTGGACTCCGACAAAGTCACCGAGTCTAAGAAGTACGTGAATAGTTCTTATCACTTCATCTGCGGATGACATGACAACGAAATATGATATCAGTGAAAGCTCCGGCGAGAGAGTGAAAGAGAGAAATGTTTTGGGTATTTTAGACGAGAAAATGATAGTTGTCTGATAAATGTTTTGCAGAGGGACACTATGTTTTTATACTGAAAATATGAGTAGAGATTAAAGAGTGATTCAATAATATGTTGAAGGTAATTAATGCAAGAAATCTAGTCTTACACGACCAATTAACATGCATATATCTATTAATTTTAGGTGTTTGTGATTAGATTGACTGCCAGTTTTTATTTCTATTTATTTATTTTTTGAATTACCGTTATTTCCCTCGAATACCGTTGGCTTGGCAGTATTTTTTCGATACGAAATTAGTTTAAATTCCAGAATTTTGTATTTATTTTGGTTAAAAAGTTACTACTATGTTTGAAAAAAAAAATAGACAGTCATCTATATGGTAACGGTATTTTGAAATTTTGAATTACCGTTTGTTTCCCGGTAATATCATTGACCGTTATTGTTATATTTGTTAAAATATCTTTCTATACATTGCATAGTCAACAATATTTTAAATTTTTGACTAAATTGATACTTCTGAATTTTGATAATAAAAATTAAATATTTTGAATAATAAAACTTAGTAATAATTATTAAAATTGTTCATAAGTTGTAAATCTATTTTTTCCCTATTTACATTTTTTCCTATTTATTTTATTTTATACATTACTGTAAAAATTACTTTGAAAAACATTATTTTAAATAGATTCAGGGTAAGCATACTAGTGGTCAAAACTCCTTTCTTATAAATTAATTCTGGTATTGTTGAAATTAAAGAAAATGATTTAATTTAATTTTTTTTTATTAATGCATTAATAAGATAACCCCTAAACGGTAAAAATCCTATGTATAAATTTTAATAATTAGCTATTTTATGTTCCTTGTTTTGTAGCGGGCCAATGTATCTAAGATAGTCAAACCAATCAATTTATGTCTACTTATGGATTTCTATATTTTTCTAAAAGTTGCATTTGCATATATAGAAAAGTATCACCTTGAAATCTCTAACACAATATACAGCTAAGCAAATCATTATTATCCACATTTCACTATAACTGTATAAATAAATAGATTTAAAATTTTGCTAAAAAAGTTATAATTTAAAAACTTTCAGCCTCTTGTTGATTACCTTACAGGCTTAAATCATATACAGAAAAAAATAAAATAATAACAAACCAAAAATTTCGATATATTATTGGGCTAAAAATAAGTTTCAAGCCCAATTATTCGGTCCAATAAGATAACGAAATATTGTATCTTACCATAAACCCTACCACACTTGATCTCTCCCTTATTTTCGCACCAATTCTCTTGACATTTTCTGTTTCCCTCAACAATTTTCCCGGGAAAGAAAAAAAAAACCTTTAGTGAAGAAAAAAAAAAACAGAAAGATTTCATTTTTTTCTCAACCCAAATCTCAAATCTGGAGGAAAGAAACAGTAAGAGGTTGAAATCAACCATGGAAGAAGATGAATCAACAACACCGAAGAAGAAGACAGATTCTCAGCTGAATCTTCCACCGTCGATGAATCGACCGACGGTCTCACTTGAGTCACGAATCAACCGTTTAATTGATTCAAATCATTATCACTCTCCTTCGAAACCTATTTACTCAGATAGGTTTATTCCAAGTAGATCTGGTTCCAATTTCGCGCTTTTCGATTTGGCTTCTCCTTCGCCGAAGAAAGATGGGAAAGAAGATGGGGCTGGTTCTTATGCGAGTCTTTTGAAAACGGCACTTTTTGGTCCGGTTACGCCGGAGAAGAGTGATGTTGTTAATGGGTTTTCTCCGTCGAGTAATATTTTTAGGTTTAAGACGGAAACGCAGAGGTCTTTGAATTTGTATCCGCCTTTTGGTTCTGATGTGGTGATGAGTGGTGTTAGCCCTAGTCCTGTTAAGTCTCCGAGGAAGATTCTTAGGTCTCCTTATAAGGTGAGTGTTTGTTTTGACTGGGGTTTTTAGGGGTTGTGGAGTTGAAATTAGGGTTCTTGGATGGATTCGTGTAAATTTGGTGGATTTAGGTTTTTGAGAGTTGTGATTCTTGATTTTGTTCCTACATTTCATCTATTTGTGTGCATGTATGAAACTTCTGAGATCTTTGGGGACTGGACTGTTTTGGAAGAATGAGTACTGTCTACTATTTATCTAGTTTGATTATAAAGGTTTGTCCTTTTTGTTGCATTTGCCCTGTGGATGATAGTAGAGGCTTGTTGTTGTTGTTGTTGTTGTTAGGTATTGGATGCGCCGGCTCTGCAAGATGATTTTTACTTGAATCTTGTGGATTGGTCAGCACATAATGTTCTGGCAGTGGGATTAGGGAACTGCGTGTATTTGTGGAATGCTTGTAGTAGCAACGTGAGTATCTTTCTTTCTTTTTTTCTTCCTGATTTGTAACTACTGTCTTATTCTTTTCTTAGATAGTGTCTTTTGTGATGGGAATCTTTCTCTGATATTTGCAGGTAACTAAGTTATGCGATCTTGGGGTTGATGAAAGCGTTTGCTCAGTGGGTTGGGCACTACGTGGAACACATTTGGCTATTGGAACTAGTAGTGGAACAGTACAGGTTAGATGATCAAGACAGACTTGGCTATTTGAATCTATACATGCCTTTATATACATTAACTCTTGAATCTGGAATGAATCTTTTTCGGAAACTAGGTTGAGTTAGACCTTGAGGATGTTGCTTATGCAAATGTTATTTCACAGGAATGCACTAGCTACCTTGGTTCACTGAATCATATTGGCTGCATTAACTTGATCATTGGTGGTTAAGATGGATATTTGTCTTAAGATTTGAGGAAGGTGTCATGATATCTTGACTGATTTCTTTTACTAGATCTGGGATGTGTTACGATGCAATAGGATAAGAACAATGGAAGGTCATCGTCTAAGAGTTGGAGCCCTAGCATGGAGCTCATCTGTTCTGTCTTCAGGTAGTAGAGACAAGAGCATACTTCAGAGAGACATTCGGACTCAAGAAGATCATGTCAGTAAGCTAAAAGGTCACAAATCCGAAATATGTGGACTCAAATGGTCTTTTGACAATCGCGAGCTAGCATCAGGTGGAAATGACAATAAGGTAAATATATAATCTTCATTCTCTGTCTGAAGTTAACATGATTTTTCAAGCATGGGTAATGATTCTAGGATCTTGCAGCTTTTTGTATGGAACCAACATTCAACACAACCGGTTTTGAGATACTGTGAACACGCCGCAGCAGTGAAAGCCATTGCATGGTCCCCACATCATTATGGACTTCTTGCTTCCGGTGGTGGCACTGCTGATAGATGTATTCGTTTCTGGAACACAACTACAAACACTCATTTGAGTTGCGTAGACACCAACAGTCAGGTAAATCCGGTTATGCTAATTTATAAACAATTGACATTTCACATTGTGGTTTTATAGCTACATAATCGATTTTTTTACACGCAGGTGTGTAATTTAGTATGGTCTAAGAACGTGAATGAGCTTGTGAGCACTCACGGATATTCCCAGAACCAAATCATCGTCTGGAAATATCCAACTATGTCTAAAGTAAGTATTCTTTGTTCTTCAGTTCGGTTTCTTTGATTTGTTACTGAATTTTGGGATTTGAATGATTGAACCTGTTCTATTACAGTTGGCAACTCTCACGGGTCACACATACCGCGTTCTGTACCTTGCGGTGTCACCTGATGGACAGGTTACTTTTTTTCTTTTTCTCATTGCTTATTCTTAATCATCATCTTATATTTTTTGCTTACTTTCTTATGTTGTTGTTCATCTACACTTGCATCAACACACTTTTCTTGTATATGTTGCAGACGATTGTGACAGGAGCAGGAGATGAAACCTTAAGATTCTGGAATGTCTTCCCTTCTCCGAAATCTCAGGTAAAGAACCCAAAGCATATATTCGCAATTCCTAATCCTTAAACCTTGTGAAAATGAACAATGCATAACACACAACATTCTCTTTTTCTTTTTCTATTCTCAGAGCAGAGAGAGCGAAATCGGGGCACTATCTTTTGGTAGAACAACAATCCGGTGAAATCTTGACATGATTCTCGAAATCAGGGCGATGAAGATGAAGCTAAACACAGCCAGATTAGTTGGTCGTCCTAGCCAAACCTCCCCCGAGATTGTGTGAAGTCTTTCTCATGAGAATGCAAAGATGAGAAAGACTAAGTTAGTGGCAACAGATCAAACCTAAGTTTTATTAGTTTTGTGTGATCTGGGTTTCTTTAGATTTTCTTCTCCGTTGTACAGATTGGATTTTTTTTTTTTTTGTAAATATAATATTTTCTGAAACTTTTGATTACAACAAAGAAAATGTAGAATGTAGATTTCTCCATGACCCGGAGTTAAAAGGTTCTAAAGATCTTTATGCTTTTAGGGCACTTAACCAACGTTATGTCTCCTTTGTGATCTCCAATTACTAATTGTTTATTGGTTTTGTGAGTATTATTAACTTTCTCACATAACCTATGTTCAAACTTCTTTTAAAAAAGGGAAAGTTACTAGATTAACCCAAATTATGAGTTTAATTACTAGAATGTCTCAAAAAAATTGGGGGTTAAATGAGTTATTTTCATGACCATAATACCATTTCTCTCTTTGTTAGGAATAAAAAAAAAGTCAAAATTACCCTTAAATATATTTAAAAAACGTGGAGAAAAAATATTTGGAAAAAAAAAATTATTTGAAAAATCTGCTGGGTTAGTTGTGACAGGTTTATTTTCCATGACAGACTTATTTTTCTATGGCAGATTTTTTGCGACAGAATTTTTTTCTCCCACAGACTTACTTAAAATAGGTTACGACAGATATTTAATTTGTAGCAGATTTTTTTCTCACGACAGACTTATTTTATGATGACACCACAGACTTTCGTAATTTTGACAGATTTATTAAAATGTGTATTGTTTTAGTGGCGTCAGACTTATATTTTTCGATAAAAATCTGTCATAATGTAGTAGATCTGTTAATAAAAAAATAATTACTAGTTTGACTTATTAGTGATAACAGATTTATTTTATGTTATGACAGTTTTTTTTTTCTTAACGAAAATCTGGAGTATGATAGCAGATTTGTTATATAAAATTATAAATTGCTAGAATGACATATACTCACGACCGAAATGTTTCATGTTATGACAGATTTTTTTTATATTACGACAGATTTCAGATAGGCTATAAAAAAATCTGTCGTATGATGGCAGTTTTATTGATGAAAATAGAATTTTAATCTGCACAATAAAGTAATGACAGACATATTCTTATCGCGACAGACTTATTTATAATATATGGCTTATGTGTGGTTGTCTTCTCGTTAATATATGATAAAGATAATTTTTTTTCGTTTTTTATATATTTATTTTTCTTTCTAATTTATCTATTTTTTTGTATTTTGTTCGTTTTTTTTTAAAAAAAATTTTTGTTCTGTATTTTTTTTCATTTTATATTTTTTTATCGTTTTGTATTGTTTTCTAATTTTTTATTTAATTTAGTTACTATATGTTAATTATTTTATTTTCACTGAATTGAAGATAAAATGGGTTTTTGTTTTTTTTTTTCGTTTTTTTATTTTTTTATGTTTTTTTCAATTTATATATATATTTTTTTTGGTTTTGTATTTTTTTTCGTTTTTTTCAATTTTTTTTTTTTTTTAAATTTTCGTTTTATAATTTTTTTTTGTATTTTTAAATTTTTGTTTTAATTTAATTATTATATGTTAATTATTTATTTTAATAGAATTGAAAATAAAATGGGTATTTGGTCTTTTAACACAAAAATTGTGTTATTCTAGTAAACCACAATATTTGGGTGTTAATCTAGTTATTTTTCTCTAGATTTGAGTCAAACTAGATAATTTTCAGTTTAAAAAATTTCATCAAATTGTGTTGTGTGGAAGTAAAATGTAAATAATTAATAAGATAATCTCGAATTCAAAACTACAAAATCTCTACATCTTTCATCAATTTTTATATCTTTCGAAGAAAAAATATTATAACCACATTTATATATAAACCAAAATCTGGCCACATTATAACCATTTCGTAAATAATATATTCATAATCTAAGAATCTTATATTTGGAACACTACATAATCTTAACTTGGAAACTATCAAATTTCATCTTTGCTAAATTTTTGGATTTCTTATACTTAAAAAAAAAAAAGTTATACTATAAAATCTCGACATATTTCAAACATACAGAAAGGCATATTGCCATAAATGGTAACATTTCGTCAATACTTTCTTTATCACGTTGAAGCTTTATTCCACGTTCAAATATTTCACGGGTAAAACGTATTCTTACACGAAATAGTCCCAAATTTGAATAAAACAACAAAAAATTATTACATGTTTCGTTTTACACAAACGGATCTTGGATCCCATATAATAATTTTAATCACAATAATTTTACTCGAATCACTTTATTCCGCACATAGTGCGGGTTGTTATTTAGTATATTATTAGTTACCTATCATTCTCAAATGATATACATAGTAGGAGTAGGACATGTCACATTATTCGTTTCTGTATCTGTTTGATTCTATTCGAAAAAAATGTGAGTAGTTGAGTACACATAATAACTCAAAACAAATCAGATATTAGGCTGAAAAAAAAAACAAATCAGATATTAACATACGGTAAATGTTTTTATTAGAGCAAAACACAAATAACAACAGTAAAAAGGTCGAATATCCCGCTTTGATCCATATTTTCCATGTACATATTTTCCCGATTAGTATACATAAGAGTTCTACTGGAAATTATACAACAAACAACCTGCCGACAAAAAAAATTAAAAGCACCAATTAGTTGGAACTTTCCACTTCACCATTAAACCAATCTGAACCAGAACCCCAATCACACTGCGTGTACTTTTCTTCCGGTAAGAACCGGTTCCGACAAATCGGACACTTCATCTTGTTGAAGTCAACGATCCAACGGTCTAAACAACGATTGTGAAACACGTGTCCACACTTGGGTAGCTGTCTCATCATATCGTTGGAGTCAAAATCGGATAAACAAATCGTGCAGCAATCTTCCGGATCGGTCAAGAGATCCGAGAACCGAATCACCGGGATTAACTCGTTGGCAAGACTCGCTGACGTGGAGAGACCGTGTCGGGCCGGGTCGGGTCGAGAGGTCTCGTGGTGGTCAAGAAAACTAGGTAGACCAATGTAAGGACAAAGAGTGTCGACGATATCTCTAAAGAAACCGATGACGTAAAGTATCTTAACTACGTACCCTGGAATCTGAAGCTCCTTGATGAAATCTTCTGGAAGACCCATGACTGAGATAAAGATAGAGAAGAGAGATGAAGATTGAGTTGTGTGGAAGTAAAATGTAAATGGTCACAAAGATCAACTTCTCTCGATTGTCTCCCCGCATTTTCCACGTGAAGGTGGTCCCAGTGACTATAACACACCATGCAGAACCAAAAAGAAAAATTTGATTCTTTTACCAAAAAAAAAATAAAAATAAATATTGATTCATTAGAAATATATACAAAATCATCTCGGACTTTTAGAGATCTGCTTACAAAATATAAACTACTAAATTAAATTATGACTATGGTGGCAAAATGCTAAATATGAGGTAAGGTATATTCGCTTGGATTGACCAAAGTATTTTTGTGTAGTCAAGCGAAATTGTGAAATGTTATGAAATATCGTGGCGTGACATTTGGTAAAATAGAGTGTTATTGGCCAAAATAGCAAGCAAGTGTATGATGAATAAATGTGCATGGATGGAGATAGCTTAATATCGGATAAAATAGTAAGTTTGTTAAAACTGTGTGATATCGGATAAAATACTATATTTGTTAAAACTATGTGTGCTATCGGATAAAACTATTTAACTAATTAATGGAAATTGTAAAGTTAGTGCATGTATACAGTATACCCATGTAAACAATCATCATTATAGTTTCTAATATTCTAATTACTCATTCATATAAATGGGATTTGCACCATAGAATATCTTTTGGAAATATCGATATCTTGTGTTTCATTTTACAAAATTTTCATGTTGTGTCGTGATCAGTTGGTGGGACCAAAAATATAGACTAGTCTTTTCCTCGCCAAATAATATTGCCCCCACGTTTTTAATACAAACAATCAGGTGTCTTGTTTGATTCTCCTAATTATTCTAAAAGACCGAGTCACCTTCTGTTCAAAAGTGAAAAAAATAGGATGATAAAATTTACGTTCCACTTGTATACGGACATTATTGTTGTAAGAAATGACTCGACCCACCACCATGAATTATCCAACATAGACAGATATGTGTTACTATTTTTGTTTACTTCGATTATACATGTACTCAGTCACAAGATTCCCTCCGGCTATAGCTACACTATCATCCTCTTCACCATAGCTGTCATGAGAATGAGACCAGGGGATCGTGCTGACCGTCGGGAAACAACAGCTGCACTTATCAAAGCAAGGCGGTTCCGGTAAGGCTTCGCACGGCTGACTCTTACAACCATCATGCGAGGTGGCCTCGCATAGCGGACCCCAACATTCCACCTTGTTGAACTTGGGGATGTTGGAATGAAAATACACCCAAACATAACCGTCTTGTAGCTCAGGGTAATTGTTTAACATGTTCTCATCTCCACACACAAAAGCTTTTAACACCTATAAATCAACGTTGAAGTATCCAACAATAATCGATCCATTACTTCGCCTAAGAAGTCGATACCCGTAGACTATAGACTATACTTGGCTAAAAATATTTTACCAATGGTAATTCCTTGCAAAATATGAAGTAACGAAGTTCCGCAATGAGATCCAAAAGAAAATGATCGCCACTAATGTGACAATGAACGTGAAGCGACATTTTACTTTTCACCTTCCTCCATTCGGCAACTACTTCATCCCGGTACAACCTGTTTGCCCATCCTTGCAGCTGATGCAACCATGGGATAAAAACTTACATCAGCTTTGCTAAAACTCTATGTTCTAAATCCATGAGAGTTAATGAATAACTAATTACCTGAGAGTTGTTGATAGAGTGAGAAATAGCTAAAGTTAAGTTTGCGGTTATGTCACTATGAGTTAGAGTGTAAGTTCTTGGAAGATTTGATGGATGCTTCTTCTCATCAACTCCTACAAACATGACATTCAGTTTAGAAGCTTTGAAAATGGCCTGTCCGAATAGTCTCGCAACCTTCACCATTTCAAAAGAAAAAAAAATTAACATTAAGGTTTGATTAAATAAAACAAATAGAGATTTTCATTTTGTTTTCCAGAAACAGAGCTTTGAAAAGTTTTCTCAGGGAAAGGATTGAGATTATTACAGGAAACATAGATTGCTTCTTCCTCTTGGAACTTCTAGTAGTTGAAGGGATTGAGCTTCTTCTCTCTTTGTCTGACAAATTTGGTCTCAGGTTTGCTGGGAGCAACAAGTTTGCCATCAAGCTACACATCTCTCTCTCTCACTCTCACTCTCTTAGAATTGTAGAGGCGATACAAAAACATATATTTTCTAAAAGTAGAGGTCTTTTAATTTCGTGACTTGATGCCAAATCCTACTATTTATCTTGTGTCGATTATTCATACAATAAAAAGACATGTATAACACGTGGGTGGGTCTAATACTATTCACCTTATAAAACTACTACTGAATGAATTTATAATACTGAGACTTATGTTATACAATTTTCATTCCCTATTAACACCGACCAAATAGACTTTTATGTTCCTTATAACTTTCCTAACCACCAAAGAAAAATGAAAATATACATTTACATTAGATCTATGATGGATCATTTATCCCTTTGATTTCTCAGGGTTAGGTATAGAGCTTCCAAACAGGCCATCCGCGACATTCTCATCCGCTCCGCTATTTTGATAATGACGATGAGACCATGGGATCGTGCTAACCAGCGGAAAGCAACATTTGCACTCATCAGGACAAGGTAGCTCCGGTAGAGTTTCACTCTTTTTGCGGGTCCTATTTCCGTCGTGCGACGTGGCCTCCCAAAGCGGGCCCCAACATTCGACCTGGTTGTACTCCGGTATGTTGGAATGGAAATAAACCCAAACAAGAGATTCTTGTAGCTCAGGGTAATTATTCAACAAGTACTCATCTCCATGGACAAAAGCTTTCAGCACCTATAAAAATGAATAGGTCCAATATAAGTCAACCGACATCTTGCAATCTTTGCTTGCGCCATACAAGTTAAAAATTATCTACAATTTTTTTTATATCTCTTAATTAACATGACAATAACCACAAGACTATTACTAAAAAAAGATTGCACAAAATTAACTTACCACCGGTAATTCTTTGCAAAAGATGTAGTACCGAAGCTTCGCAATGAGATTCAAGAGGAAGTGGCCTCCGCTAATGTGACAATGAACATGAAGCGACATTTTACCTTTCACTTTCTTCCACTCGGCCACTACTTCGTCCCGGAACAATTTATTAGCCCATCCTTGCAACTGGTGAAATCACAGTCCAACAAGTACATCAATATCCTAAAACGCTAAACCCTAAACCCTTATTTTTGTAAACCATGGGGTAGTTTATGATACCTGAGAGTTATTGATGGATTGAGATATAGCTAAAGTTAATTTAGCGGTTATGTCGCTGTGAGTTAGAGTGTAAGTTCTTGGAAGTTTTGCTGGATGCTTCTTCTCATCAACTCCTAAGAATAATACTTTCAATTTGGAGGCTTCAAAAATCGCCGGTCCAAACAATCTTGCAACCTTATCCATTCAAAACATGAGGGAAATATATCAAATCTTCAATAAGATTCATTAAATTTTAGATCCAAAAAACGCTCAACGCAAAGAGATAAAACCCTAAAAAACAGAGTATATATACAAACCAAACCAATAGAACTTTTTTTTTACTATTTCTCAAATTCTCCAGAATTAGTAATAGATTTTCATAGAAACGTATCTAAACCAAACAAATAATGAAATTATTAACAAAAATAGGAACTTTGAAAACAGAGTATAGAGGAAAAGATTTGAGATTCTTACAGGAACAATAGATCTGTTCTTCATCTTGGATCTTCTAGTGGTGACACAGAGTGAGCTAGTGCTCAGTTTCTCTGGAAAAACTGGTTTCATCTTTGATGGTAGTAAAAGATTTGTAGCCAAACTACACATCTTTGCTTGTTTTCAAATATCCGAAATTTACAGAAACAAGATTGAAGAATCTAATAATTAAATACAAGAACTCTCTCTAATCAAGATCTCACGCTATACTTGCGTGTTCGTAATCAAAACTTGTAACTTTGAAACCCACAAAATATCAATCAAGCTTGCTTTCGCTTTCGGTTTAACTTTTTTTTTCTTCCGCTAATTTAGGTTTTTTTTTTGGTTCTTTCTCTTTTTGTTGCGTGTTGGGTTAGATAACTATATATAGGAGTTTAAATTTAAAAGAAGGTTGCTTCTATTTCTAGACTTCTTTTTAGTTCTTCAAAGATCTCTTTGAACAGGTGAGACTGAGAGTGCCACGTGGTGACTAGCTTCTTCACTGCATGAGTTCGCATGTGTCGGCATCGGCAGACTAAGGTTCACACGTGGCTTTTAATGTGTTTCTTCGGTTCGGTTTTTGGATAACTATTCACCGTTTTCGAACAAAGAGATAAGAGGTTTGGTTCTTACCAAATTGTCACTTTTGGCCGTTGCCTAAAATGGTATCCGTGCGATTTGGCTTTGACTAGATCTGTTATACAGTATAGTCCGGTTTAAGCTTTGACAGAAGGTAATCATTGGTTAGTTGATTCTGGTATGAATCGGTCGGTTCAATTAACAAGTCTATCGTAAATCGGAGTACTTAATTGTCTCAAAGATAATTGAGAAAATAGATAATAAAAAAAAAAACAAAAAAAGATGATCGATTGGAAAAAAGAAGAAGTGCTGATAGTTGATACCATTTCTTGTCTCAAAGAACAAAACGTTGGGCCACTCAAAATTAATTTTCCATTCAAACTTATACATGATTATTTATTATTTAGACTATTATCTTAATTAACATTTTTACAAAACTTTCTTAATCTTTTTTTTTGTCGGGATTTATGACTAATTGCAAATTATGAAAACTATTACATAGACGATTCAACAACTGATAATTCATTCCGACCTTTATTAGATCCACGACAGACTACTTTTCCTTCTTCATGATCTTGATGAATACCTTCAATGATCCACAACCTGGCTACACTTCCTTCTCTGCGTAGAATCCTGGCGAACGGCTATAATTGTACATCGCTGGAGATCTCCTGCACACTTACCTCCATTAATCTGCAAATTTGTTAATAAATCGCAATATCTGGGAGTCGAACCCCAGACTTCTTGGTGTAGAAACATTAATCAACCCTTGGTCAACCAATGGGCCAAGGAGCTTCCACAAACTTTCTTAATCTAATATTAAATTAACTAGGACTCAGGACCCCCGCGATGTCGCGGGGGAATATATTTCAAAAATCATTTAAAAAAATATCAAACGAAAAAATCATAATGAATTGTAATATTTTGAATTTTTTTAATAACAAATCAATATATATTTTACTAAAAATTATGATGAAGAAAACCCTCACAAGCATTTATTAAGTATATTAATATTAGAAAAACAATAATTATAACTAAAAAACTATTTCCAAATGCAAAAAGCATAAACTAATAAACCAAACATTACAATGGTTTGATAAATAAGCCAAAACGTTCAATGTCAAATAAACCAAATGCTATTGTGTTAAATTAAACGGTAACAACAATTCATTTCAATATATTTTAGTATTTAAATATTTTTTAAAAATATGACGAACTTATCCGAGTAACGCAACCGTGATATCAAATATTCCAAAAACTGCAACAGTTCGTCAATTATACCAAATGTTGCAATAGTTCATCAAATATAATAAAGATAACAATGGTTCGTAACACAAAACCAAAAGTTGCAATAAATCGTCAAATAATCCAAATGTTGAAACAGTTCAATTAAATAGTTACAATCTCATTTAAATACATTTTAGTAATTAAAAATTAAGAATTAAAATAATAATTTATGAAAAGTTACACCGAGAGACGCGGCGGTAGATAATTAAATGTTATAGCTATTTATAAAATAAACCAAAAATTGCAATTGTTCGTGAAATAAACTAAATATATAAACCAAAGGTTGCAATTGTTCGTAAAATAAACTACATATTGCAATGATTCGAATAAGCGGTTTCAACTGTTTATGAAGAGTTACAATAAAAAAACGCAACCGTAGAAAACATTCAGAATGCAATTTATAAAAAAAAAACATAACCGTAAAATATATATTTTAATTAATAAAAACATTAACGAAAAGTTGCGATAAAAAGACGCAACCGTTCAGATGTGCAAATGGTATTTATTAGATTGCTATTATATATAGATTTTTGTTTTTGTTATTAATTAGGAAAAAAACTATGATATAAAGTCCTATTTCATTTTAAACTCCTTTCTATTAACAACTAGATAAGGACCAGACGGGTTTAATTTTTTTTAAATTAAAATCATATTTAACAAAAAATTAATTATCAAAGTTGTAAGTAGAAATTTTCTTTCAAATGTAAAAAAAAATATTTACTTTTTCACTGTTGCATTGTTTCTTTAACCACTAAAATTATTAATTCAAAATTATTTCGAATGAAAGATATATCATATAGCAATAACTCATGGTATACTTATATGAAGAACTAAAATTAAAAATATTCATCATAAGTTGGCGAATGAAACCAAAGTGGTTTTTAATTAGACACATTAAAAATATAAAGATAAGAAATCAACTAAATCCCCTAGTCTTCCAAGCTAACGTTGCGGGTTCGATTCATATATACTCGATTGCAATGACTTGATGATCAATCAATAAAAATTGATAAATTCAAAAAATTATATAATTTTGAAATAGTATGATTAAATTCAAATTATCAAAAACAAAGAAGGAGCACATATGGTTCTTACATATTCAAGAATTTCAAATAAACAATATAAAACTTTACTTAAAATCATCACGTATTTCTAATTAGAAAATAAAATTGATTTAAATAATGTAAATTTTTAATTTAAATAATGACACATGTCGTTATCTAAAATCATTAGAACTATGATATATTATAAATCTTATATAATTTAAACCGTAGAAACCAAAATAAATAATTTAAAAAAACAACAGTTAAACTAAAAATAAAAAATTTTAAACACGATGATATATGAATCTTTGATAATTTAAATATGAAAAGAGAAATCGAAATAAACAATTTAATAATACTACAATCATAATTGAGGACAAACAAAAAACACAGTTTAGTAAAAAAATATTAAAAAAGGAAAACAAAATTGATCTCTCGTATTTCTAATTGATAAAATAAACTCAAATAAATAATATGAGGATTAGTTTAATTAAATCATCACATATTTCAAATTGGAAAAGAAATTGAGATAATATCAAATTTCAAAATTAAAGAGAAATTGTTAAAAATGCTCCTTTTTCAATACCCCTTTTCAAAAATGCCTCCTTTGAGAGTCCATTTTTAAGTTTGCCCTCTTTTAATTTTTAATTACCATTTTACCCTTATTTGAAACAAAATTAGGTCCACAAAATACAAAATATTTTTTGGCGGGAAAAGTGATCCCGCAATTTTCCCGCCAAAACACTTATAAAAACCTTTAAAATACCTTGTAAAATTTTCCCGTCAAAATTTTTCCCGCCAAAAAATTTTTCCGCCAAAAAAATTTTTTTGCGGGAAAAGTGATTCCGCAATTTTTTTGGCGGAAAAATTTACAAGGTATTTTAAAGGTTTTTACAGAGTATTTACAAGTGTTTTGTAAGGTTTTTTTTTTTTTTTTACGGCAAACTGTAATTTATTCAAATAATAGATTCTTTACAAATCAAACGTTTTAGCCACAGCGGCTTGTGAACAGAGCTAGAATAGAAATCTCCATTGAAGGAGTTGAAACTTGCTAAATTATGAGCCATACAATTTCCATACAATTTCCAATTGTAAGGTTTTTCAATGTATTTTAAAAGGTTTTACAAGGTACTTATAAGGTTTTATAAGGTATTTATAACTTGTAAAACCTTATAAAAAACTTGTAAAACCTTATAACTTGTAAAACCTTATAAAATAGCTTGTAAAATCTTATAATATCTTATAAATACCTTATAAATACGTTGTAAAACCTTTTAAAATACATTGTAAAACCTTATAAATACCCTGTAAAAAACCTTTAAAATACCTTGTAAATTTTTCCCGCAAAAAATTTAACGCCAAAAAAATTGCGGAATCACTTTTCCCGCAAAAAAATTTTTTTGGCAGGAAAAAATTTTACGGGAAAATTTTACAAGGTATTTTAAAGGTTGTACAAGTTTTTACAAGTGTTTTGGCGGGAAAAATTGCGGGATCACTTTTCCCGCCAAAAAATATTTTGTATTTTGTGGACCTAATTTTGTTATATTTCTTTATATTTGTGATATCTTTTATTAAAAGAAGGGTAATTTAGTCATTTTGTACATAAAAAGAGGTATTTTTAAAAATGGACAGCCAAATGGGGCATTTTTGAAAAGGAGTATTGAAAAAGGGGCATTTTTGTGAGTCTCCCTAAATTAAATCATGACACATGATAAAATCTTTGAAATTCATGAGAATATTAATTATTAACTTTAAAAAAAAAAATTATATCATATTATTTATATAATAACATATGTTTCCTTTTTAATAAATTTGCCTGATTTTTCTTCTTGTTTAACTAAAATATATATTTTTAATTATTAAAAAAGTATAATTTCTTTATTATTATCTTTTGACATTTTTAAAATTGTTTATAGAAATATTAGTTATTTAAAATTATCCTTATAATTATATTTTACATTTTTAAAATTATTTAAATATATCTTTTTTTTTTTTTTTAAAGAAATTTTTGTTTTACACGTGTCAAAATTTAAGATCGATAGATTTGCTATGTGTCAGGATCCTATGAGTTATTAACTTTGAAAAACTATACTTTATATAATAAGATACTATCTTAACTTTTAAAAAAATTCTAATTTGGCTGTCAATTCTAATGTAGATCAATACTTACCAGTATTAATTTATTGATGATTGAAAATTGAATCAACGTAATCAACTGAGAAACGGTTCAAACTTTGTATAATAAAATAGGTATAATTTTATTTTTAAAATGAGTTAGGTTGTTAACTTTCCAACGGTGAGAGTTGACTTGTCGTCGGTCATAATGTAAGAGTTGACTCGTTGGCCGAGACGAATTTTAGAAGGAAAGAAGGCTACCAATTTGGCGTTGTGGAGAAGATGAGGGTTGTCGACGAGAAAGAAGAAGAGGCTTCATAATAAAGTTAGTTGCGGACTTGTGGTGTTGCTGTTATTTACGGCGTCTTCAAAATCATCCGGTTAATAGCTTTTTTTTGTCAGTCAACGATCGCTGTTGAAACGTCTACGCGCGGAACAGGGCTTATATAATTGCTACACAAATCTTCAAAACGATCTTGTTATCACACGCGAACATGGAGACTTGCAAGAATAACGTGTTATACTTGGGTGTCTTGACGATGTTCTTGTTTTTTCAAGCTTCTTCTGCAACTGACACCATTTCTACCGATCAACCTCTTTCAGGACTTAAGACCATTGTTTCCAGTGGTGATATTTTCGAACTCGGTCTCTTCAACCCAACACCAGGTATGTTTGGATTCTACATAGGCATGTGGTACAAACAAGTCTCTCCACGAACTATTGTTTGGGTCGCAAATCGAGAATCTCCTCTCCAGAGGGCTACCTTCTTTTTTAAAATATTAGATGGAAACTTAATCCTTCATGATAATATGACTAGTAGAACATTTTGGTCGACCGGTGTTAATTCTAGTAGGAGCACAGATGTTGAAGCTGTTCTGCTTGATAATGGTAATCTCGTATTGAGAGATGGGCCAAATTCTTCTGCAGCTGTGTTGTGGCAGAGTTTTGATCATCCCTCGGATACTTGGCTTCCAGGAGCTAAAATCAGGTTTAACAACATCAAACTGGGAAGCCAACGTCTCACGTCTTGGAAAGGCTTGACAGATCCATCACCGGGTCGATACTCTCTCGAGGTTGACCCTAATACAACACACTCTCTCATCACGGTTTGGAATGGATCTAAGTCATATTGGTCTATCGGGACATGGGATGATCAATTTAGAGTCTCCTTTTTGGCTATTTCCTTGAGTTTCAAATTGAATCTGGATGAGTCTTACATCACCTACTCAGCAGATAACTATAGAACATATCGTTTGGTCATGGATGTTTCCGGTCGGTTCATGCTGCACGTTTTGTTAGTCGACATCCAGATGTGGGGTGTGATATGGTCTCAACCAAGAGATACATGTGCGGTTTATAATCCTTGTGGATCGTTTGGGATTTGCGATGAACAAGCGGTTACGCCCTGTAGATGTGTTCCTGGTTTCAAACAAGCATTTGGCGAGGACTCGAATGATTACTCTGGTGGTTGTAAAAGGGAAATTAATCTTCTATGTGACAAGGGAAATGACGAGTTTTTTCCTATTGAAAACATGAAATTAGCCACTGATCCAACAACAACATTGGTCTTGACGGCAAGTCTTGTTACTAGCTGTGCCTCAGCTTGCCTAGCTAATTGTTCTTGCCAGGCCTACGCATCTAATGGAAACAAGTGTTTGATGTGGACAAGAGATGCTTTCAATCTGCAACAACTTGATGCAAATAACACAGAGGGACACATTTTTTTCCTTAGACTTGCCGCTTCAAACAAGGGTAAGCATTTTCCATTAAAAAATGAGACAAATTCGTAGAGATAATTTTAAGCTTCATTTTCTACTCAGGAGAAACAGAGAATTCTAAAGTCAGAAGAATTGTGTTACCCGTTGTACTCTCATCACTAATAGCAGCTGCTGCGTTTTTCGTTGGTTTGTATTGTTATATTTCCCCAAGAAGGAGAAGAAAAAGAAAAATGAGAGGTGAGATGGTTTTGGCATTTTGCATAAAGTTTTCACTATACAAGTTTTGTTCCCTAGTTTCTGAAACAAGAGTTATACGCAGTCGAAAAACAGAGCAGAGAGCTATTAGAAGGTGGCCTAATTGATGATGATGGAGAAAATATGTGTTACCTAAATCTGCATGACATAATGGCTGCAACAAATGCTTTCTCTGGGGAAAACAAGTTAGGAGAAGGTGGTTTTGGTCCAGTCTACAAGGTGATGATTAAACAATACAATTGATACTGAGCTTATTAGGTGGTTTGGCTAAAGGTCTAGACAAAGTAGCTAGTTTAAATATCATCTTGGTTACAATTTTACTATAAAAATTTTGATGGGCAGGGAAAGCTACCAAATGGGATGGATGTGGCAATCAAAAGGCTTTCAAAAAAATCAAGTCAAGGTCTGACAGAGTTCAAGAATGAAGTCGTTTTGATAATAAAGCTTCAACACAAGAACTTGGTGAGACTTTTAGGATATTGTGTTGAGGGCGACGAGAAACTTCTAATTTACGAGTACATGTCGAATAAGAGCCTTGATGTTTTCCTCTTTGGTGAGTGGTGAATATATTTATTCAAAACTACTATATTTTGAATTTGAAACCATAAATATTGGTTTGAATTCTTTTGATATGCACATATATACAGATTCTTTAAAGTCTAGGGAATTGGATTGGGAGACGCGTATGAAAATAGTAAATGGGACGACAAGAGGACTTCAATATCTGCATGAGGACTCACGTCTTAGGATCATTCACCGAGATCTTAAGGCAAGCAATATTCTTCTCGACGATGAGATGAATCCTAAGATCTCGGATTTTGGAACCGCCAGGATCTTTGGTTGCAAGCAAATCGATGATAGCACCCAAAGAATCGTCGGAACATTGTAAGTGTTTATCTCCTATGTGTTCATTTGTTTCTCACGCTAGAATTTTGGGTTTATGATCATGTTTATGAGTATTTTCATTAACACACATTTTTTCACAAACATTGTTTACAAATAGTATAACACAATTACACAAACGTAAAATGAAGATAGTGTCTTTTTCATGCCGTTTGTCTTTACAATTTATGAATGATGGTTGAAAAAAGCTAAAACATTGGGTTAATTTCAGCGGCTATATGTCACCGGAATATGCATTAGGCGGGTTGATTTCAGAGAAATCGGATATATATAGCTTTGGAGTGTTGTTATTGGAGATCATTTCGGGCAGAAAGGCAACAAGGTTTGTTCACAACGACCAAAAACACAGCCTTATTGCTTATGTAAGTGTTTCTAGCTATAGTTCAATATCATTTATCTACAGTACATAAAAAGTAACTTACCTTAGATCAATCCCAAAATATATGTTCTTGATCATCTTCAGGCATGGGAATCTTGGTGCGAAACAAAAGGTGTAAGCATTATAGATGAAGCACTTTGTGGCTCCTATCCCGTAAAAGAAGTGATGCGGTGTGTTCACATCGCACTTCTTTGTGTTCAAGATCATCCTAAAGATAGACCCACGATTTCGCAAATCATTTATATGTTGAGCAACGATAACAATCTTCCGATTCCGAAACAACCAACTTTCTCTAACGTGTTGAACGGGGATCAACAGTTAGTGTCGTCTGACTACGTGTTCTCCATAAACGAAGCAACGCAAACAGAACTGGAAGCACGATGAACTGTTCCTATCCCCGGTATTAAGTGTATTTACTTAAACTGCTTATGTGATGCTCAGAGTGTTCTTTAAAAAATGATATTATTCTGTAAGATTTGAGATCTGTCAATAGAAAACAAAGTAATAAAATAATTATTGAATGGTCCTATATGGTGTTACTGGATTTGGGCACAAACAGAAGAAAACAACAGCAAATTACGACTTGAATTTATCAACCAACAATTATTATCAACATAAACTCTCATCAGTCTAATAAAACAGAGCACTCAATCTCCTTAACGTGAAGATATGGGTGACGTAACAGAGCTATGTCCGGGAGATAGAGACGGCGACCATAACCGATTGGTTTCTTCCTCTGCAAGAAATCTATTACCAAATGTTGGTTCAGGTAAAGGAGTAGAGAAACAACTAAACCAATGAAGAACTTTATCAATACTCGGCCTTGTCTCTGCATTTTCATCGATACATAACAAAGCAATGTGAATGTATCTCAAGATTTCGCTTATCGAATCTTCTCTTTCTTCTTCCCTCATCGCTTCATGGATCACATCTATGGCTTCTCCTCTGTTCCAGCATCTCATAACCTAAACGAAGACAAGAACTACGATTAAGGAAACACTTAACCATCATAGACACTTTTACTTTAATGTAAACTCACATATTCGATTAGAGAGTCTCCGTCAACACTCCAAGCCTTCCTTCTGGTAATGATCGTCAAGATTGTAACTCCAAAGGCATAAACATCAGATTTGACAGAAACACGCCCGCTTCGCAAGTACTCTGGATCTAAATACCCTCTGTAGATTATCTCAAAATGTTTTATGCATAAGTCTCTAAACATTTTCAAAACGTTTTTCCTTAACTATGTTAAATTAATAAACTTCACTTACATGGTACCGACAATTACAGTTGATTCTGCTTCACTATCACCTTGTTGCATCCTCCTTGCCAATTCAAACCCCACGATTTTCGGTTTTAGATCTGAATCCAATAGAATGTTTCGAGGTTTAATGTCGCGGTGAACGAGCCATAACCCGGATTCTTCATGAAGGTAACGTAACCCTCGAGCTATACCATCAACAATGTTTCGACATACCTCCCAACTTAGCTGAGAAGCTCTATGTGGATCTGTAACACATTACCACAATGACTAATGATGAGAACTTGAAACTAGAAGAGACTGGATTTAGAAAGGATACTATGTTTTTGATTGTCTAACCGAGTAGAAAGCAATCGAGGTTTGAGTTAGGCATGAACTCATAAACAAGACAATGTTGGTCTCGTTTAGTGCAGAAACCAAGAAGGTTGATCAGATTCTTGTGCTTAAGCTTTGACAAAATATTAAGTTCATTATGAAACTGTCTCTCAGTTCTAATTGAACTTTTAGACAAAATCTTGACTGCTATTTCTTGTCCACTTTGAAGCCTACCCTGAAAATTATTAAAAAGGATGTTTTAATTACAATTTCACACCAAACACTAAAAATATATGAAAACGGATCCAAAGTCCAGTGTTAGAGCTTGATTGGTTCTCCCGCTACCACCCGTTTGCGGTTGCTAGCGTTTAAAACCAATCATAGAAATCGATTAAACTGTATTGGACTCAAAATAACCATAAAACGACATGTCAAAGAATTCGTAAAAGATTAAAGAGAAAACCTTGTAAACAGAACCAAATCCGCAATGACCAACCAGTTCTGAGAACTCATTTGTTGCAGCTTTAATAGTGTCGAAGTCGAACTCGAAAACTGCAGAATCTAGTAGAGACAAGTGAAATTTAACATAAATATTGTGAATTATGTATCAGATGTGAGGAAGAGAGTTGAGAAGGAGAAACGTGAATACTTACTGCTTACAAACTCAGTAGACTTCTTCTTCTTTCTTCGTCGGAAAACGGTTTTGAGAAGCCAAGTAACAGCCATAGCAAAGACGAAGACGAAGGCAGTGTCTCTGAATTACCTTCAAACAAGTATTTAATCCAAGAAAAAAGAAGAACTTGTTAAACAAGTTATTTCTTCAACGGTTGACTTAGTCGACATCGTTAGAGTCCAGTAAGTTGACCTTGACTTTTATTATTCATTTTCGATATTTTGGGTTCTTTAATTCTTTCTTCATTTGTTTTTTTAGTTAACTTATTGATATTACAGTATATAGTGATTTATTTCCTTTAAAATCAGCGTAATTGGTATTATAAAATCAAAATATATTATATAGAAACATAAATTATAACCATAGAATTTTACTTCAAAATGATGGTCTTTGGAAGGAAATGAATTGTCAGCTACTTCGAAATAACGAACCAAACAAGGTCACGTAAATAACACGTTAACAAAGAACGACCACAAGAAAACCAACTAGCTAGCTATCCCTTTTTCCATGATCATTCCCATAAAGCGACGATTTTTGGGTCTAGACCAAGTGAAAGGACTTTAAAGAGGCGGGTGCAATGCAACTTTTCCACGAAATCCAAAGTAATTAAGTATCATACCTCCACGCGGATTCGAAAATCTTTCCAATTGATCCATTATTCGTCATAAATCATTTCCAACATCCAAAAAAATGTCATCATCTAATCTATTACAATATTATCCTGACCATATACCATTGTTTCAGGACTTCGCTCCCAACTCCCTTACATACATCCTCTTCATGCCTAGCATGAAACATGAAGATCTTATCCGCGAAAGTCATGATAGTTAGGGAACCGATCCTAGCTAGGCACCCGGATTATTTTCACTCTCCAGCGGTCGAGCCACTTTAATCACAAGTGACAAGCCTATCTTAATTTTCCGGCAAATGTTACCCATATTGAATCATCTGTCCGACAAACCCAAAACTTGTCCCCAACATATAATATATCGATTAGATTAGTTAGACATAATTTTCTAAATATTTATTAAAAATGAAATGAAAAATTTATGTTAAATAAAACAAAAGCTATTAACTAATTTATTCTGAAATTATTTTGGGATTTTCAAAGTTGTTAGAGGATACAAAAGAAGAAAAAAAAACGAAGCTAAATACAGTATAAGCAGCATCAATTTTTCTTCCAGGGAAAAATAAATTCCCTACATAATATCTTAAGTTGATAAGATCTTTTTCAAGATAAATATATAAAACATGTCCTATGTGTTAGTTTGGAGGAGGAAACTTTTTGGAGTGTCGAGTCTCAGGAGGTCCAATGAACAAATCAGTCACCACTTCCATATCATCATTGTTATCTATGTCCAGTTCTGATGATGTTGATGATGATGATGTTCTTGCTATTATTCCTCTTCCTTGCATCTCACACTTCATTCACACATTTCCTCAAATTAAAACACTAGTTTTGAAAAGCAGATAATTTCATAATAATAGAATTAGAACACAAATCTATACGATAGTAGTTCTAAAGAAGCCGTTTGTTAATGTTAATATTAATATGTACCTTCTCCATCAGCATTTTATTTTCTGCAATGAGGTTTCTCTCCTAAAATATTGACAAGAAACAAAAAAAATATGGTTAACCGTTTAATTAAGGGAATATGTTTAGTACCTAACCAATACATTTATATAGACTTCTAGATGTATGAAAAGCTACATGTGATACCTTTTCTTTTAACTTCTCAATTTCTTCGCGTAATAATTGATACTGAAATTAAGATTAAAATAGCTAAATTAGTTTTGGTAAAAACAAGTATATAAGAACTCTCATAAAAGATATCTTCAAAAAAACAAAAGACTCATAAAAGATAACATATAAGGTCCTTTTCTCATCACATATGCATGCTGCATGCATGCCTCCAAGTATGTGTGTGTATGCAATCTAGTTTTTTATTTACATAATCAGCTCATTTGTGTTATTAGAATTCTTTTTATAAACAGAAATCGAACCAAACCACCACGTCATAGTCGTAAATCTCGATGAAACAATAAATATATGATGATCACATATATGCAAATGTATAACTGTATAAGTTACCTTTTTGGCTCTTATTTTCATTAAGCTTCTGTCCAACTGGTTCTCCAATTGTTGTAACTCTTCTATAGAAGATGCGTCAAGTCCTTCTCCCAGCATTTTTCTGCAAATGTATTTTAAAAAAATAAAAATATTGGTAAATAGACACCTACAATTTCTAAGTTTACATTCATATATAACAAAATATTCGTAAATATTTTGAATTCAAAACCGTGTCGAAATCTCCAAATGTTCGATCTTTCTCGCCAAGGCATAGGTTTCATCCTTCGATTGCTGTCAACAAAGTTTGATCATGTAAAAGAAAAACAAACACAAAACTGTAATAATCTATAGAAATACAATATTTAACCAAAATTGTAAGTACAAATTTTTCTCACCCATGTTCGATAAATAAAGCATAAATTTTGACATGTATATTCATTTTTAAAAAGTGGTACAAGAACGGATTAATAACTACACGATAAATCCTAACAGATTATGACGACCATCGATCGATATAGAAATTCTTTTTAATTACTAGATCATTTCATGAAAATAATATTTTATGCATATGTATTTAAAAGATTTTTTTTTCCAAATGCAAAAATGATAATGATTATACACAAACAATTTAAGAAAGTTTGTTTACCTGTGAGTTATCATTTCTCTTATGGTTAGACCCGAGATCTTGTATCCGCTTTTGATATCGTTCTACTGTTTTTGGTATACTGAAATTTTCAAAATTCAAATCAAAATATTTCCAAAAACAATAACAAACCAATTGAAATTATATATTAGGAAGCAAAAGTCCATGCTAGATCCCTCAAGCATTAAATATAATCATAACATGTTTCACCCGAATGCATATTCTAACATCACAAAGACAAATGTATTTATAGCATTTAATTTAAAAGAAACATAAACATTTCACATATATGTATATATATATATATATATATATATATATATATGTTTGTATGTATATATATTTTATGAGATCTGTAAAACTGATCTGCTGATAGTTGTTCAAGAAAGCGCTAGACGTTAAACGAGCGGTGACCATCGCCTAAAACGCATAACCGGAGCCTAGACGATTTTACGGGGTTTATGCGTTTACAACATAAAACATTATAAGTATGATATTGTAGAAAACATATAAAATTATATATTAAAAATATATATATATATTAAATCGTAAAAAAAATTAGACAAAAATATTTTTTTAATTCATAGCAAACAAGATACCGTTTATAACCATTTATATGGAGGTAAAACATATAAATTTTTGACAAAAAAGTTAGTTAAAAATTAGACAAATACACTAAAATGAGATTTATGATATTTTATGCGGTCGAAGCGGTCATCTATACGTCAGCTAAGCGTCTAGCGCCTAGTCGGAACCTAGAAGACCACGTAGACTGCTTTTTAGAATACTAATGTAGTAAAGACCTCAATAACTAAAAGATTAATACTCCCTCCGCTTTTTAATACATGATGTTTAAGATCTTTACATACAGATTAAGAAATCATTTAATTTTTGTTTAATCTTATACTAAAACATCATTTATTATTTATTTCAATATGATTCAGCCAACAATAAAACAATATGCAAAATATAAATTGTCAAAACCAATAAAAATTAATTAATTTGCATTGAAAGTTGAAAACATTATCTAATTTAGAGCAAACTTTTCTTTCTAAAGACATCAAATATAAAAAACCGGAGGGAGTATAAAATGTTAATGTACTGAATCAAAGTCATGTGGATATGGCTTAGTTAAGTAATTAACACCTATTTAATTGTGATTAATTAACTCCTCTCTTGCTTAAGTACTAAAATACCATTGTTTTTGGTCTAATAAAGTAAGTACATATAATTAAATAATCACATAATACGCATACATAATATTAATGTATAAATACACAAAAATATAACAAATAGAGAAAGCATAAAAAGAATCAACATATTCTGATCTAGACACATGCTAATGACTCCTTCACTGTCATCACTTAGATAAAGAGGCCTTTGTACTATGTGGGTGAATACTGTTGCAAATGATTCTTTGTTACCTCAATAAACATACATAAATCTTACATGAACATAGATACATAAATCTACATATACACACATTCAAGATAGTATATTATATAAAAAAAAAGAAATACATAAAACTATGGATGGCATTAGTGGAATGGCAGAATGAATAAGTATAGTGACGATTTAAAAAAAAACCGTTAGTATTTTTCTGTTTTGGTTTTAAAATTTATCTTTGCCCAAGAGTAAAAAAAACATATTTTTAAACACACAAATAAATTAAAGAAACGTTGATCGGATATTTACCGGAACATGTAAAAAAAATAAAAATAAAACAGAAGGCACATAAATTTTTCTTTGATTACCATTTTATACTTGAATTACATAGTGTGATCGAGCATAAAAATCTATGTCATAATCATACATAGCTGTTTATGTATGTACATAAATGAGTTTAGAAAAATGTTTCGAATGTATATACAATGATATACATGCAAATATAATGCAATACTTAGCTTCCCATGACATCAAAATACTCAAATCTCATCAGTACTAGTGTGAACTCTATTAGTTCAAATCACAAAATATAACCAATTCATGCATATATATCTGAATATGAGCAATCTAATCTCATATTCTTATAGCATGTACATTGGTAAGTTTTCATAGGGGTTCTCACAACAATATAAAAATAAAAATAATAAAAAATATGAGAGAAATAAGTTAGAGCATGTGCAATGTAAGTCTCTTAACAACCTCTTGAGAGACTACTATCACACATGTCATAATGTAATTGGTTTTGATTTTTTTTTCATAATCTAAAATTTAAATAAAAGATAAATTAAATTATATGTATTAAAATAAGTCTTTATCCTCCTACCAAAAAAAAAAAAATAAGTCTTTATCCATTGCACATGCTCTTTGAAAAGAAAAATAAAGTTTGCGAGTATATCAATATACAATAGTAAGTGTTTGTGTGGAAGTTCTTCGTACATAATACAAATACACAAAGAAGCAGAAATATAATACTATAGAGAAACACACCTTTCTAAGAATGGAAATTTTTTTTTTCTAAATCTGGTCAAACATGAACCAAGTAAAAATGGAATATATCTATCTCATATGAGACTTTATTGCCTAATTTGAGTAAGAAGTCTGTGCTCAAACTTATTGCTACATATATAGAATTTTCTGTTAGTTGTCCAGACTCCAAACTATCTCATCATCTCTATCTACACACACCTTCGTTCTTTTATTTTGCAACTCCAAGGAAAAACATTTACCCATGTCCATGTGCGAACCACGTTTTAACCTCGAATCCTTACTTTCTATTTCTGATCTATCTGATTTTTCTTTCTTTCTAAAATTAAGGATTTAAAAATTAAAACAACCAATGCCAAGCGAGTCTAGACCAAAAAATGTAATGGATTTCAGTAAAAACAATTTATGGAGAAAACCGATCATGATGCAACGGATCAATATACAGCAAATGTGTAAATACATAAAACTTAAGTAGATGATAACCTGGATGAGCTAGAGAACTCATAGAGTTTGCCTCTAGGAGAGAAGATGATTAGGGCAACTTCAGCATCACAAAGGACTGATAATTCAAAAGCTTTCTTCAAAAGTCCATTTCTTCTCTTGGAGAAAGTCACTTGCCTGCTCGTCGCGTTTTCTATCCTCTTCATCTCTGTCTTTCCCCTCACCATTCTCCTAATTCAATTTATAACCCTAAGTTATAATCAACACTTAATTTTGATTTTCATCTTCTCTTTCCATGAGAATTAAATGAAAAATAGTTGATTTCAGTAACATAAAGTATCCACGAAAGGAAATTAGGTGGAAGCCATTATTGAATTTTATCCAGAGAGACTTCTTATTACAAGAACAGCAAACATGAAGAACAAGAACAATATCGACCTTCTACTATTAATAGAGAAGAGATCAATCAGAAATTTAGGCATAGTTGAGAAAAAGATTACCCCCTTTGTTTTCTGTATGCTTTTGATTGATTTGTGCCTCTAATAGAAAGATGAGGATAGAGTTGAGAGAGAGAGAGAGTCTTTGGGAAGAGTCGGCAAGAGAGAAATGAAGAATTCTTGGAAACCCTAAATTTATGAAATCAGGAGCCAATAACAAAAAAGATGTAAGAAAAAAACTTTATATTATTCTTCTATCCATGAACTGATGATATATAATTTGGGGGTTTATATATTTTCTCTTTTGCCATTTTTTTCCTCTATACCTATAATTTAGTCTATAACCCTAGACCAAAGTTCTTAATTAAAGTACATGCGTATAGTTAATTATAGAAACAGCATTACAAGATATCCATTCTTCTTTTGGTAATTTTTTTATATTATAATTTATAAGAGGAAAAATTATTGGTGGAGAATATATTCCTATGTCATGGTTATTTAAATTGAAATTTTGTTTTCCGTGGTGTTGCATATATCTAATCTACACTATATATAAAAGTAATAGACATTACAATCAACCTTTTTTTTAACAACAAATGTAGATATATAATAATATAAACGAAGTTTTTAATTCGAGTGATTATTTAAACTTAAAAGTAGTGTAATACAACCATTTACGTCATCACGTACCTCATCACCGTAAATTACAAGACATCGTGGATTTTAAAGCTTAACCATTGAGATCATGACACGTGTTCATTATTACCGACAACCTATAGATCCGGTGTCCGTCAAAGTGAGTTAAGCAAATGCACTTAAAGACAGGCAGCAACATTGTCGGTTGCCAGCTCCTCTCGGACAAGAATCTCACGCTCTGTTTGATCTCCGTTACTAAAAAAAACATTTCGAGGAACCTTTTTTTTTTTTTTTGTAAAATATTCTATGAAATTATTGACTATAAATTAAAGGGTAGAACATTTTTGAAATTACATCAACGGTAGAATACCATAGATATCGAATTTGAAGGTAACTAATCGTTTATTTGGTGAATAAGATTTTTTTTTTTTGCTAAGAATGTTAATATCATATAATGATTTATTACCATTAAGATATCTTCAATATTAATTTCTATTATACTTTGCTTCTATAATTCTATGTATGTTAGTTAAGTAGTGTTTGGATATGTGACCATATCTGAGTCTAACTATGTCCCAAATTCCCAACCATAATTAGTTTTGCCTTGACATATAACCTTTCTCATGTAGTGAGCTAAATACGTACTTATGCTTATATATGGAGTTGTGAATGGTAATAAAAATTTAGTTAATTGTTTTGCGGTACATAATGCAATTTCATTCTCCCGGCTTGGCTCATCACTTGAACCAACCAAGTAGTTTAAGTTATTTTTTTGGTATCAATGTCATTATCATTTTTAAATTTTTGACAGAAGTTACAAAATTATACAAGTAATTCATGTTATCAGAAAAAATATAATTTCACAGTTTAATATATATATTATCATTAATTCGTGTACGAAATTTTGTATACTAGGCTGATAATGCATTATTTATTTGTGGTCATTATACCGTTTTCACAATATTTGTGTGCTGATTGTGAAACAAACAAATTCTCGATAGAGATGTCACAAAACCACCGAGCTAACTCGGTTGCAAAAAAAAGAGAAGCCATTTTCTCGGATGTGATATGCCATACAAATTAGTAACAAAGTGTGAGCAAAAATGATTTTGTAAAACACAATTCTATCAATTTTTTTTGACAATCAATTCTATCATTTTACACAAACAAAAAAGTAATACATATGTACAGAATTCCTAATTTAAATTTCTTACTATTTCGACATATATATGAATCTGCATTTAGATGTCCAATAAAACAATCCTACGTATTAATATGACTTCCGTACGACTTCACATGGCCACTCTAGTCTTCTCTCTTCTTTATTTGCACTCATGGGTCATGGCCACTCCTTATTTGGTGCATTTCTAATTTCTTTACCCACTCCCTCATATTTACTTTATTCTTCTCTTTTTGGCCCAAATTTATTATTTTATATCTGTAATTATTGTTCTACTAGCACTTAGCAGGTGCTTAGCCACTGTTGGATGCCTTAATTTTTCAATTAATTAGCATTTATTCTGATTCATCTTTTTAAATCTCGATACAGGTGTTGCACGCTGTGATCAGGACCACAAGCACACTGTTTATTAAAGTTTTAATTACTGTTTTTTTTAGTTACAAAATGATTTGGAGAGTTTTTTTTTTCTTTTTTTTTTGCTTAAATCTTACTGGCTTTGTTTTCTTATGTGAACATATCCCACCTTTCATTTGCAAACTTAGACAACTCTTTGTTGTTATTTTTAATGAGATATTTTCGTTCTATAATAAGCTTTTGTATATCGACAAAGTTGAATTAGTGTTAATTTTTACGTGTTATCGAGTCAGCAAAGCCTGATTTCGAACTTCGTGAAGGAGGTTAGAAAATGTGGCTTTGGACCACTATGCCAGATGTGATTAATGAATTGGGTCCTTTTTATATGTATTTATCTTATTTTACAATTAAAGAAAGTGTTGGTGATAGAAAAACCTTACAAGATTATAAAATAGAAAAAGAAAAACTTAGATGATTTAGATATATACATATGAAGACTGAGACCAAAAAAAGATATATGAACACTAGTCTTTTGATTGTTTGGTGTGGTTAGTAGATGATACAATAATAGATGAAAAACATGTGTTTTGATTGGTAGCAAAAAAATTCAACAGAATAATTTCACAAAAAAAAGTCAGGTAGATGTAACTTAATTTGTTTGTGTCGTCAAACTTTCGGAATCCTACAATGAGCTAACATATTAATGGGCATAGTAGTGTACTTAGTTACAAGAGCCGCATAAAATTGTTTCGTCCTTGAACATGCTACAAATCAGAACCATATATGGGTGAATCAAATATACAGTAAGATGCAAAAGCAGTAAGCCTTGTAGTTGATGAAAAAAAAAGAAAAAAAAGTAAGCCTTGTAGCTTTTAGTTCAAGTCAGAAGAAAATTTAGATTTGAAATGGCCTTTTGGGCTTTTTACTATTCAATTACAGCCCATATATATAGTCAACATTAAAAATACAAACACATTGACATGCTTGTACAAGAGTTGTGAAATAGAATGATGTTATTCTGCTGCTTCATCAATTTATCTCCCTTTGTGAATTGAGATTGATGGTTATGTTATGTTACCAACACTTTGATGGTTTCTCAAAATTAGTCATTAACGTGATATTTTATAAAACATAATTTATTCACTATTATCAAATCCTGGTTACATTTTCAATTTTTTTTATATAAAAATACATGCTTATAAATACTAGAGAGGAAAATCAATCTAAGTGCAAATAAAACACACCATTTTTTAGACGTTGGGCCACTTTTTTGTTTTATTTTTCGTTTTAAACCTCCTAATTCCTAAACATTCAGATCGGCCCACCATTTTTATAGTTTTTTTTTTTTGTCGGCTTTTATAGTTTCCTTCTATATCATTAAACACTTATATTCTTCACTTTTCTTTTTTGTCAAATGGAACACATATTCATATGACTTTTCGTGTAGAACTATAATAAAAATACACGACATAGAGACATAGACTACTAATTCTTTTCATAAATAATTATTTCAAGAGAATTTTCAAAAAAAAAAAATATTAAGAATTTTTTTTTGTCAAATTAATAAAGAAATTAATTAGGAATAAATAAACAATTTAAAGATGACTTTTTAGAAAATGACGGTGATATGATAAGAAATTAAGAATTTTATTATTTTAAATTGACCCTTACCCCGAGAAGATACGCACTAAAGATACCAAATTGGTTTATCCAAACCGTAATGATCAAATCAAAATACATTCAAATACCGGAATAAATGTGATCGTTACTACAATTGGTTCAATAGCAATTTGACCATAAAGTTATTTAGATTTGGTACGTACCGGTTTGGTTATGTGATTCCTTAAAGTTCTTTCTCGTAATATAAATTAAATCCTCTTTGCTCTCTCGCTCGCTTCCTCTTTCGATTTGGATCAGAAAAACAAAAAAAAGTAAATTTCTTCGGAATTTCCAATAATCTGTCTCTCTTCTTCTTCTTCTTCGATCGAAAATTTGACTTTTTCGAATTTGATTTGTATTAGCTTTCGTTGAGATCATCGTCATCGTCAATGGCGACCGCTTCATCTTCAGAATCTCCGAGCGAAGAAACGCAGACGAATCAAGAAGCGGCGATGCAGCAGCAAGATTTGTTGCCAAAGGAAACTACTAATACTACTACGGAGGAGGAAGAGATTTTGTATAAGACGAAATCGATTCAGTTCCTTGGACGAACCACACCTATCATTCTCCAGAACGAAAATGGACCTTGTCCTTTATTAGCCATTTGTATGTTTCTATTTCTCCATTTTCGTTCTCCTTAGGGTTGATTCAAACTTCGTTTAGATCGTAAAATAGGGTTTGGAAAGTGGAATTTCGGTGTTGTGATCATTGATTCTTTAGGTTTGCGTTACTGATTTTGTGGAATTTGTTAAAGAAATTGAAGAATTGGTGTTAGGTTTGCTTGTTCCGTACAATGTAATGAATGTTATTACGCGGTGTTTTCTTCAAGCATTGATTTGATGCTTAGTGTACCAAACATTTAGATTTTGTTGGTAGCTTGAGCTTCTCTTAGGAATCATGTTAATATTTTTTGGTATTTAGTGTGCTTAATAATGCGTAGATCAATTAACACTCGAATTCCTGATTGTTATTGATTTTTGGATGAAACAGGTAATGTTCTTCTCTTGAGAAACAACTTGAAACTAAATCCTGACTGTTATGAGGTTTCTCAAGAGAGATTGATGTCCCTCGTGGTCGACAGACTGATTGATTCCAATAGTAAAGTCAATGTAATAAGCTGGCTTCTTATCTTTGCCCGTTCTTTATATTATTTTAAGAGTCTGAATCTATCAATGAGGATAACTTCTTTTTATATTTCTCAATGGCAGAACAAAGATGAAGGATATATTGAGAATCAGCAACAGAATATTGCTGATGCAATTGATCTTCTTCCACGCCTTACTACTGGAATTGATGTCAATATTAAATTCAGGAGGTTAATACTTTGTGATCTACTTCTGCTTCTAATATGTAGAAATTCATAAGTTAATAGCCATGAGTCTTAACCTGGTTGCAGGATTGATGATTTTGAGTTCACACCTGAGTGTGCGATATTTGATTTACTTGACATTCCCTTATATCATGGATGGATAGTTGATCCTCAGGTATATCATTTTGTTTCATACTTTGTCTAAAAATGGCTCCATCTGTGTGTAAAGATTTAAATTTGTGTACGCCGTTGTTTTTTTAATTTGTTTCTTGTCGTTTGTGTGTGAATGTTTCGGTTGTGGGGTCATCTTCTCTTCTTTATCTTCTTGAGAGTTGAGAAACAATACATAGGTTGCTTTATTCTTTTTATCCATTGTTTGTCTCGTTATGGATTGGAACAGTGGTCAAGAGCACTCATTTTAAGATGGTGTCCTTATCTATCCTGGGCCTGTAGTAAAAGTACTGATTCAATTGCTTCCCCTGTGCATACCTACAGGATGTTGAAGCTGCTAATGCAATTGGCAGCAAGTCATATAATGCTCTAATGGGTGAGCTAGTTGCACTGGAAACGCAGAATGTAGAGGCTCAAGGTGATCAAAATCCCGGAGAAGATTCTGTTGATTTTGCTGCGGCAACTACTGCAGCTTTAGGGGTTCCTTCACCTTGTCTTTCGAAAACAAGATCTTTTGATGATTCTCCACCTGCGGCTGCAGAGCTTCGCAGAATGAGAAAGGGGGATCTTGAAGAAGAAACAGAGTTGTTGCAAGCCTTGCAGTTATCACAGGGGCATGGGAATGATTCAACTCCAAACACTCACGGAGACTCAACCAATCAAGACTCTGCGTTCACATTTTCAGATGCAAGTCCAACTAGCACCCATGGTACTAATATCAGTCAGCTAGACCAGTTTAAATCTGATGATGATAAAGCATCAGAAAATGATGGCAATATGATCAAAGTTGGGGAATTTCAGACACCGATTACAATTAAAAGTGAGGATCTCAACCATGATCAATTATCTTCGAAGCAAACTGGAGTTGAAACGGCCTGTGATGTTGAGAACGTGAGTAGCAGCAAAAAGGCCATTGTCGATGTAACTTCTTCTGAGGCGCTTTCTGTGGATAAAGCTAATCTGGAGTCAACCAAAATTGAAAGCAGTTCTGAGAGTCTACTCAAGTCTGATGCAGCTTCTGTTGATCCAGGTAGTTTCTTGCTCTTCAATAGATGGTGTAACCTTATAGATGTCTCTTTACATAATTTAACTACTCCTGCATCTTATATCATTGTACTGGCTAAAATTGCATCTGGAGATCTTAGAGATGAAAATTCTTACCCAGATGACCATTGCATCTCCAGATTTTAGTTGCAGATCCCAGCATGACGATGTACCCAATGCGTTTACCTCACCTGTACCTACCGATGAACCTATGTACGAAGGTGAGGAATGTGTAAACACAGTGGCTCCAGTTTGTGCAGACAAAGAACCTGTTTATGAAGGTGAGTCACTTCTCGGTAAAAGGGTTGAGAAGGATGTGGGTGATTGTTCTTCTGAAGGAAGGGCTACGGATGGGCTCACAGTAGAAGAAGGTAAATTATACTGTGTCTGATCTACTTTGGATATGCTTGAGATACATTCTCGGAAACTCATACATGCATGCTATTGTGGTTAGAGACGCTCTCTATGCTCTAATTCGCATGTTTCCATATATTCTTGCAATTACTAATTAATTGTTCTTGTGTTTTTCCAGGTGAACTAATCAGGAACTTTATGAAGAATAGTGCAAGTCAATTAACCTTTTGTGGGTGCGTGATTTTGTTCATGGTTGGGAAGTTATATTTTTTAATTGACTGCTCGTGTATTATCTTACGTTTATTTATTGATCATATCTTACAGACTCTTTCGCTTGCAAGAAGGCCTTAAAGAACGTGAACTCTGTGTTTTTTTCCGCAACAATCATTTCTGTACCATGTTCAAGGTTTGTTTAGTTTGTAGATATTTCCATCTTTTGAATTGTAACAGGTTAATTCCAATTAAATACTTTATCTTTTGTGTTGTCATTTTTTCAGTATGAAGGTGAACTTTATCTTTTGGCTACAGATCAAGGTTACCTGAATCAGCCTGATTTGGTTTGGGAAAAACTAAATGAGGTATCAGCGAAGTTACTAACTCACTATTTGTCTTATCTGCTAATTTTGGAGATACCACTATATCCACAACCTCTTTAGCGCAATTGCTTGTTGTGACCACTATTGATATGCAATCTGGTTTCAGGTTAATGGCGACACTGCATTCATGACTGCTACCTTCAAGGACTTCAAGATTGACAGCGGCACAGGTGGTGCAAGTGGCACATGGGATGAACGAAACGCAGTCACAAATACTGCTGTATGTTCTCCTCATAATATAGTCAATAGTCCACATAAGAGCTCCTTCTTTTACCATTTTAATCATTTTTTCTTTTCTTTTGTTTCTCCCTCACAGGATTATCTTGCCAGCATCAACAATGTACCAGACACAGACATAGATGTCAAGTAAATATCTCATACCTTTCTTTGACCACTAACTCATTGTTTCTCACCAGAAACAAATTTTATGCATTTGTTATAATTGTCCTCTTTAAAACATATTTATGATTGTTTAATTTCCATGGTACTATGCAGCTCTGATCTGCAACTAGCAATAGCTTTGCAACAACAAGAGTTCGAGGACCAGAGCCCACGTAGTAACCCAACTCCACAACCAACAAGTGTTGCTACCTCACGATTGGTCACTGGTCCACAGGTATTTGATTCCTACTCATAACACTATATTCTAGAAAAGCAAGGAATCAACACAAATGGTTAATAACGATAATAAGAAAAGGTAAATTACGGTGTGACTTACACATTGCAACACTATACAACAATGATTATAAGAAAAGGTAAGAGAGTATAGCCTTAAAAAGAGAATTTGTAAGTCTTGTTTAGTACACTTGGTTTCTGTCCATTTACTTTTACCTGCTAAGGTGAGTTTACAAGTACCAATTGCGAGTGTAACATCGATAATGATCATAGCTTTGCTATCTTTGGTGTTTAGATGAATGTTAATGATCAGCGATTATACTGACCATTGCAGGTACCAAGGAGCAGCCACAGGCCATCATCAGCTGCATCGTCTGCGTCTTCAAGACACGACGGCAAATCCCCTAAAGATAAAGATAGCAAATGTAGAATCATGTAAATCATCATTTCACTTCTGTAAATTTCCAACTTTTTTTATTCCCTAACTAATTTTAATCCTTTAAAAGTTTTTTGGTTTTAACAAAAAAATAAAACTGTAATTGCGCTATGCCTAAACTATTTTTTGTTGCTCACAAAAATCAGAGCTTTCTTTTAACCTTTTGAGAAGTGGGAGACGAATAGTGTTTGAATTCACGTTTTGGCTTTAGAGCTGTTTAAGTTACTGTGATCGCCGTTACATTTTTTGGACGGAGTAACGGCGATTGTCTGTGATGTCTTCTAATTTCTAATTAAATATAATAATTCTGCTTAGCCGGCTCGGTTTGACTAATCCCACTTTTTCAAGTTGTTAATCGAAGAATAAGATTGTTAATATAACTTAATAATTTAAATACTATTAATTTACATTAGCTAATCATTTTAACTAGTTATAAAGTTACAATAGTAAAAAATAAATGCTATAGATTATATCCTAATCCGACTTTTGTATTTCTTTACAAGTTCGACTTTGTTTTCTTTTTTTTTTCTGTGTAAGACAATGATGTGCTAGGACCACGACTGATAGATAATTTGAATCCACTAGAGCTGTTAAAAATTATGGTTCAAAACTAAGATTTCAACAATGAAAATGTCTTTTCCATTAAAGAAAATGTCATGATTTTATTATTAATTACTCTACTATATGACTTAATTTAGTGATTTTTCCGAATGTTTACTTCTTGTTGATATATATAAATAACTAGTGTTATGATCCGTACCCTTCACGGGTAAATTTATTGACTTGGCTGTCCACTTTTTTCCATTAAAAATGTTGTTTATTCACAAAAGCTTTTCATTATTCATTATTCAGTCGAAGTTTTATGATGATTAAAAGTTTATTTGGTTATGATCATATTTATTTTTGAAATCAATAAACCTCTAAATCAAACTTTAAAAAATATATTTTGGAAGTATAGTACGTTCAAAATAAATAGATAGAACATAAATAGCATAGTTTTTAGTTTTTTATCGCCATTTTTTAGAGACGGAGAAGATTTTAACATAAATGAATAAAAACAATGTTTAACAAATTCAACATATTTTTGGTAGGCTCATGCATTCTATTTCGCCGTTTGTAAAAAAGGTGAAGGCCTACTCAAATTTCTTCAATTTTTTCTCATAAGCTTGTCTAAACAACACATGCTTCTCCCAAGATTTGATTAGTTTCCTATGATGTTTCTTTCCCTCTTCCAATGCTTTTTCAAACACATCAAACCATGCGATGTTCTTCGACCTGAATGTTTACTTCTTGTTGATATATATAAATAATATGATTTTATTTAAAGAAAATGTCATGATTTAATTATTAATTACGCTATGAATTAATTTAGTGCTTATGTAGAATGTTTAATTTCTTGTTGATATATATAAATAATATGATTTTAGTTAAAGAAAATGTCATGCTTCAATTATTAATTACGCTACTATATGATTTAATTTAGTGATTATGTAGAATGTTTAATTTCTTGTTGGTATATAAAAATAGTAATATCACCAATCAAATTCAAGTTACATCAAAAGAGGGTCCAGAGAAAAAGAGTTTTGTGAGATTAATTTATTAGTCGTCAGTGGAAGGAAGTCTTCTTAGTCGTCGTTACAAATAATTTATTTGGCATTTGTGTTTAATTAAAGAGATTAAAGATCTTAAATTTGTGTCATTAATGGCTAAAGTTAGAACGACTCAATAACGGCAGCCAAAATCTTTAACCGATTCTTCCGTTTCAAGTCAACGTTTTCCTTCGTTTCTTCTTCACAAAAATCTCAACTTTCATTTGAATTTGCTCATATTTTTAGATCCCCATATTTGATCTGAGTTTGTATTATCTCAAAGTTTTCTCCATTTTTGATTCTTGATCTCTCGATTATTGCCCACCAAGTGATCGATCTTTGGTCTCACTGAACTGGGTTATGCTTGAGATTTGATCTAACAACTGAAAGTTTCCTACTTTTTGGGGTTTTGGTATTGTTTCTATGGCGTATCATCCGGTTTATACTGAGACTATGTCAATGGGAGGAGGGTCAAGCCACGGGTTTGGCGAGTGGATTGACAAGCAAATTGTGCCGTTTGCTACGAGTAGTGGCTCTTTGAGGGTTGAATTGTTACATGGTAACTTAGACATTTGGGTTAAGGAAGCTAAAAATCTTCCTAACATGGATGGGTTTCATCACAGACTTGGTGGAATGTTGTCTGGGTTAGGTCGGAGGAAAAGTAAAGTGGAAGGTGACAAGTCTTCTAAGATCACAAGTGATCCTTATGTTACTGTCTCTATCTCTGGTGCTGTGATTGGTAGAACTTTTGTTATTAGCAATAGTGAGAATCCTGAGTGGATGCAGCATTTCGATGTACCGGTGGCTCATAGTGCTGCTAAAGTTCACTTTGTTGTGAAAGACAGTGATATTATTGGATCACAGATCATGGGAGCTGTTGAAATCCCAACCGAACAGTTGTGTTCGGGGAATAGGATCGAAGGGCTGTTTCCGATACTTAATAGTAGTGGGAAGCCTTGTAAACAAGGTGCTGTGTTGAGTTTGTCTATTCAGTACACTCCAATGGAAAGAATGAGACTTTACCAAAAAGGTGTTGGTTTCGGTGTTGAGTGTGTAGGAGTTCCCGGTACATACTTCCCTTTGAGGAAAGGCGGTAGGGTTACTCTGTATCAGGATGCTCATGTTGATGACGGTACTCTTCCGAGTGTACATCTTGATGGTGGGATTCAGTATAGACATGGGAAGTGTTGGGAGGATATGGCTGATGCAATAAGACAGGCAAGGAGGTTGATTTATATCACAGGTTGGTCAGTTTTCCATCCGGTTAGGCTGGTTCGTCGTAACAATGATCCAACCGAAGGTACATTAGGGGAGTTGCTTAAAGTCAAATCTCAAGAAGGTGTTAGAGTGTTGGTTTTGGTGTGGGATGATCCAACTTCAAGGAGTCTTCTGGGATATAGAACAGTAAGAATCTACATAACTCTGTTTTCTCTGCTTAACTCATTTTATATTTGTTTATTATTATCAAATTTACACAATGTGTATCCTATAAACTATATGCTAGTAGATTAGTATTTGGATACAGAAAAAAGATTTCCATAATGACACATCTTATACAGTTTACTAAACTAGCTTACGGAGCTATATTTAATCAGATTTCTATACTGGATTGCTCTCGTTTTTTCAATATGCATCTAAAGCTCTAGGGAACTTCTATGTTTGTGCAAAATTTTGTTCATAAAGTTTCACATATAAGGTTGTGCATTTCTACTTTTCTCTGTGCTTGTATATAATTGAAAATGGTCTGAATTATTAGTCCCGACACTTTTTTTCTGTTTATCATGTTGCACAGTGTGTTGTTGCTTCTCTGTTTGCGCGCATGTTGAGTAAAAATGATATGCAGGTCTAATATTTTGATCCAAAATTTGACACTTTCTCTGTCTATATTGTTGGAAAGCATGAGTATGCTTCAGTTAGATCATTTTACATGTATGTACCAACTGAAGCAAAAATCCTTCTATCGTTTTAGTGAAAGCTGGTGTTTTGTTGCATGTAGCAAGGAGTTATGAACACAAGCGACGAGGAGACTCGCCATTTTTTCAAGCATTCGTCAGTGCAAGTTCTCCTTTGTCCCAGATCTGGGGGAAAAGGTCACAGCTTCATAAAAAAATCTGTAAGATCCTTATTAGTTACTGCATTACTGCTTAAACTCCCGTGTGTATAGAGCTTCACCGTCTGTAATTTGAGTGTCATTATGATGAACAGGAAGTTGAAACAATCTACACGCATCATCAAAAAACTGTCATTGTAGATGCTGAAGCAGCTCAGAACAGACGAAAGATCGTAGCATTTGTTGGAGGGTTAGACTTGTGCAATGGACGATTTGATACTCCAAAGCATCCTCTCTTCAGGACATTAAAGACACTCCATAAAGATGACTTCCATAACCCAAATTTTGTGGTAACCATTTAAGAAAAATCATATTTGGTTGCAATTTTGGTATTAGGTTCCCCTATTCTTGATCCGTGTAAAATCTTTTTTCCTATTAGACTACTGCGGATGATGGACCAAGAGAACCATGGCATGATCTGCACAGCAAGATTGATGGTCCAGCTGCATATGATGTGCTTGCTAATTTCGAGGAACGCTGGATGAAGGCTTCAAAACCTCGCGGAATTGGGAGACTAAAATCTTCTTCTGATGATTCTTTGCTTAGGATAGACAGAATTCCGGACATCATGGGATTTTCTGAAGCTTCTTCTGCTAATGATAATGATCCAGAGTCTTGGCATGTTCAGGTTATTTAGCAAGTCTATTTATTTGCAAATTATTGTTACTTGTGGTGGTGACAAAAGGAATCTCATTTTTCTTTCCAATGATATTAATCATTAGGTTTTCCGTTCAATTGATTCAAGTTCAGTCAAAGGGTTTCCAAAGGACCCAAAGGAAGCTACTGGAAGAGTAAGCACCACAAGTATGAACTGTTTTAGCGTGTCGTCATGTTGCTATTCTCTACTGATTATGTATTTGTGAACAGAATCTTCTATGTGGGAAGAACATTCTCATAGATATGAGCATACATGCAGCTTACGTTAAGGCCATACGATCTGCTCAGCACTTCATTTACATTGAGAACCAATATTTTCTTGGATCATCATTCAACTGGGATTCAAACAAAGACTTGGGTAAGAAACTTGAAAGCTTTTGAAGGTAAGCTCAGTAGTCGTCAATGCACGCAGTATAAACAAGGAGTTTTGCATTGCAGGTGCTAATAATCTAATCCCGATGGAAATCGCGCTTAAGATTGCTAGTAAGATTAGAGCAAGGGAGAATTTTGCTGCTTATATTGTCATTCCAATGTGGCCAGAAGGTGCTCCTACAAGTAACCCTATTCAGAGAATTCTCTACTGGCAGGTAAATAATTTGTCAATTCTTTGCTAAAACAATCGATCATAACGAACAATCTCGCCTTCTTTATACCGGAATTTTTTTCATAACCTCTGCAGCACAAAACCATGCAAATGATGTATCAAACCATCTACAAGGCACTTGTGGAAGTTGGTCTTGATAGCCAGTTTGAGCCACAAGACTTTTTGAACTTTTTCTGTCTTGGAACCAGAGAGGTTCCTGATGGAACAGTTAGCGTATATAATAGTCCACGGAAGCCACCTCAGCCAAACGCACAGGTATACATATATAAATGTCTTCTTTTTGAAATGTTCGGTTTTGGCTTAATGGACTCGTGTACTCACTACTGAACAACAAATTAATATAGGTGCAAGCTTTAAAGAGTCGGAGATTCATGATATATGTTCATTCCAAAGGTATGGTAGTGGATGATGAGTTTGTCTTAATTGGTTCCGCGAATATCAACCAGAGATCCTTGGAAGGAACTAGAGACACTGAAATCGCCATGGGAGGGTATCAACCACACCATTCATGGGCTATGAAAGGTTCTCGTCCTCGTGGTCAGGTAAAACATTTTCACAAACTTCTACTTTTCACTCTGAATTTGCGTCAAGGCTGAACAACAGAAACCTGCCAAAAGCTATTTCCCTCCAAAACACGTCTGAAACATGGTTTTGGTTCAAAATTTCCAATTTCTTCCAGATCTTTGGATACAGAATGTCTTTATGGGCAGAACATCTAGGGTTTCTAGAGAAAGGTTTCGAGGAGCCAGAGAACATGGAATGCGTGAGACGAGTTAGGCAATTGAGTGAGCTCAATTGGAGACAGTATGCAGCAGAGGAGGTCACAGAGATGCCAGGTCATCTTCTTAAGTATCCAGTTCAAGTTGATAGAACTGGTAGTGTGAGCTCTCTTCCTGGATGCGAGACATTCCCAGATCTCGGTGGAAAGATCATAGGATCATTCCTTTTGGTCCAAGAAAATCTCACCATCTGAAACTTGCCTTGTAGTGTCAATCATTTGTTCATTATTTCTTCCACTTCAAGAAATCTATCTGAGTGTGATCTGAATGAAAGTGTGTGCCTTTAGGGTCTAGGTGTGCTTTTCAAATTTATGAGCTGTAAATCTATGTATTACAATATTTCCCGCCAAAAATATATCCCACCAAAAATTTTCCGCCAAATTTTTTTTTTGACACAAATTTAAAAACCGTATAAATCTTCTTAAAATCCTTTTATAAACCTTGTAAATCTTTTTAAAACCTTTTAAAAACCCTTGTAAATCCTTATAAAATCTTTTTAAAACCTTTGTAAATCTTTTTAATTCTTTTAAACCTTTATAAATGTTTTTAAAACATTTGTAAATCCTTGTAATTCTTTTAAAACCCTTTTAAAACAAAATTTCCAGCAATTACAAGATTACTTTACAAAGATTCCAACAATTCCTTTAAACCCTTTTAAAAAAACCTTTAAAAATCCTTGTAAACTCTTTAAAAACCCCTTATAAACTCTTATAAAATCTTTTTAAAACCATTTAAAAACCCTTATAAATCCTTTTAAAACCTTTTAGAAACCCTATAAATATTTTTAAAACATTTGTAAATCCTTTGTAAATCTTTTAAAACCCTTGTAAACCCTTTAAAAACACTTGTAAGTCTTTTTAAAACCTTTGTAAACCCTAAAATTTCCGGGTACAAGTTTCCCGTCAAAAATTACGGTAGCATTAATTTTTGGCGGGAAAATTTTTGTCGAGATTTTTTGTTGGCGGAAAGATTTGTCATAATATTTTTGGCGGTAAATTGTTGTCGGAAAAAATTTTGGCGGAAAAAATCAATTTTTTATTTTGTTGATTTAATTATTTTTCAAATAGGGGTAAATTGTCATTTTTTTTTTGTTGGGCAAAGGGGTAAATGGTCATTAAAAATTAGAATATGGCATAAATGAAAATAGCCATTGAAATGAAGAGAGGATATTTAAAAAAAAAAGATATTAATGAAAGGGCATTTCTAACAATTTCTCTTGTTAATAATTAAAATACTATTAATCAACATTAGCTAATCATTTTGACTAGTTTTTTTTTTTTTTTTTTTGCTAAGAATGTAAATATTTCATTAAAAATAAAAACGGATTAGATTTACAATCGATGATTATAGACCTAAACAAATGGTCCCATGACAAAAAAAATTAAAACAAGGAAGCATAAACCATAACTAGAATTCGGTCCATCTATTCAACCAAAATGGTGAAGCTAAAGGAATTAGATGAAGTGATAACGATTTCGATTGTTTTTCCCGAATTTGTTGCTGGAGATGAAGGGCGACTGAAAATAGTAGAAGCCAAATTGCGAAAAATTGTTATCACTAGAAGCCTTTCACTAGAAGTCCGAGATTGGGCCGTCAACGGCAGATAACTCAAAGCCCTTGATCTCATACGTCACCCGCATCATGAGAGAGCAACCCGAATATCAAATCTATGAGCTTTCCCAAAACGGAACCTCACGAGACAAACAATACGAACGATGTGAGCTCCCTCTACCAAGTTTATTCCCGAATATCATTTTGACTAGTTATAAACTTACTTTAGTAAATAAATAAATGCTATAGATTATATTATAATCCATCTATTAAAATTTCAAAGTACAAATGTGTACAAATGTATTAAGTTCAACTTCTTTTTTTTCTGTATAAGACAATGATGTGCTAGGACCACCACCGGTAGATAATATATAAGATAAGATAATATACTTTTTTTTTATGGAGTAACGGCGATTGTCTGTGATGTCTTTTAATTTCTAATTAAATAAATATATTAATTCTGCTTAGCCTGCTCGGTTTGACTAATCCTCAACTTTTTCAACTTGTTAATCGAAGAATGTGATTGTTAATACTATTAATCTACATTCGCTAATCATTTTGACTAGTTATAGAGTATAGAGTATATAAATAAATGATATAGAGTATAGTTATATCCTAATCCAACTATTCAAATTTCAAAGTACAAATTTGTATTTCTTTACAAGTTCAACTTTGGTTTTTTTTTTCTGTGTAAGACAATGATGTGCTAGGACCACGACTGATAGATAATATGAGAGCAAATTAGCTGGGAGACACGAAATCAGAGAGAAATTAGTTTTTTAGTAAAAAATTTAGTAATCTTTTTTGCCCAATTTAACTTCAGGCACTTTTGTTTTCGTTTATTTTTCTCAAATTTTGGATAGTCTATTTTATGTTAATAGTGCTCCATTTTTCGATAAAAAAGATTCTTGCTCTCTTTGTGTAGTCTATTTATGTAGTCTATTTATGTTAATGAAGCACATGTTTATGTTAATAGTGCTCCATTTATGTTATTCACGACGAAACTTATGATTACAATGATATTTCGGTGTCTAAATAACGCTCTATCTACGTGTTTACATGTATACAAATGTTAATAACGCTTTATATACGTGTTTATATGCATATAAATAAATTTAACCCTCTATGTACATGTTTACATGTATGCCAATGTTAATAACGCTTTATATATATATTTACATGAATGTATAGATCGAATAACTTAACACTATAACTATTTTTAACACTTATATATGTGTGTTAACATGTGTACAAATGTTAAAGAAGTGTAATATATGTTTGTAGCGTGCTAAAACTTCTCCAATTTGAGAAAACAACGGTTAATATTAGTCTCATTGTTATTAAATATCCATTTGCATTAAATATCTGTCACAATTAAATGTTTTCGCCCAAAAAGTCAACTACGTATTTTCACGACAAAATCCTAGACTGGCTTTTGTGTAATTTTTTTGAACTTCAGGCCCAATTATAATGTAATTTATCTCTTGTCCTAAACTATTGTCTTTTAGCTAATTCACTACCCTAATTTTGTCTCTAAGCTAAAGCACCCTAATATGAATCCACTTGAGCTGTTGAAAATTATGGTTCAAAATTGAGGAAGACTTCAACAATGAAAATGTCTTCTCCATTGAAGAAAATGTCATGATTTATTATTAAATACACAATTATATGATTTAATTTAGTGATTTTTGGAATGTTTACTTCTTGTTGATATATATAAATAGTAATATGATATAATTTAAAGAAAATGTCATGACTTTATTATAGTATTAGTTAGCTACTATATGATTTAATTTAATGATTACGTAGAATGTTTAATCTCTTGTTGATAAAAATAGTAATATCTCCATTCTCCAATCAAATTGAAGTTTATATCAAAAGAGGGACCAGAGAAAAAAGAGTTTCGTCCGTGAGAAGCCGAAACCAAAGTGGAAGTCCTCTTAGTCGTCGTTACTTAAAAACAAATAATTTATTTGGCACTTGAGTTTAATTAAAGATTAAAGATCTTAAATTTGAGTCATTAATGGCTAAAGTTAGAACGATTCAACAACGGCAGCCAAAATCTTTTAAATTTTCCGATTCTTCCGTTTCAAGTCAACGTTCCCTTCGCTTCCTCCCACCTTCTTCTTCACAAAACTCTCAACTTTAATTTGAGTTTGCCCATATTTTTAGATCTGAGTTTTGTATTCTCTCAAAGTTTTATCCTTTTCTTTAAACTCTTGATCTCTCGATTATTGCCCACCAAGTGATCGATCTTTGATCTCACTGAACTGGGTTATGCTTGAGATTTGATCTAACAACTGAAAGTTTCATACTTTTTGGGTTTTTGATTTTGTTTTTCCATGGCGTATCATCCGGTTTATACTGAGACTATGTCTATGGGAGGAGGGTCAAGCCATGGGGGCGGCCAGCAATACGTGCCGTTTGCTACGAGTAGTGGCTCTTTGAGGGTTGAATTGTTACATGGTAACTTAGACATTTGGGTTAAGGAAGCTAAACATCTTCCTAACATGGATGGGTTCCATAACAGACTTGGTGGGATGTTGTCTGGGTTTGGTCGGAGGAATAGTATTAAAGTGGATGGTGAGAAGTCTTCTAAGATCACAAGTGATCCTTATGTTACTGTGTCTATCTCTGGTGCTGTGATTGGTAGAACTTTTGTGATTAGCAATAGTGAGAATCCTGTGTGGATGCAGCATTTCGATGTACCGGTTGCTCATAGTGCTGCTGAAGTTCACTTTGTTGTGAAAGACAGTGATATTATTGGATCACAGATCATGGGAGCTGTTGGAATCCCAACTGAGCAGTTGTGTTCGGGGAATAGGATCGAAGGGTTATTTCCGATACTTAATAGTAGTGGGAAGCCTTGTAAAGCGGGTGCTGTATTGAGTCTGTCTATTCAGTATATTCCAATGGAAAGGATGAGACTTTACCAGATGGGTGTTGGTTTTGGTAATGATTGTGTAGGAGTTCCCGGTACATACTTCCCTTTGAGGAAAGGCGGTAGGGTTACTCTGTATCAGGATGCTCATGTTGATGACGGTACTCTTCCGAGTGTACATCTTGATAGTGGGATTCAGTATAGACATGGGAAGTGTTGGGAGGATATGGCTGATGCAATAAGACAGGCAAGGAGGTTGATTTATATCACAGGTTGGTCAGTTTTCCATCCAGTTAGGCTGGTTCGTCGTAACAATGATCCAACCGAAGGTACGTTAGGGGATTTGCTCAAAGTCAAATCTCAAGAAGGTGTTAGAGTGTTGGTTTTGGTGTGGGATGATCCAACTTCAAGGAGTCTTCTGGGATTCAAAACAGTAAGAAACTACATAACTCTGTTTTCTCTGCTTAAGTCATTTTATTTTTGTTTATTATTATCAAATTTACACAATGTGTATCCTATAATCTATATGCTAGTAGATTGGCATTTGGATACAGAAAAAGGTTTCCATAATGGCACATGTTATACATTTTACCGAACTAGCTTATGGAGCTATAATCATATTTCTACACTGGATCACTCTCGTTTTTCAATATGGATCTAAAGCTTATCCCTTAACTAATTCTAGGGAACTTCTCTGTTTGTGCACAATTTTGTTCATAAATTTTCACATATAAGGTTGTGTTAGTTGCATTTCTACTTCTCTGTGCTTGTATATATTTGAATTGTCTGAATTATTAGTTATGACAGTTTTCTGTTTATCCTGTTGGAGAGTATGTTGTTGCTTCTCTGTATGC